ATCTGCCAGCCATATGTAATCTGTCCCATGGTTCAATCTTAGAATTTAAAAATTACACTTGAATATTAAGTTATCTCAACCTGAAGCAGGTGATCAAGTACGCTGCCTGGTTTAGCAGCTAGTTTGAATTTCATGCACTGTATATTGTTGTGCATGCCAATACATTTTTATGCTACAGTTTTTTCTCTCGAAAACTGCCGTTATAGAAATTTCCGTCCCATTAGCTGTTTCTTTGGCTGTTTAAACATGTAGTACTGTTTTAAACCATGTATCAACCGCTGTCTCCCGACATATTTGTACAAAGATGAACCTGCATATAGCTTTTAGTGTGTCAGTGAATATTTCTTCTATAATTGTTTCTTCCATTTTTAGTTGAGTGCTGGTTGACCTGCTTCGAGCAAACTTATATTATCAAAGAATAATATTTTATAATAAAAAAACATTGAAGTGAAGCGATTAGGCTTGAGAGAAAATTGAATTAGTTACCTTGTCAAATATGAAACTGTAAGGGTATTTTCTCAGCTTCACTTGATATGGATTACTAGATCTACAAACCCACTGCTGAAAAGGATCTGTCAGATTACATGGCAAAATACGAACACCAGCAGCAACAGCTATGAATAAAATTTTTGAAAGTTATTATTTCAAATCTAGGTGCAGTTGTAAAAAATACACAAAATTTGTTACTGTCAACACACAATAAAATGTGATATGATAATAACCCTTTCTACGCTCACCACACCTGTAACACAAAGTGAATGGACTTATCAACTGCAAATTTTTAATAGCAACATGGGAGTGAGCAATATGCCACACAAAGATTGGGAAATAGCAATATAAGTACCGGTAACTATAATAACATAACCACCTTCTTCTGTTGTTTCCTCAACTTTGAATAGAGCAGTAAGGCAGTTGCCACTCTCAACATGTAGTAAATGATATGTTGATATCCATACCCACTCTAATTCCCGTTTGTTGTTGAATTGACAAGATTTACTGAAAAAAAAAATCGAAATTTTGAAATTTCAAAATGACATTAATACATTATAAATAACATCATACATTACAATCTATGTAACCATCATGATGAAAAATTTATGCTGTATTCCCGATTATCAATGCATAAATCAATAAAATTAAATAACCAACCTTCTAACATAGAGATGAGGATCAAATTTTCCACCTAAATTTCCATAGGTATGTTTTTCCATGTCACCATAAATGCATCGTCGTCGGTAAGGAAGCTTTTCTTCATTTGATTCATCATCACCCACATTTGAAAACAGTAGTCCATCTAAAATAAGTTTCAGAGGATAAATACGAAAGTGCTCCTGAAGAATCTACGCAGCGAATCAATCTTGGTGATCCAAGTTGATAAAACTTATATAACTTTCATCAAAAGAATATTGCTTTTTTGGGTAAACAGAAAGATAAAGCACACATTATATAGTTCAAAATGTGTGGCAAGAATTTCAAAGAAAACAAGTTGAATTCAATACCTCTTATAAATTCATAAGGCGGTTCCATTTTTTCATCATTCCCATCAATTCTCCACATCCAGTTACGTTCAGATGCATTGATGCGGGATGGATTACTCTTATCATAGAGGGGAAGCCAATATCTTCAAAAAAATAAATAGATATAAAAAAAAAAAAAACTGGAAAAATAGTGATGCAAAATGGTCTTAAATCCATTCAACCAAATCAGAACTTTATTTCACATGTTATTTAAGCAATGTTCAACAATGTCAAGATAATGAAGAACAAAAGTACCTAATGCATATTGTAATGCAATATTTTGTGACATTGGTGAATAAAGTAAATATAGGATTCTTTATATTTATAAGAAAGTGGGTAAAGTCAACAAAATGGATTAATCATATTGCAAATCTCGATCCCTTGGTATCCTATACCAGTTCATGCCCTGTATGGGAACAGTAAAGCCGTTGTTTGTTCATTCCAGATGCATGGATTTGATTGTTGATAAGGCTAGTTGTTATGCAGACCACATTGGCGATTGGTACAGTAATCTTATTGTACATAATTATCTACCACAAGATTAAATTCTGCGAACTCACCAAATTAACAGTCCAATGACAAGCACATAACTAATGCTTGGCACAATGTGCCAACCATTAATCCACCTACTCACACAAAAGTCTTTGCAAAATCATATACAACTATCAACAAAGACTGTAGGACATCCTTTACTTTTATTAATAATTGGAAAGTGGGAACTCATTAACACATGCGAAATATAAAAATAACTCCAACATAATTCAATAGGAAAATAAAAACCAAAAAAGAAAATTTTCCGCAGAAAACAACATGACAAAAACATCGTACACTAAACTACCATATTTTTCTACCTTAAAGAATTATGATACATTCCACGAGAATGGTCAAGCACAGAGTCTCGGAGAAATTTAGTAGTTACTTCATCCTTTGCAACTAATAAATGCCTGAAATTAAGTGAATATATGAAGGTTATAAAATTCAATTCAGCCATTTTAGTAGTGAGGTATCGTAAGTTCTTCGTAAGAGTTGGAGACTGATTGTGTGATGCCATTCTATATCAAATATGAAATAACAATTTCATATATTTGACAAGCTAATATTATTTTTTTGTAACATAATTTCTCAATACTGCAGATGATAAGGCAGCGTTTCCCAACCTTTTTTGGTCGCGGACTATTTTCTCACCGGCGATAACCTTTGCGGACTCAAGGTGCGTTTATTGCAACCGTACTCTCTGTGAAGAAGCAATAAACCTAATCACAACAGAATTTTAACAAATTTTAAAATCGGAAATTCGCCGCAATTACGCGTTCGTTAAAAAAGCCGACTATTTTTTAGTGTATAGCGGCCTCTTCTGTCGCACAATACTCAATCCATGACAACGACGAGAATTTAAAATGTCTTTCTATTTTAATTTAATTGTGTTCATGATAACTGGCGGTTGCGTCGACTTACGACAAGATGAAAGCATTACTTTTTTAAAATGCTATGGCAATCTGCGAACATAAGAAAGTAAGAATATATTGCCCTATTATATTTAGTCTTAATCCTTTTTTTTTGCGATGTTGCGAATTTGTTATCGCCGTTAGAAAAATCCTACTAAGTGCTATAAATCTCCAGAAAATACAATTTGATATAGTACTTAATAAAAATATATTCAAATTATATTAGTAAATCAAAAATACATATTCATCGCCTTGTTTTATTACTAATTTACTTCTGATCAATTTAATCTGCGGTTGTATTGAGGAAATAAAAGCAATACTCTCAGAAAATACAATGACATTCCGTGGATACAAAAATGCGTGGTAAAGTGCCCGATTATATTTTGTTTTGATTCGTATTTATGTGAATTCGACAAATCTGAGCTGTTCCTACAACATTTACGGCGTTCCAGTACTGTACGTACCAATGTGTATGCAGTAAACCAAAAAAAAACAAAAAAGGAAAAATGCCCTGGTGCGTATAATACGGTAGCACCCGAAATTTTGCGATTCGCAATGTCGAAAAAAGCGTTTTTAATCGGTCGCGGACCATCATAAAACAAAACTTAGATGTTCCCCGTTTTATTTTTAGTATTTTGTGGTGCCGCTTTTCAATTTAGAAAATTTGGGTTGCCACCATTGACACCTACTAAAAAAAAAGATTATTCCTCGTTGCTCGAACTCGCGAGAAACACCAGTTAGGTATCCTCGAAGCGTGTGCAGACTCGTGTTTTCGTCGAAAATCCGCAAGTGAGTTGTGAAATCCAATCGTTTGATTAAGCGACCCACAAGTGACCTGTCGCGTCACGTGTTACCAAATTTTCGAATAGTAAATACCTATTCTAATAGTTGAATATTCAAATATATGCCCAGCCCTACTCAGTAACCAGTAATTATTGACTCGATTAATGCTATGTGAATAAATTTGCTCTTTATGTGTTATGTAAATTCGAACGTAAAAAACGTTTGCGGCCCGAAGTGAATTTCTGGCTCGTTGCGGACTCATTCAAAGGCTTCGCGGACTCATGTAATGCTATGTGAATAAACTTGCTTTTTATGTGTTATGTAAATTCGAACGTAAAAAACGTTTGCGCCCGCAGTGAATTTCTGGCTCGTTGCGGACTTATTCAAAGGCTTCGCGGACTCATTTGAGACCGCGGACTCAGGTTGGGAAACACTGTGATAAGGTATTAACAGAACAAGACCTTAGAATTTATATTCAATTATTGATGAAAATGGTTGAAGCATCCGAATATATTTTGATGAAAAAGAAAACGAGCTTTAAATCCTGAAGTCATGTACATGAGCTTGGACAGTTTTGATTCAGGCTACAATTTGATTAGCAGCTAGCTAGACAAACAGCACAACAACATACCCTCCAATAGCAGCACAATTTTGCTCAGCTTTTTCCTGGTTTACTGCATATAGACTTTTCACTTTTGGCACAGGATCATGTTGTAAGTACACACAATAATCTCGATGAAAATATGTATGTGATATCGGATAATCACAGTTTCCTAAAATGAATTTAAAACTATGTAGAAACTGTATAAGACATATCAATAGTTAGTTTATCGACAGATCATTGAAAATAGGAAATCATTTAAACCACCACAACTTCTTTCTTATACTGTGAATACAACAGATCCAATTTAAGATCAAAATAATCCTATTTTGCAAAGAAAAGGCTATTTTATGCCAGAAAATATCTTTGAAGCTCTGGTTTCAATAAATAAAATTGTCACAAAAAATCATAGATATTTTGTTCTATTTCTCAACCTCAGTATCTTCAAAAATTCAAGCACTTGGAAAATGGAAAACAAACATTGTAATTCTTCCCTACTTCTCATGCAAATAAAAGAATGGGTTTCAGAACAGCTGTCTTCAAAATAAGTCATCCCTTCAGCTGGATCTCCTGCTACACAATCTTTTTCATCGTCAGTATTGAAGTTATCGAAGATTGATTTATTCTGCCAATTGTTTACATCAACTACAGGATCAAATGGTTGACCACTGGACCAGATAAACACACCTAGAAAAACCAAGTTTATGCATACATAGTATAATTCGGATCAATTGACATCATTCCAGTTTGGTGAAGATAGCCAAAGCAATGAGCAATATCAACTGTCTTAAGAGTAGGCTATATCATCTGCCGATGACATATATGCGAGCAGGGAAGCAAATAAACCTTCAGTTTCTCTGTCTGTAAGTCCAATCCACCAGTATTTTGTTCCAAGATCTTCGGCTGATAGATTGATTTTCTTGTAAACATAATCAAGAATTTCTTGTTCTGCAGCCTGAATATAATTTTGATTCGTATATTTATTTATTCCATATTTATACCCCTTCAACTTGTGGTAAATAGTGAAAACCAGATGATTCCAGAATTCCATTACTGTCTTGATAGGTTTATATGATCTTGTCACACACAAGGTAAATAAGGGATGTAAAAACCATGGTTTCGTTATTTGCTTGTATGTCAGTACCAACCAATGAAAAAAAATGAATTTGAGGATATTTTCCTCATTCAGAAAAAAGAATGCCGGACTTTTCATTTTCATTGTATGATGGATATCATATAGCAATGTCTCGGACTAAATTCAGGATAAAAATGTGAAAACAACAATTTATTGCAGTTAGTACAAGAAAAGGATCCATAACCCTGTTGCCAAATCCAAAAGGGGTTCGCATTAATAAAAACTGAAGAAACACTGTTCTAAATATACACATAACTGTACTGGATAGCAGATAGTAAAGGCTGTGAAATCAATGTAAAAAACCTTCAAAAGAATGCATATAAAAATCTGATAAGAGAATATGACAGCAAAATACAATCAGTGATATGAAAAAAAATAGATTATTCAACCTATCACTATACTGATAAAATTTATAAATTAGCAAAAATTATAAATGCAAACCATGATTAAAATTGCATCTTCGTCTGCACAATACTTTTTGCTTCTTCATATGTTTTATTTTTGATGTGAAAAAGCAGCTCAACCTCCTTTTTACTTGGCAAAGTGACTTTAACAAATTCTGGGTAACAAGATAACAAAATTTTCATTTGGTGGTTTGCGGAATATAGATAAATTCCCTTTATGAATATTCGGGATATGTATTATTCATGATAAAGTGTGGAAAACTTGATAATAATCAAGAAGATTACTTTTGATTACTCAAAAAGAAAACTTTCGTGGCAACAAAAAAAAAACTTACCACATGTTTTAAAATATGATCTACAACTAACTGCAGATAGCAAATATATTCAGGTTTTATTGAGCCCCTAACACAGATTTTAAATACAATCCACAAATTAATAAGCAAAAGTAAACACAAGTGGAAACCTCACATCCGGCCTGCTCGACTCGACTGAATGAATTTATGCAATTTTTTGTTATCAGAATAAACTAGTTTTAAATACTTATGCTGACAAGTAATGAATCTCCATTCAAGCCAAAAAAACAGATGACAGTATAAATCAAATTTCATTACCTGGTTCATAACAGGCTTCAGAATACAATCCGAATTCCATGTCACTGTCAGCAAGTTCTTTAATATCATTTAATTCATAGAGCACAATCAGTGATGTGTCTTCAGAAAACATATCAAAGTCCATAACAGGACCATGTCCTTCTTCCTCACAACCAGCCTACCATAAAAATGTTGACATGTAATTTAATGAGGAACATATAAACGCATTTGAGAAAATAAAATGATTTTTAGCAAATCATTCGTGAAGTATCACAAATAATTAATCAGTAGTTTTTCATGACATGGGAAATATTCCAATGATATCTGAGTTTCAAGAGTATTTTTATTCTCTATTGATGGTGAATGTCAGCTACCATCAATTTTTTAGCATAGCTTGATTATCCCAGCTTCCTCGTACCTCTGAAAACAAATTGATAATACATCCATCTTCTATGGGAGGATTGTGCGTGCATCCTGTGGGCATTTCTGAAAGCAAAGATTTTTAAGAGAGTTAAAAACATTAAATAAAAAAAGGATTTTGTATTATATGTTACCAGCTTAAAACGTCTTATTATAAATAAAAAGTAGAGAAAAAAAACCTGGCATGCTCAGTAGTTCAATTAAATAAAAAACTAAAATAATTTCGATGCATGTCAAAAATCATTACATTCATAAAAACAAAATATCATGGCATCAAACATACCAACTTCACAAACAAATGGAAATTTTCTTATACAATGGTAATCATTCCACATTGGATGAGTTACATTCAAATTCATTCCAGCACAATGTTCATCACACCATGCATTGTTTGGTTCAGATGAGTTTCTACCACGATTGTGCCAGCGTTCAAAAGGAAAAGGACCTGAGATTACAAAAGCAGTCAGTTCTTGAAATATAAACAATAAATTTTTATATTAGACAGAAATAATTAAAATCATTCAGCTAATGGTAAAGTTATGGCCGCAAAAACAGTATTGAATCTATTATCAGACATTTTGATAATACAAATAAAGTGACTTTTTTTTGGTTAAACATACAATAAAAAAAATACAAATGACTTCATACAATTAAACGAACTCAGAGATGATTTTTCCCCAAATATAAAATACCAGGAAAATGCACAAGAAAGAATAAGTGAAAGCAAAGTTCAAGTTATACCAAATTCACACATAGCGGGTAGTCTTCGTGAACAAAATTGATCAATCCAGTTCATGTTTGATTGGATGGAAGCACAGTGTTGCCGTTCAAAATCAAGGTCACCATTAGGATCTGACCAAGTTTGCCATTTTTGAAAAGCTGAAAAAAGTATTTTCCACAGAATGAATGTTGAAGAAATAGAGGTTGAGCATAATATGGAACTACAGTATTGTATTCCAATTGAAATAAAAATATAAAAATACGGTAATTGTATATTGTATACATCAATCTTGATGTTTAAAAAAATGAGCTGATGAACTAGGTCTCTAAAATCACAAAATGAACAATACATTGGTCTTACGTGCAAAATCCTCCTTGTCAGGAACTGGTAGATACATTTTTCTATACCAATTTTCATGGATATACACTTGCTGACCATCAGCCTGCCTCCAAATTGCAAGATCATTTTCATCACCAGTCAGTGCGAAGAAATAATTTCCATACTCATTTCCAGGAGCTGATGTGGGACCTTTTTCTTTCCAGATATTATAAAGATCCTGGAAGCAAGTAATATAAATAAAAAATGTGCGAAGGTTATCAAGTATTGAATAGTTTAGTAGTATTCTCAAAAACATTTAAAAATTTGAGAATGATTCATAATCAATCTAATCTGATTATTATCCAGAAATTGAAATAAATACACAAAGCAATAATATATATATTGTAATAATAATACAGACATATCTATATAATAGTTTTATGTTACTTACATGAACATGTTTTCCAACGGCATAATTGATTTCTTCAGAAGTAATATTAACAAGAGTTCCGTTCAAATCAGAACAAAACTCTTCCTGTTCAGTAAAGTTACCATAGAATGAGTCACCCCATAGAATGTAAAACTGATCCACTAGCGTTGAATTTCTTTCATACCACGGAATTTTTCTATCGTACATCTTTTTTAACATTTCTAAAAAAATGACCAGTTAATAAAAATATTACATCGTCTCACCATTCTAGCTAAAATATAACAGTGTGTTTGTGTGTAGTATGTTCAGCTGATAAGATATATTGCAACCCGTTCCAGCACGGATTTATCAAGAATTAAATCTAGAATACTCTTCATGTGATTCACCATATCTTAGTCATATAATTTCTTGTATTGTATTTCTTGTATTCAAGATAATTGAGATAAATCCATTCTTATGTAACCATGGAAAACTATTTGCATACCAGAAAAATCTGGAGGTGGATTGACTCTCTCTCCATCAGAAAAATACCAACTGCCTTCCGTTCCTGTATCATTCATTCCTAGCCAAACAGCTGAATTATATAAAAAATTAAAAAAGGGCTTCTATTATATCAAGCACTTGAAACTATTACAGAATTTAACATCACAAAATATTCATATTATAAAATAAATTTGATGGATATCTTTCTTATTATGCGAGATTCTTATTTTTAGAAATTCCGCAGGTTCACAGGTTTAAATCCTGTAGGGTAAATGTGTGCGAGAGGATTGCTGACTTTTCACCCTCATAGGATGGTGGTTCACATAACCGTCAGGTTAGTTAATGCGTTCCCCACCACCAAGTCTATGCATCTGAATCAAAACACTAACTGACATGGATTGGTAACCAGAAGAAATGCCGTGGTTTCAGTGGCGTAGCCATGGGGTAGTTTTGCGGGTCGAACCCCCCCCCCCCCCCCCTTTTGAAATGTAAAAAAAAATAATTCATTTTTCTGTATCATAGATAGCAATTTTCCATAGCTTGAAATGCTTTTTAGACCCCAAGACTACTAAAAACACGCGTATTCCAGCGTTCGATCGGACCCGCTAGCAGTTTCGATCTAACTTGGCAAAAAAAATTTCAGAACACCTCTCTTTGAACATTTTTGGCTACGCCCCTGCGTGGTTTGTCACATTATAAATCCATTTTTAATCGACTTTCCTCTCCAAATCGCATCCTAACAACAGATCCTATTATTAAAGTAAGGATAGTTACTGAATTTCAAAATTTGAATATAAACGTGATGATTTTAGACAGTATCACAAATACCTCATGAGGTTGAACTATATTTTTCCTGTATTTTGATTATTAAAATACCCATAATTCATACCTGAAGCATTTGTGTAGTTTGATTGCATCATTTTTTCAACTAACCATTCATGAATTTCTTGGGTTTTAGGATTCGCCAAACGGCCCCATATCCCTGAAAATGTATTTTAAGTTTTTATTTTATCACATTTAATCCCACTTTCCCATCTTTATCATAATTTTTCTGTTGTGTGATAGTTTTTTAATAGGAGTTTGAAGGAAAAATTATTTGCTCTGTGTCCAAATAAATGTTAATAAAAACCAGGCAAGCCCTTCCATTTGAAATATTTAAAAAAAAAAAGCAAATGTAAGAATAAAAGATAAAGAAAATATTATAAGGAATGTGATGCTATATAATATATAAATATAAATACTTTTGATACCTTCACAGTAATCAGAAGCATCTTTCCAGGTCAATTGTTCTTCAAAGAAAACATAAGATTTATTGAACATTTCATATTCCATAGATGCCGGAAATCCTAATAAAAATAATAGTTATAAGAACAAACTTGTAATATAAAATAACAACAAAGTGTACTGTATTATCAAAATGCATTTTTCAGATATAATATTTCAAAAATTTGAAAACCTGCAATCAACTTCAGATACCATAATAATATCATTATCTTAACTATCAAAAGAAGCTGAGTATATTCAATTATGCAATTGCACCTTTCAATATTGTACAATTTTCACCAGTGTACATGTCATTGCATACACATTCTTCATTTACACAAGTGAAATGCTTTTTACAACTTGATTTGCATGGTGCCTCTACAATCAATATAATATAGAATATTATTTTTAAAAATGCATACACTTGAGAAGTATTGTATGGATTCATTTGAAAATTGCCTTTTAAATATTTAAATTCCATTAATATTCTTTATTCTAAAATACCTCTCAAACAAACAAAAATAGGTATATACTTATCATTCAGGAACTATTGAACAGAAAAAAAATGTACTACAGGCTACAAAGTGAAAAATCAGTTTATTTTCAAAGATATATATCATTAAGCAAATTATTCAGATAATACATAATGTATCTGTGAAGTGTAGTTAGAACTAACATGATGGAAAAACGTAGTCCATAACATTTTTAATAGTATCTATGACTTATTAGTAAAAAAGCAGATAAGGAAGACACCAACCTTCAGGAAGAATGTAGTCAGCTCTATACTTGCAAGTGACTGAAAAATGAAACTATGTGTAACATATAATTTTAATAACTGTATTTGTTCGAAGCTTTAACTTTTGCTGGAAAATTCCAGTATGGTATGTGAGTTCCAATCAGCATGATAAAATACAAATTTCAAAAATTATGCCAAAGTTTGGTATGTGTAACATTATTTGTACAACATTAATATGAACATAGATATCTCCATATTGGGTTACATGCAGCTTCTGCATATACACACATTTCCATGATGTCAAGTCTCAAGCACATCATGCACCAACATATTCCTGTATAGTTTCAGTAGCCCTTGTCATTTCAATGTTCACACATGTGTCTACTTCACTTCCGAATGTGTGCGTATAATATTGTTTTGGTCAAACTAACCTTGAATAAAATTCTTATAAGGCTTCAGCTAGAATTAACTGAAATCTACTCAATTCATATTTGAGCGAATTATTACATGCAATACCCACCATCCATGCATATGAATGAAAATACTTCATCACAATTATCAAGTGACCAACGAAAGCCATTTTCAGAGTTGAAAGATGCACAATGTCTTTCATTGTGATCCATGGTAAAACTCACATCCCATTTATTATAATCATTTTCAATATCATATTCTTTGTTGCTGGCCCACCGGAATGTACCTATACAGAACAGTTTGCTATACATATAAATCATTACAGCAAAGTAACAAAAATTCTTATTGAGTCTGTATTTAAGCAACATCATGCTCAAAATTATGTGAAATATTGTTTACCATGGATGTAGTGTTTAAATTCACAATCTGCAAATTCAATAAAACTCAATAAACAGAATGATTGTTAGGTGATGATTGTTAATGTAATTATTAATTACTAACTAACAATTCAAAACATACTTACCATCATTTTCTAAGTCATCAAGCCCAATCCACCATTTGTCTGTACCGAAAAATTCATTTGAGTTATGCAATTTTTTCTGCAATTTTGATTGAATATCATCACTTTCAATCTAATAAAAAAGAAAAGAAAAAAATAAGAATTGAACAAATAAACATAAGGAATGCACAATACAAATCAAAAATCCAGGTGATGACTTACAGAGAAATGCATCAGAGCATTTCGAGATTTACAATATTCATGAGCTCCATTGAATGTTTTCATATCTGTGTGTATCAATATACTCATACCATCAGAAATCTCAATGAATTCTAAATATAAAGATAACTAAATTACAATAAATTATATGCAATAAATTTGCCATTTCTGTACAAACGCAATCATAAAATGCAAAACATAAACAAAGACAGGACGAACATTTCAGTTTTTCATGCATAAAATGTTAAACTAGAGAAAAAATTTTCCTTCTTAAATGAATCACATATTCATACCAGGTTTAAAACATGATTCTGCATAAACACCATTTGACTTATCAGCATAATTTTGGTCATGAATCAATATAAAGTGTTGATAGATGTCCCATAAATTTGATTCATTGTAATAATTCAACTTTGCATGAGGTACTGATCCTGCCACAGGATCACATCCAGCCTGTATTGAGAAACAACGATGAAAAAGAAATGTGCGGTAAATAATTTATAACAATATCATCATAGAGCATAAAACTATCAGAAATTATATTCAAAAATGTAGAAAATCAGAATCTCAGAATAAATTAAACAACCAAATGAACAATAGCTCAAAAGACTACATGATGGTACTCAAACTGAGTCATCTGAATTATGATCGGCAAAACAAACCTGTCGAAACAACTCCTCCAAACAAGTCATATTGTGAGTTGGAAAATAGGTGCAGTTGAGGGGAAAAACTAAAAAAAAAATTATCGATAATAAAGGAAAATTAGATCTGCATGAACAAATATTCCATGATATACATTAAATAAAATATTCACAAAAAGGTTTTGAATCTAAAGCGGTTATATGAAGAACTGAAAATGTACGCTTCATGATATGCAAACTCTCAGCCTTGTATTGAAATTACGTATGTAGCAAAAATATTCTGCATGTAGAAAAATCAAACTATTTTAGCAGTGATCTAATACCATTCTTGAAATTTGTCGAAGCATGTGTGTACAACATAATGTTGATCCAAGCATTGAAACAGTGAACATATAAGCATTTGGTTAACTAGTTGAGTTTAAATTAGTATATTATGTGCTTAGAATAACTTTAATATTGCTAGTTATCACACTGTTATTTTTGTTGATTCCATACTGAAGAAGGTGACATCGATCATGCATGAAAATCCCAGGCAAATATTGTTTCATACACCCTTTCATCTGCTTCATTTCAGTATGCATATGAATCAAGTTCATTCACATTTATGCGGAAACTCAGAATACCAATGTTTATTAGTATGTGGCTAGCTCCAGGACTAGACAAGATTTGCCATGCGATGCTTATAAAATTGCCCGCAGAATGTAAAGACATATTACTCAAATTGTTCAATTTAATTTTGAACAAAGGGAGTATTCCAGATACCTGGAAACGCTCTGTTGTAATTCCGATTCTTAAATCCAATGAACAAAAAGATCAACCATCTTCATATACAATTATATCTTTAACTAGCAATTTATGTAAGGTCTTGGAAAGAATTATAGTTCGCAGACTGAAATGGTTTGTTGAAAAAAATGGCATATTATGTAGAGAACAGAGCGGTTTTAGGTGAAGGAGATCTACGATTGATGTATATCTAAAATTACACGATGACATATATAAAGCTTTAACAAATAAAAGATCTGTACTTGGCATTTTCTTAGACATGGAAAAAGCTTATGACATGGTATGGAAAAGTGGACTGTTATACAAACTATATAACATAGGTGTCACAGGGAAAATTTGGCTTTTCGTTGCATCTTTTCTGACGAATCGTTCATTTCAGGTTAGAGTATGCAGTCGTCTTTCAAGTATATTATTCTCATTAGAAAACGGAATTCCGCAAGGGAGCGTAATCAGTCCACTGCTGATATGCCTAGTACTATTTCATCAGATAATGTTGGATTGTTTGCAGACGATAGCGCTCTATGGCACATTGGGCTCAAAATTGAAGATTTAATCATTTCTTCTCAGAACTCGTTGGATTGTATTCAGTCCTGGTGCAACCAATGGCGTTTTAAGATCTCGGTCACAAAATCAATAGTACTCTTCAAAATTACCACCAATACAACTACACATAAACGAAGTAATAGTACCAATCAGGAATGAAGTAAGATACCTCGGAGTCTGTTTCGATAGGTGCTTAAATTATAAGAGACATATCGAATATGTAGTAAACGGATTAATCTGCTGCGTTTGCTTATTGGAACTAGATGGGGAGCTAACAAATTACCCCCTTTGTCATTGTACAGATCTCTAGTTCGACCCATTATTGAATATGGTATGGAAGCGTATTTTTCAGCCTCAATAAATGCCATAAGAAAAATCGAAATTATCCAATCTCAATGTCTACGCATCGCCGCAGGTGGCATGATGAGTACGCCTAAAATTGCTTTACAAGTTTGTTGTAATGAGATGCCATTGAGTATACGACGACTACGATTATGCCTCTTATATAAGGCTAAACTGCTAACATTTTTTGACCATCCCTGCCACGAACCCAACGAACACTCATGGCATGAGATATTTTCCTACTCTCCAACATTTCGTACATTTGGTATGATTGCAAGGACTTTCGATATTGACAAATTGGATATCAGTATTATTAAAGCCGAAGAAATTCCTCCATGGTATTTGGACGAAATTAATATTGACGATGCATTATCGAATATACTTTTTCCTTGGTATACGCCCGACCAAACAAAAGCAATAAGTTTAGATTATATAAATGAATCCTATCAATCACACGTGCATATCTATACGGATGGATCAAAAACTGATGACAAATGCGGTGCTGCGGTTTATGTTCCATATATTAATTCTTGTATGGGTTTTAGGCTAGACAAAAACTGTTCCTCGTTTGATTGCGTAGTTTTTGCAATATATAGTGCCCTTACATGGTCAAAAAATAACTATAAAGGGAATATACTTATCATATCAGATTGTATGTCTGCTATTCACGCTATAAATAATAACTCGGATCAAATTAGTAATATATTTTCAAATATTCAGACTTGTCTTTTTGAGTTACAGGAACAAGGGTGCAAAATCACACTACTATGGGCTCCAGGGCATGTTGGCATTCCAGGTAACGAAGTCGCCAACAAAATAGCGAAGGTATCAGCGGCGAAAGTCGATGTGAACAAAAGATTATCCCAATCACAAAACAAAGTCAAATCACAAATTCGACAATTCTGCGCTAATAAATGGGATCAACATTTTATACACAGTGACCAAGCGTTTCATTACAAGACAATTTTTCCCTCAATTGAAGAATTCCACTTGGTCACCACGAATATTGGACAAAATTTTATTTCGACTTCAGACGGGACATTGCCGTTTAAATAAGCACCTCCATAAAATAGGATGCCACAATAATGTACTTTGCGATTTCTGTAATGTTCCAGAGACAGTAGAACATTTTCTAATGAACTATCGTGCATATAGAAATGAAAGACGCATACTGAAGATGAAATTCCGCGATTCAGCATTGATTTTCAACTCAAAGCTATCTTAAGCGACCCTAGCTAGCATTTTCCCTGCTCTTGTTGATTTTGTGAAATCTACCAAGAGAGTACCATAGGCATATACAAAGTTTGATTTAAATTGTCTGGCGCAAAAGACTTAAATTGTTTAAAGCGCCATATACTTTCATACCACACACAGTAGAAAAGTGCTGCAGTTACTAAAAAAAGTATTATAGGCTACCACAGAAAAGTAAATGGAGGCAGTTATTACATGAGTGAAAAAACTTTTTACAATGAACAACTTTTTCAACATTGTGAAAACAGCAAATTGATTTTGAAAACAAATTTGTTTATAATAACTGACTATATCGTTAAAACTCAATAACCACATACCAAATCCATAGCATTCCATTTGGTCGGTTGAGTTATCTGCCATAATTGCCAAAGCCTTTCTAAGATGAGCTCTTTCATATAAATATTTTTTTGTAGAAAGCTCAATAGTTAGAGGATAAGCTGTTCCCATTTCAACGCATCTTGTCATATTTGTCCAAATGAAATGAAGGCAATCATCAGTAAGATTGGGGTGATATGTACACAAATCTGGAATCACTAGCCAAAAAATATCAATGATAAATGAAGTGACTACCAAAATCAGGTACAGTAAATGTATGGTGATACATCATATATTTCAACACTTTCTGTTCATAGTTTTTGTAAATTTGATTTTTTTGGTAGCACGGGTATAAGGCTAAGCTCTTTTATTGCTTCTTTCTTCTAAAGTTGAAAATTAAAAGAAATACTCACGCATTCCATAACACTGCATCTGATATGATCCTTCTTTATCAATATCAGCTTTATATCTTATAAAGCGAAATGCACTTTCTACATCCCTGTGCCATCAAAACAGAACGCATCATAAAGTGGAAAAAAATCATATGTTTAGACAAACCAATATTTATTAACATGAAATCATAACTCTAAATCTCTATTACTACTTCTGTCTCATATCAACAAAGTTCAAATATGTATCTATTTATATTTAAAATAAAGGTGTTTTCTAATTTCAGAGTTATGGAATACTTATATAGTTATATATAGCACCTCAGATTCAATTCACTATTTGTATCCAACTCAGTTATATTTAGCTTTGATGGATGTTTTGTTCCTTCTATGAGACACCAAACATCTTCTTCCCATATTGTTATAAAACAATCTACTGTGTGTGGTCCATAGTACTTGGTGCAATTATCAGGATAAACTTGAAAATAGAAAAGTAAGGGCGCTCCAGAATAACCAGTATGTGTACAAATATGGGGGTAACTAATTTTGCTCGCCAATTTCGCCTACATTAAGTTGTGTAAAGGGACTGAAATCTATGAACAGGGGGTATATTCACTTGGCTAAAACAGACAGTACCCGAACTCATAATAGAACTAAATTAAGGAAAATTGGAATAAAATTATTGCCTAACCCTAACCTGGTACACACACTATGGGAGTACCAAAGTGAGTACATGCCACATTTGACTCATTAATTCTTAAGTGTTTTATCATTTTCATTTCCTTGAAAATAGGTTGCAAATAGTTAAATGCAAGACTTGAATAAAGTAAAGTAATAAATATATTTGTTATTCCCTGTACTTCCATGCAAAATGTCTGTGTAAAACTTTTTCATACTATTTCAAAACATCAAACTTTTATTTTTAACTTTTATAGATTCATTTTATACTAAATGATTCCCCAAATAATTCTTATTTTAAATAACTCTTACTTTACAGTATTTATGTAATTAGGTATTTATACGAGTCAAAATCATTTATTTGAAAACGTCATTAAAGATTACGAAGTTTAATATTTACCCATTCCAAAACATTCAAGCTGTTGTTCAACACTATAATTATCTGCAGCCATAGCTGTTGAGTTGAAAGCTTTTTGAAGTTCTCTGTGAAAAACAGTGTGATACATATAAAGGTAAATATTTTTGCGATGACGTCACAAATTCATCATCCGTTAAAGATTTAATACAAGGTTTTTAATCAGGAATTCAATCAACTAATACCTTAAATTTAAGATATCAAGATCATTTAGTTCTTCTTGTGTTCGGTTATGTGGATAGTCATCACCCTCTGGTAAGCAAGTTGCAATATCCCAAATAGTTTCCAAGCACTCAACACTGTGGGGTCCATAATACTTTGTGCAATTATCAGGGTACTCTTAAAAATAATACTTTCAAAAAGATTTCCATATATATGAAGATTAGTTGGCAATTGGAAAAGTTAACTCATATCGTAATTGAAAATAATTTATATTCAAGCTTTGAGTCACTAGGTTTATATAAATTTGTTTCACATTTCAAAATGTCAAGTATTAATTTTAACATACATTAATATGCCACATGAAACTTTGAGGTACAGAGCAAGGTAATATATTTTACAGCCCAAAAAATCCACGGAACTCTTTTTATATCGAGCATTGTTTGCAAAACACCAGATGATATAGTTTAAGATTTATTCGAAATAGACATTCAAATTAATTAATATTCACCTAGCTTAATTGGGGCAAAGCAAAGAAATAGACTATGGAAAAGAATAATAGCTCGTGGACGCTGAAATACCAACTGGAATTATGTGAGCCAGGTTGTAAGTAGCTAGGAATAGCAATGACATTATAACATTCAATTCGAGATTGTTTCGATAAGAACAAGTCCTATATTTTTGCAGGGATTGAAGAAAGACAAACACGTAGTTATTCTTCGATGTTTCTCAGTTTCTCACATCTTTCAACTTTTTCAATTCTGATATATATTTATCCATCATAGATAGAGTAGTTGATATAATGTATATAATGCATTATAAATAACTTAGCAAACTATCGCGGCTCACAAATCTGGCTAACTAAATTTCAGTTACAATATCATATTACATTATATCATGTTACAATATCATGAAACGCTAGTGTTCCGCGGAACACCAGTTGAAAATCACTGCAATAAATCATTAACTGAGTAATCATCATACTCGTTCCAATTTTTCATGAAACACCTGGAGGCATTTCATGAAATACTAGTGCTCCGCGGAACACCAGTGCAATAAATCAATGATTCTGTAATCATCATACCCATTCCAAAACATTTTAATTGCATTTCATCATTATCAGAATCTGCCTCTTGTCTAACATCACTAAAATTGCCGATCACTTCTCTAGAAAAGCATGAGTGTAATAAATTAGAGCACTATCGACAGATTTCATACAGATAAAACATGGAAATGCAATTATCATCTTAACCTAAAATTGATGTTTGGGAATATATAAGTATTTGCATTTTATTCAGTGGAAGAGAATAAATAGCTCACAAGCGAGGCATTTTTTCATACCACAATGACAGTCACTTCAATAATCCAAGTCATGCTTTAGTCAAATAGACATTTACACTTTCAGAATATAGTATGATCAACAATAATAAACCTGCAGTGAATTTTTTCTTAATCTTATACAGAATTTAAAGTTTCTTGCTCTCTATATCAAATTCTTAACACACATAAAGACACGCTTACCTTATATTCCACATATCATATTTGCTTATCTGATCTAACGGCAGTTTGGTTGGATATCCATGACCTTCTTCAAGACATTCAACAGATTCCCATATAGTTATATAGCATTCAACAGAATTAGGACCATAAAATGTAGTGCAATTATCAGGATAAACTGGGCGAACGATCAGATAAAACATAGTGAGAGATGCGTAACGCAGTTCGTTATAACAAATTTGAAATCTTTTACTACTTTCTAATTTTAATTCTAAAATTTGTTGACAATTAGAAAATGAATATTCCATCTGAGGAGTAAAAAAGACATGACCTTATTTCACCATTGCTTCCATAGGATGATAATTGGTGAGATCTAATTTGACTCACATTTTTTCTATGTGTAAAATTTTTGTGAACAATAAAACAGCCTTTTAAACAACAACTAAGTTAAGGTCTTATTTAACATTGTCTCTGCTGCCATACTCTTGTCAAGCTGTAATGTTCGTTACAATGTTATTACTTCAACAGTACACTAATCTGACTCTCCACTTGTTTATTTGAAGTTTGATCATTTTTTTATTTAAAAGATTCAGTGTTTTTTAAATTTCATTTGAAAATTTTTCGAATTAGCAATTTGAATGGTCCAAGTCAGGGGTGTGCAACCTTTTTTGCAGGCGGGCCAAATATCAATAACCGGTTGAAACCGCGGGCCGCACCTTAATTTAACAAATGCGCTCTATTGGTTGCAGGCACAAAATGATGTTTTTTTGTTATTGATCTCATGTCATCATTAGGGTCATTGCAGAAATGATGAGGTAAAATGCATAAATTTCTCAAAACTGTAATTCAAATATATCGTCACACCCAATTTAAACGAATTCAGTAAGAAATTTGCTGCTGGATACTTTTCTCGACTATACTTTTATCCAAATTTGCTTGAATGGAAGTGCTAGAGTGCCAGCAATTCGATATGACGCCCATTTTAGAAAAAAATATGTTACCGAAATATACCATATTTGAAGCCATGACTTTTTTTAAATGTGGAAAGTTATCTTAGTTGAGTTGAGATGTTTTCAGTGAAATACGCCAAGATTCATTTCCAAATAATTTTCTGTCAAATCTTATTCTAGGTTAGATTTATAGAAAATCAACGAATAGGCTGGAACCAAAACTCATTTAGCTTTTGTATTTATTAATATTAAATTATTTTAAACTGCTCTACAGTTGCCTCCGAGGGTCGCACAATTTTCCCCTGTGGACCGCATTTGGCCCACGGGCCGCACTTTGCACACCCCTGGTCTAAGTCAAAAAGCTGCTTAATGTCAACATTCACTGTATGATAATCAATCTGACATAGTTTTGACTGTACAAACTGGCAACAGTGAACATCCTGTGCATTATTTAATTTGTCGGTTACACAAAACACAGACAATTCAAGTATGACAAATGAATAGATCATAACTCAATTTTCATAAACAGTAATCATACCCATTCCAAAACAGTTTAGTTGATGAGATTTACTAGCATTATCAGCAGAAGCAAAAGTAGCATTGAAAAAGTATCCAACTTCCCTAAAATAGAATTAATATTGTGATGATAAAATATATCTTTCTGATTCAATCAAATTTTTTGATATTGTAAATTAATTGAATGTATGAAGAATAATAAAAATAATAAATGAATAACTACTGGCAGTAGTAGTATATATATATCCGTCAATACATACTGGGACAAGCTGTTTATAATAATGACTAATAAAAAACTCAATATACCTCAAATTCATTTCGTCCAAAGTTCCATGCTCATCAGAAGTCAAGTTTTTAGGATATTTATCACCTTCCTCCCCACAACTCGCGATATCCCATATTGTTATCAAACATTCATTTGAATGAGGTCCATAGTACTTGGTGCAATTTTTAGGATAAACTGAAAGTGTGAAATTTATAAATATATATGATTTTCTGAACTGTGTACCTCATCAAAATAAGCTAATTTAGAAAAAACAACAGAAAAATGTTTACATTTATGAATTCGTCTAATGGCATTACAGGAATGGTTTGTTAGGATGAATTTCCGGAAATACCCTAATATAGATAACTAGAAGATATTTCAAACTCTTTTTATCAAAAGTGGCTAATTATACTCAATAGCGAACAAAACACAAGAGAGAAATGTTACCTCCTATATTAACAAATGTGAGTCAACTGTCACTATGAAATAAATAACATTGGAAGAAAAACCTCAAAAAGAATTACTGAACCCCAAAAAATGTCAGTCGAATCTTGTCAAAAGTTGTATTTGTAACTTTCTATGCATACTAACCGAGACCAAAGCATTGAAGTTGCATTTCCACATTCCCATTATCTGACCCATTCATCAGCATTGTGAAGTTAAGAATATTCTCTCTTAAAATAGGAATATCAATAAACATGTAGCAATGTAGCATTGGTTCCACAATTAATCAGAGTAAATTTAATCAATATATCTGCACCACACGAAAAAACCCATGAAGATATCAACCACAAGATATCCTATTATGACGTCAAGCCCCACTGATGTACATTTGTACGTACTGCGACAATGAGATTTGAAAACAAGGTAAATAAATGATATTCAAAATAAACACAACTAAAAACAATATCAATTTACCGGATGTTCATGTCCGAATGAACTTGAAATTGATTAGATGATAACTTGGTTGGATACAATGTTCCTTGTTTCAAACATTCTGCTTCTTTCCATATTGTTTCCAAGCATTCAACAAAATTAGGTCCATAGTATTTAGTGCAGTTCAATGGATAAACTAGGTTTAAGTTGATAAAATGTTTAAATTGTCAATCAAATTATATCATTCAAATAGAATATCTCAAATACACCACTCCCTAAATCTATGATTTAAAATGAAATTTGGTATGTCACAAAATTAATGGCTATGCTAGTGTTGTCTAAATACTTGCCCATTCCAAAGCAGTTCAACTGATCAACAGCACTACCGTTATCAGCTGATATTGCAGTATAGTTGAACAAAGTTCCAACTTGTCTAAAAAAAGGAAATGTTTTTGTTTAAGATCAGAAATAGTTGTTTAGGATCAGAAGGTGCTAATGGGCTCAATAGAAAAAATAGATTTAAAGTTGAAAAAAAATTGATATTTTTCAGTTCAATAGTATTTAAATATTGTCATTTCAAAAATATTAACATTAGAGAGAATTCAATACATGTTATTTATCAATCCATAAAGTATTACAAACACTATATCGTTCCTATTTTTAATTGAAAATAAACTTAAAACATAAAATACCTGAGATTTTGTTCATCCAAATAATCATGCTCACTCTCATTAAGTTTTAATGGATGTTTGAATCCTTCAGGTAAGCAATAAGCAATCTCCCAAATTGTTTCCAAACATTCTACTGAATGAGGCCCATAATAGTATGTACAATTTTCAGGATAAACTAATTGGAACAGAAACAAAAATTGAAAACCCATGGGCAAAATTACTTGTTAAATTGAAAAATTGATTTTATATGATCTATTTATAGTAACATACCAATTCCAAAGCAAACAAGCTGCATCTCTGCACTTTCATTATCTGCATTTTCTTTTATAGTTGTGAAATTATGATTTATTTTCCTGAAATATGGATTTTACCAAATACAATGAAAAAAATTCTACAAAAACATGTTATGTTATATGACCGTGGTTTGTCATAAGATCTCACATCTCATAATATACCTCAGATCCATTGTTCCATATTCTTCTACTTCAAACTGAGATAATTTCTCAGGAAATTTAGTTCCTTCTTCAAGACATTTTACTGAATCCCATATTGTTACGAGGCATTCAACAGAATTTGGTCCATAATATTTAGTGCAATTTTCAGGATAAACTAAAATATAATACCAAAATAAAATCACAAAAAATCATGAACGAATGAAACATAATTAAAACAAATCATTGCATTAGAAAGTTTTCATATTTTCATTTTGTGAGCTTTCTGGTTAAACATTATACATTGATGCATATCATTCATGCCTGATAAGTTTTCTTGGTATTGAGTAAAGACAGTTGAGTAGAAGCTTTGATGGAATGATATTAACAATTTTTTACCACACCACAACTTAGATAATTATAAAACTAAAACGTTGTTCTTCAGAACTTGAAATACTCACCCATTCCAAAGCAGTGTTGTTGACTTGTAATGTTACCCTCATCAGCTGCTTTTGCAGTATCATTGAATATTCCACCTATCTCCCTACGGTAAAAAAAAAACTTCCTTTATATTATATATAATGAAATGTTATGAAAGATTATAAGTGTAATGAAACTGGTACTGAATAAAAAAAAATATCAGTCATGTTACCTCAAATTCTTGGCGTCCAAATTTTTTAATTCATCTTCAGTACGATTCTCAGGATATTTGTATCCATCAGAAAGACACAATGCAGTACCCCATATTGTTTCAAGACATGCAATTGAGTGTGGTCCATAATAATTAGTGCAGTTTGCAGGATAGACTTCAAAATATTAACCAATCAATTATATATAAGACAAAGACAAATCATAGAAACAATATAGAACTTTAAAAAGAAAAAAGGAAAATAATATTACTTCTCAAGGAAATACATACCAATCCCAAAACAGTACAACTGCAAGCTACTATTCCCACTATCAGCCCCCTGTTTTTTATTTGAAAACTCTGCCAATATTTCTCTGAAAAATAAAAATAAAATTATGTATTGAGCTTCAAAAATTTCATGATCATTCTAGAAACAAGAAAATTACCGATAAAAAATGCAGCAAAGTATTCTAGTAAATACTGGTAAAATCCGGTAATAAAATCAAGGTCAAAAGATAAAAGACCACATCACCGCTATTGCCAACAGCTTCATTTTATAAAAAAAAAAAAGACTTCAATTCAAACCTTCTAATTGCATATTTTTTATTTTGCCTCAAATTAATATATTTACACTACCTCAAAGTATCATCATCATATTCCTCAATTTTATCAGCTTCCAACTTGTTTGGATATCCTGAACCTTCAATGAGGCAATCTACTGATTCCCAGATTGTTTCGAGACATGATAGAGAATTAGGTCCATAGTATTTAGTGCAGTTATCAGGATACTCTGAATCAGAATGCTAGCTAAAATCTTTGGTGGTAAAAAAATAATAAATGATCTCCCTATTCAGTCAGTGTATTACATTATTTGATACCACGATAATAACCCCCAATTTCACTAAAAATAGTATGTATCAGTATTAGTATAGTACTAATCTTGTCATAAATTATAACTTTTGATCATACTCATCCCAAAGCATTTAAACTGATTTGTTATATTCCCCTGATCAGCAGTATCAGCATAAAATTTGAATAGTTCAGCCACTTCCCTGGAAATAAAAAATAATTTGCATAATTTAATCAACATCTTACTAAAAATCACTTCACACTGATATAGTAGGCATTCAAGCTCTGAGAAGGGGGATATTAGGAAAGTCAGTATTGTAGAGTTGGTAAACTTGACTTCTGATCCGAAGCTATTCAAAAGTTCAACTTCAGCATTGATTTTCTTATATCCGAATGCCTAGTTAATAAAACCGAAAAATGGAAGTGTGACTTCGATTTCAAAGCAAAATAAATTTGTAGGTTTCAACTCCATATCCATTGTTTAAAAAATAATAAACTAATGGATAATATGATTACGCTATGACTATCTGCAAAAATAAAAACCCTAGTCTCTAACACTAAATGATCTCTCGAATACGAATGCCCTGAATAATAAGAATCTGCTGATTCAAATACTTGAATATGCAATGCTTTTTAATATAAACCAAATGTTTGCTTTACTTCAAGTTCATTTCATCCAAAATGTTACGTTCATCTGTTGTGAGATTACGTGGATAATTATATCCCTCCTTCAAACATGTTGCATTTTCCCAGATTGTCTCCAAACATTCAACCGAGTGTGGCCCATAGTAATTTGAACAATTAGCAGGATACACTGAAACATTTTGAACACTGTCAGATCAATTTTTCAAATAATGTATGAAATAAATTGGGCAATATTGACAGAAAAAATTAAATGATGAGGAAAATAATCTGAAATTAATATAACAGAATGTTTAAATTACCAATTTGTATTATTGAACTTTTTATCTGGTTAAAGATAATATTTATTTCTTCTGTACTGTTAGTTTAGATTAATTAGATAGTATAACTTACCTATGCCAAAACACTCAAGTTGCTTAGAACTGTTCCCCGAGTCTGCCACAGTGAACGTTGTGTTGTATTCGTTCAGAATTTCTCTGCATTAAATGAGAATATCAATGTTATAAAAGTATTAATAGCGGTAAGATAAAAAGTAATGTAAGCAGGTTATTTTATTGTCAAGTTTCATGAAGTTTATGTCTTCATCATTCAAAATAATCATCCACTCAAGACAATATAGTATGTAAGATCTAGAGCTTACTAAGTGTACCAATACCGAGATTGAAGCTGCATAAACTTCATAAAATTTATAAATATGTGAGGCTTCAGTTTTAAAAGAGTGATTAATTTTGCGTTGTCTCAAAATTTTAAATGATGGACAAACGTAATTATAGTGATATGTTAACTAACTAGCTGGGATTAGAGATTTGAGATTCATCACCTGCAATGGTAGCATGAATACTTGCTTAATCGGAACAACATTCCCAATCAATCAGTTACTCTTTTTTATCTTATGTTAAATGTTGTCCAGTAATACAATAAATATAGTCATTTAACCTTAGGTTCATCTGGTTATATTTATCCAACTCATCTGCAGTAAGTTTGCTGGGAAATTTTGTTCCTTTATGTAAGCAGTTAATCGAAAGCCACATTGTTATCAAACAATCAACTGAATGAGGACCATAGTAATCTGTACAATTAGCTGGATATTCTGTAGCAAAATCAAAAATCAGTGTATCAGTATAAGAAAAAATAGTGGCATTTCTTGACAACGATTCAATTTTTCAAGAAAAAGTGACAGGTCAGAAAGTTTAAATGAATTTCAGACAGAAGTATGTTATAGAATTAATTGTATTACTTGTAATGAGCTAAGCTGTACATGACATGATGTTGAACATACACATATCACTTTGATGAAAAAAATCAAGCAAAAAGCAACAAAATCAATATTTGTTCTACCAAAACCAATAAGCTAATCTTATTTTGGACTGAACACAGTTACCTAATCCAAAACATTCCAGCTGACTTGAAACATTTCCATTGTTGGCGGAAAATGCGGTTTCATTAAATAATTCTGTTACATTTCTAAAAACAAATCAAAAAGTTTTAGACATAGGTAGTCATTTATGATCAAAAAATGGTATAACCAGTCCTTTTAGTCATTACATTTAGCAATATGTTTTAACTTAAATCATATTTAATGAAAAATATATTCTTAACCTGATATCTATTTCATCTAATTCAACCTTTTCATTGATTGTCAGATTAGTTGGATAATCATATCCTTCGTATAAACATGTAGCATTTACCCACATTGTAATTAAACAATCAACAGAATGTGGTCCATAATAGAATGTGCAGTTTTCCGGGTAAACTAAAATACATAATGTAAAAGTAAAGACAAAATATATTTGAACAGTTCACAAGTTAATATAAAAGCAAGCACAAACATTGCCCAAAAATAACAAGCTAACCCAGTCCAAAGCAAGCAAGTTGTTCAGCAGTATCACCACCATCAGCAAGATTGTGTGTATTGTTGAAATCTTTTACAACTTCTCTGTAAAAAATCAAGTTGATTCAATAAAAATTCTCATAAGTATACTAATTCAGTTGTATGACCAAATGAATTTTAGAGATTAATTAAAAAGATATTTACCTCAGATTCATTTTATTGAAAACATCGATTTCCTCAGATACAAGTTTTCTTGGGTATTCATGTCCATTTGACAAACATTTTTCTTGAGTCCATATTACAACTAGACATTCAACTGGGTGTGGTCCATAGTACTCCACGCAGTGCATAGGATAAACTGAGAGAAGTAACGCATAATATTATATTCCCACATTTAATAAAACTAAAAAAAAAAAAATTCAAAATAATTTTATACGATTATCAACATTTTAGCAAGATTATGAACAGTTATGAAAACAACTATTTCCAAGAAGAGCTTCCTTAAATTTTATATTTTTGACTGCCTCACTGAAAGCAAAATGTCTGTACATTGATGTATGGGCACATTCATAAATAAAAATTTCAATGAAAAACATCTTACCCATTCCATAACATTCTTCTTGATAGAAAATGCTGCCATTGTTTGCTGAAAAAGCTGTGAAGTTGAACTCTTCCTCAATTTCCCTTCATACAAAATCTCATCATTTATTGTTATTTGTATGAAAAATCAAATCAATCAATATCAATCAGATCAAATAAACATTTATTAATTTTTTGTTTTAACATTTTTCTCAAGAATAGAGCCATATTCCTAAATGGAATGCAGTTCTCGAGCTATGGACAGAATTTTTGCTCCAAACTAAACAAGGATCCAGTTTGTATTTAATTTAAAAAAAATATTTTAGTTTACAAGCTTAGACCCAATCAAAGAGGATGTAGACTAAAACTGAGTATTGAACTAATCTGAGATTTTTGCATTACCAACAAACTCAATTATTGGTTACGTCCAGTGGTGGGAATCAGCCGTTTCGCACCGGTTCTATAGAACTCTCATACGAATTTTATGAGATCAGCGAACCGGTTAGAATTACTGGTTACTGTCAATGTTCTGTTTATAACAGAACCAGCTGAAAAATATGACTTTTGTGATGGAACCGGCTGGCAAAAAATTTGAATCCCACCACTGGTTACATCTTGTATGCAAACGAATTAAACACGGATCAAACCACACTTGTACTGCCTTAACTGTGACAACAATTCAAGTCATGATGTATCTAGCAAATTATATTGAAATTTAATATTAAATGCAGCATTGTTTGTTTCTTTGTTTCGCTTATAAATAGTACATTTATAATATATGATATTTCAGTATCTGAAAAAAAGTCACATAGCAAAGAAAATACTCTACATATACATTGAATAAGCAATTAACATAACTGTGGTATGTATAAGATTATGATTCTGGTAATAGTAAAATTAATTATAATGCTACGTAAATTTGACTAACCTTAAATTCATTTTATCAAGATTATCGAGTTCATATGATGTCATATTCTTAGGATGATTATATCCTTCCAGCAAACATGTTGCATTATACCAAAGTGTTTCCAGACATTCAACACTGTGTGGACCATAATAGTTGGTGCAATTCAATGGAAAGACTGAAAAATATTTTAAATTGCTAATGACTTACTGAAAAATTTGTAGCAAAAAAACTAGAAAGTTGAGATGAATTTATTGGGGAATTAGTAATAACTATTTCGCATTATGTTTTAAAATATCAAATAACCATATATACAAAAATTAATAAAGCATATTTTAGATGCAAACTTTAACCAAAATTGTGTGTATTAAAATAATAAATCAAAATATTTATAAGACCAAATTACCATATCCAAAGCAATATTCTTGGTAAGACTGATTACCAGCATCAGCAATTGTGAAGGTTTGGTTGAATTCATTAATCACTTCCCTATAAATAGAGAACTCATTATTATACTCAAGTATCAAACAAAAATGGTCAACACCATAAAAAGTCACAACAGTCATCCAAATTATTTCAAGAGTCTGTATGCTAAAAGTTTTTGAATTTGATTTTAATGTTGCGATATGTATCATACTTGTTCGAATATAACACACAAAATCCTGTACTTATTTTCAATCAAAAATTAAGGGTGCATGTTATAATCGAATGAATAGCAAACCGGTACCACCCTTTTGCCCGGTAGATACAATTGAGCAATCACTATTTCTTGTGCGCCTTTTTTATCATAAATTTTGAGATTATTTTATTATAATTAAGAATAATTTCATTACTAGTTTTACCATTCTCATTTCGATGTATTTTAAGGTAAGGTATATTTAATTGTTATTTCAGGAAGATAGCTGACAGCAAATGACCGTTCAGAATCATTGATAGCAACACAGAATTATTATCTGTGTCACCATTGCTATCAGCAGTAAAAGGAATATTGAATTCAAAAATGACTTCCCTGATATAAAAAGAAATATTATTTGAAAAAAAAAGCATAATAAAAAACAACATAGGCAATTTATCTAACTGACCTCAGATTCATTTGGTCCAAACGATGCAAATCTTCAGCATCACGATTAGATGGATACTTGCTGCCTTCAGCCAGACAGTTTACAGATAACCATATCGTTAGCAAACATTCAATGGAATGAGGTCCATAATAATTTGTACAGTTCGCAGGATAAACTTAATTTATGAAATGTAATATTATCATGAAATATCATAATGAATACTGCAGTCAATGAATCAACATTGGGTTCACTTACCAATTCCAAGGCAAAAACTTTGATTAGCTGTGTTTCCACTATCCGCCGACAAAAATGTGTTATTGAACTTTTCTGTCACCTCCCTACATCAAAGTAACATATTACAACAATTTAAAACATGGTTACAATCATTACCAATAACCACATTGTTAATGAAATATCTATACTAAAATATTCAAATCAATGTATGTATCTTGCCTTATGTCCAAAGTGTCCAAATGCTTCAAATATTCCGAATCAAGCTTATTGGGATATTTGGTTCCTTCAATCAAACATCTAGCAGACAACCATATTGTTGATAAGCATTCAATAGAATGGGGTCCGTAGTAGTTAGTACAGTTAGTGGGGAAAACTAAAATTTTAAAATTGAAGTTACAAAAAAAATATTGACCTCCAAGTCACGCTATAATGGACGATAGATATCGTTGCAAACAACAAAGGCTTAATTCAACAAATTATTCTGAAAAGTTAGAATAAATAAGTAAAGAAAAGATAATGCTAGTTTCCTACCCAAGCCAAGGCAAATAGACTGGTGTTCTGAATCTCCATTGTCAGCTGCAAGAAATGAGTTGTTAAATTCCAAAATTATCTCCCTGAAACAAAGTGAAACATCATATCATGCTGGTACTCTTAAGACTTCAAAAGATTGAACAAAACGAATACCTTATATTTAGTTCATCTAAACGAGTTAGATCAGTTTCATTTCTCTTATTTGGATATTTAGATCCCTCTTTCAAACATTTAGCAGACAACCATATAGTTTCCAAGCATTTAACAGGGTGAGGTCCATAATAGTTTGTACAATTTGAAGGATAAACTGAAAAGTAATATTTAAATGAAAGCAATCATAATTAGTTTTTCTAACTAAATTCAAAGTTATTTTATACACACCCATTCCAAAACAGTTAAGCTGGTCTGTAACAAAACCACTCTCTGCTGACAAAAAAGTTGCATTGAATAAATCTTTAATATTTCTGTAAAAAATTAAATTAAATTCACAGTGAAATATACCTATCTACATTTTACACAAAAAAGGGTAAGACAAAATATACAATAAGATAAAAATACGCAGATAAATAATAAAAAACCCTATATTACAAATATTTGTTTGCGTTTTTAGCAAGATTTAAGAACTTCCAATAGAATAACAACATAATTCAAACTATTTTCTCCTTATGACATCATAATTTTTAAAGAACAGTGACAGTTGATTTTATTTTTGTCCAAAAAGTTTTTTTTAAATTATTCTACTTGGTTTCTATGTGGTTTACCTGAGTATATATGTAAGAGTGCAAAGAATTATTGCTTTTTTTAATATGTTATAACAATAAATAAAATACTTACCTTAAATTCATTACATCCAAGTCTTCATGCTGATCAGTAGTAAGTTTTTCAGGATATTTGTAACCTTCAGGAAGGCATGAGACACTCATCCATATTGTGATCAAACATTCAACATCATGTGGACCATAGTAATTTGTGCAATTGGATGGATAAACTGGAAAATTGATGTGTTTAATGAAGGTATGATGAAGTAAATGCATAATGTGCTATAATAATAAAATATATATATATATAATTCCTACCTACACCAAGACAATATGTTTGATTATCTGGATCTCCATTGTCAGCAGCAATAAAAGTATTATTAAACTCTCCAATAACTTCGCTGTAATAACAATTTGTTTCTATTTGATTATGTGCTTCATACAAAAGAAAAAAAAAGGAAAAAAATTGTAACAGACATTTCCTTATTGAAAAGAAATTGAAGTGAAGATATTTTATGTATGAGTACAAAATTAAATCAAACATTAAATGACATAAAGTATTTAGTATGTTGGGTACATAAAATAATAATCTGCATGAGTCTTTTTATTGGCATTTAATGACAAAATGAAAATATAGACACATTAAATGACATACAGTATTTAGTATGTTTGGTACATAAAATAATAATCTGTGTGAGTCTTAGTAATGACATTTGATGACAAAAAAAAAATATAGACACATTGTGTATTTTTTTATGTGAGAATATGCACACCGGATATTCAAATCATCAATGCGGTCTAATTCAACTTCATCCCTTTTTTCTGGATATTTGCTTCCTTCTTCTAAACATTTAGCAGAAAACCATATTGTTCCCAAACAATGAACAGAATGCGGCCCATAGTAGTTTGTACAATTAGAAGGATAGACTGTAAAATACAAACACATTGAAAAGCCTGAAGTGTTATATTCAAAATTGAACTAATATTGAATACTGAATGTCATAAAATGACTTACTGATACCAAGACAGAATGTCTGATTTGCTATGTCCCCACTGTCAGCAGCACTAAATGAATTGTTGAATTCAAGCGTCACTTCTCTAAAAAGTGCCAGGAAAAATGAGACAAGGTGTGAAAACCATACAGTTATATTTAATAGGTTTTTTCCGTCAGCTCCTTTGAAAAACAAAACACTAATAGGCCTACCTTATATTTGAAGTATCCAATCGGTTTAAATCTTCTGAATTCCGTTTTTCAGGAAATTTACTTCCTTCTTCTAAACATTTAGCAGACAACCAGATTGTTTCCAAGCAATCGACAGTGTGAGGGCCATAGTAGTTTGTACAATTTGCAGGGAAGACTAAACAATTTGACATAATTACGATTGTTCCAATACATGCATTAATAAACTGAGTTTCTGTCAGTTTAACAAATTAATTGTTTTGAAGCAAGTTAACAGAGAAATTTTTATTTCACATGCTGTGCGGGGTGAGAAGTTTAATTACAATAAGTTAAAACTGATGGGACTGCTGTACCAAAATGTCCTTCAATTTAATAAGTGAAATTTACTATTCAAATATTAGCAGTATAATACACTAGTTATCAAAACTTCAACCGAATATTTTCACAAAAACTTTTTTGCCACTAGCTGCCCTAAATGTAAAGATATATTTAATTAATTCTCAACTATCGCTCAAGCAAAATGAACAAATAATGAAGCAGATGAAGTTTATTAAGTATTTTATTATTTCCCTTCAATGAAGTATTATAACAATTTATTAGAAACTTGGAATATGTCACTGATCATGTGACACCCATTGGTGAGTAAACAAATACCAGCATTTGAGAGTAATACTGGAAATAACACAAATAAAGAATACCATTATATGCAAAGTTTTAATATGAGTCAGCATAAATGCTATTTGAAAAAAGTGCTGAATGATTTTTGGGAATGCAACGTCACAAGTAATAGGTAATAGACCTAAATCTATAAAAATGTTATAAAAAGGTTATGCCAAACATGTTATATACATACCTATACCAAAACAAAATGTCTGATTATCCAAATCTCCATCATCAGCAGCATTGAATGTTTCATTGAATTTCCAGATTACTTCCCTGGTAAATATTTTATTAAAGAATTCACAATGTTTTTTTTTTTATAAAATAAGACAAAATAACTTATTATTACTCATTAATTTTATTATTGTAATGTAGTATCAACTTATTTAGTCAAAAAAATATGAAAAAAATTAAATAAATAAAAACAATGTGCAGCGTAACAATGTTATAAATAGTTATAAATATGGAATTTATTCGTAGATAGGATTATCAACATGAAAGGGTAATTTATAGCCATTCCATAACCAGTTTTTATTAATAGTTTAACGTAGCAACTGTCTTTGACATAGGCATTTTTTTAAATTATAACGAATAGATACCAAAACTTGTTAAAATAAAAGTGTCACAAGCAGCACCTAAAATCACATTCCACAAAATAAATGAATCTTCGGGTTTTATATATTTAAAAATATCCTCAAAAACTGGTTTACAGTATAACACTTGAACAAATATCACTGTGTCTTTGAATACCTCATATTCAGTTCATCCAATAAGTCCAGTTCATTTTCATCTCTCTTTTCTGGATATTTGCTTCCTTCTTCTAAGCATCTTGAAGACAACCATATTGTATTTAGGCATTCAACAGAATGCGGGCCATAGTAGTTTGTGCAATCAGTTGGATACACTGAAGTAAAATGATAACAAAACTCATCATCAAAATCATAGCTCTACCTTATAAAGTTTTTAAAGTTTGGAAAAAAAATTTATTATAACTTACCAATACCAAGACAGAATGTCTGATTATCTTCATCTCCATTGTCAGCAGATACAAAAGTGTTGTTAAATTCCAGAGTTATTTCCCTGAAAAATGAACATTGACTTTGAATTTTAAATTGATCAACACAACTTTGTTTCAGTTTGACAAAAAAACATTAATGCCTGACAGTTATTAGCAATAAAAGTATTAAAATGTTCCAAATGTGGCTGACAGTTCCTGGACTTACTGTATATTGTGGCAACACATATACAAATGAATATCATTACCTTATATTTAAAATATCTAAACGATCCAAATCAGTTTCATCTCTCTTTTCTGGATATTTGCTTCCTTCTTCTAAACACTTAGCAGACAACCATATGGTTTCTAAGCAATCAATTGAATGAGGACCATAGTAGTTTGTACAATTAGCAGGGAACACTGCAACAATACATGGAATACTTTAATACAATATTGCAAAGTTAAGATTAAAGGCTTAAATAATAAGAAATCAAAAAATCAAACAATATGTAAAGGCACCAATCACATCGTAAAGCTGATTAAAAAAAAATTTGTTTGTTTCTTTACGGAAGGCAAATAATTTTTGCAAGTTAAAATATATAAATTATATTGAAACCCCATAAAATTTTGAAGATTTTTTTCCAAGATTAAAAAATATACAAGATTTAGGGTAGTTATATATATTTATGTATTACAAATTCCATGTTTGCAAGACTAATGTCATTAATAAGGCCTGAAAACCATAATTGTCACCTAGCAATTTTAACAACTACAACCATATTAACACCCACCCAAGCCAAGACAGAATGTCTGATTGTCTGGGTCTCCATTGTCAGCAGCAATAAAAGTTTCATTGAATTCTTCAACTATTTCCCTGAAAAAATATTGTGAGCTAAGGAGTTTAAATCTAATCTCCAGGATTTAAAATTACATTGCCATAGTTCCCAAAAGCAACTAAATTACCTTATATTTAGTTCATCTAAACGATCCAAATCAGTGTCATCTCTCTTTTCTGGATATTTGCTGCCTTCTTCCAAACACTTGGCAGTTAACCACATTGTTTTCAGACATTCAACAGAGTGAGGGCCGTAGTAATTTGTACAGTTCGCAGGATAAACTAAAAAAGACAGAATTTACCAACAGTTTCATTACAAAAAACTTGGCAACTCTTATTGCCGTATTTTCGAAAAGAGAATTTTAATAATTCACTACTAACCTATACCAAGACAGAAGGTCTGGTTATCTGCATCACCATTGTCAGCAGAAATAAAAGTATGATTGAATTCTAGAGTGACTTGTCTGTGATAAAGATAAAAAATGAACAATTAAATCCATGGCAATATATTAAAAATATTCAAGCAGTTAAATCCACTAAATTCAAAAATGATGTAATATTCCATGGATTTATGATATTTATACTTATATTTTTTTCAGCATCAATTGTTCAATCATTTTGAATAGGTGATTCCTTTTGCACTGATATCATTAATTAACTTGATATGCATGAAATGACCTTGGTGCACTGTAAATACTAATACATATAAATTAATCTCACCTTATATCCAATGTATCCAAACGATTCAGATCTTCTGTATTTCGTTTTTTAGGATATTTGCTTCCTTCTTCTAAGCATTTAGCAGACAACCATATTGTTTCCAAGCAAAAAATTGAATGAGGACCATAGTAGTTTGAACAATTGGCAGGAAACACTGTTATAAAATTGTGAATAAGGGTAAAACAAATGATCAAAGCCTATTTGATCTTCTGAAGGTTTAGTTGTCGAAGTAATAAGCACAACTTATTTTGTTTTACCTCTTTACTTTTGCAATATATGATTTATAACTTTGAATTTTTTTTTATATTATTTGTGGATCCTCACAGCGAAACAGAATCCACCTTAAATGTAATTGTGGAGTGAATAAAATCAATTTTTTTTTTCAGATTTCATAAAACTTGTTTCATGAACCACCAAAATGTTTTGTTTCCAAGAATAGGGAAAGTTTCTTCACAGCCTATCTGAATACACTGAAGACAAGATGGAAAAATCCGTAATTGTGTTTGAATAAATTCAAGGAAGTGCAACTTCTGATACTGACCCAAGCCTAGACAAAATGTCTGGTTGTCAGGATCTCCATGATCAGCAGCTAAGAATGTTTCATTGAATTCCAAAATCACCTCTCTAAAAAAAACTTTGCTATCAAAGATAATTCCTATTGAGAGAAAATAATTTTTTTTAGAAAACACACACAGCCTGTTAACCACTTGTGTAACCATTCATCAAGATAATTCTTCAAATCCCTGGAGGGATGAAATACTGTTTTCAATGAAAGCCGAAGCTGAACATGACAGAATTACTAATAAAAAACATATTTCTACAAGCTACATTCCCGGCCTATATATTATGATGATAAGCATGAAAAAATTTCACAAAATGTTGATATGTCAGCCTTGGTACTTTCAGATATGGTTTATATTGTTGCTGTCTGAGAAATATGGAAAAGCAGACTATAATGCTCATATATTTAGAAAAAAATTAAATAGAATATTGAATGAAAAAGCTTTACAAAATCTTAAATCAACGAAATATGATTAAAATTACGCAATCCAGAAAAGTTCTACCTAAGAAGTAGTTCTACCTAAAATTGGACAATCCCTTTACAAGTATGCTACATATTTTGAAAAATCATTCTTTGTTCATAGATAGGTTTTAAAAATTATTGGAGTTGATAAATTTAAGGCAAGTTTGATACAGGAATATGAATATGATACAGATTTTTATGATATCTAATTCAATACCTTATATTCAATTCGTCCAGTCTATCTAGTTCAGTTTCATCTCTCTTATCTGGATATTTAGTTCCTTCTTCTAAACATTTTGCAGACAACCATATCGTTACAAGGCATTCAACAGAGTGAGGGCCATAGTAGTTTGAACAATTAGTAGGATACACTGAAAAAAAAGGCATTAAAAATTCTGATCTTAATAGAACAAATAAAATAGGAACATACCAATTCCAAGGCAAAAATTTTGATTTTCTGGATCACCATCATCGGCAGAAATAAAAGTATTGTTGAATTCTGTTGTAACTTCCCTGTAAAACGTTGTAACAGTTTAACAAGACAAATTAATTTGCACGTGGCAAAAGAACAGGAACCAATGACAGTAAAAATGTTTCTGTGAGTTCATGTCTGTACAATGTGTACGCTATTCAATAAAACCTTATATTTAGGGTATCCAATCGATTCAGATCTTCAGTATTTCGCTTCACTGGATACTTGCTACCTTCTTCTAAACATTTTGCAGCCAACCAGATTGTTCCCAGGCAATCAATGGAGTGAGGACCATAGTAGTTTGTACAATTAGTTGGAAATACTGAAACAAATAATACAAATGAATAGAAAACAGGTAACCCATATTCCTGTAGATTTATTTCTGGATATTTTGAGAAATTATTCACTTTATTAGTTTACATAGCTCATTATCCTTACTCAACCATAATCATGAAAATTCTAACACTCAATGACATTCTACTTATTAATTACAAAAAAATGGGTAAAGTTAAAATTTGAATAAGCGATGAAGTGTTACAAACACTATGCAACTATTCTCATAATGTTCCTACAATATTAGAAACAGTCTACATAACTAATTACTACTAGTTAATATGGACAAAAAATTTTATTGAAAAAATATTACTTACCCAAACCAAGGCAGAAGGTTTGATTATCTGCATCTCCATTGTCAGCAGCAATAAATGTTTCATTGAATTCTTTGGTTACTTCCCTGTAGAACATATTGAATTCTTTGATTATACATTCTATAACTCTATAACTCCAAACTGAATTCTTGAACAAAATTTCATGAATATGGGCAGGCGTGGGAATTGTTTTTGACACATAATTGACTAAATTGTGAGAGCATACTACTGACATTTTTGAGGTATATATGAATTTAACAAGCAAGTCTAACTAGCAGGTTCGATTAAATGAAAATGAAATTAATTAACAAATAAAAATGAAAAAACAAACACAGAGTTCCAATATGCCCTTTAAAATTTTTTTTTATTTGAGAAAGAAAGGTCCACGTTTCCAAGGTTTCTCTCTCACACCATTATACCGCGCTTGCGTTTGGCATGCGTGCCAGGGGTTGTCGACCCCTGCTATAAACAAACACTAAAATCTATTAAGTGTTTGATCAACTGAATATAGCATACGATCTACCTTATATTTAGTTCATCTAAACGATTCAAATCAGTTTCATCTCTCTTTTCAGGATATTTGCTTCCTTCTTCTAAACATTTAGCAGATATCCAGATTGTATCCAGACAATCAATAGAGTGAGGTCCATAGTAATTTGAGCAATTAGCAGGATAAACTGGAAAAAAAACAATAGAAAACTGGAAGTAAATACTAGCTGGTAGAACACTGTAGATTAACTTTTAGAGAAAATGGAATCTTCGACATACCGATACCGAGGCAAAAAGTTTGATTTTCTGGATTACCATCATCAGCAGAAATAAAAGTATTGTTGAATTCCATAGTAATCTCCCTATGACAAGTTGAATCGTTTTAGCAAAAAACAAGAAGTATTGCACAAATAAATATTGTATTTTCCAACAAATAAGACAATTTTGTGGACCCAATTTACTTATCCGATTTTCTCATATCATTCAATAAAACCTTTTTTTGTTGTTGGGGGTATGGTTATTTATTTTGCATAACTCTCAAAAAGCAATTGATTCGGAGTTGATATACTTTATAATGTATTGAGCGCCAACCAGTCTGATAATCGGGGCTAATAATATTCGACTTTGTACTGCAAGTGTCTGTCTTCTTTATGACAATCAGAACATGAATAGTGTGATGAAACCCTCCGACAACTATAAGATAAAGTGATTTATGATCCTCTGTTTTGCCGATTTACCAAAAATAGACACCATACTAGACAACAGACCTGTTAGCTACCCCATGGGTGTACGGTACAGGTGCATATCATACTATATTAACTGAATATTGAAACGCTCCACTTAACAGTTTGTTCATAGTGATTTCTGCCACATTTTTAAGCTATTACAGCTTTTGTTGGGCAGAATATTAAATTACAGGACTATGGTTCTATTGATGTAAACATGATATGGCCCTAACCGACTTTGCCATATCATATTATGATTGCGAGTCAATGCTTAACTGACAAACAGAGTAACAAAGTAACACAATTTTTCTGCCTTGACTTATTTGGGAGTGATATGGAAAATCCAGATTTTAGTGCTAAAAAAGCCTAGTCTTATTGGCCAAGTAGACTTGTTAACTAGGATAACAGTAAAATTTTGAAAATATCTGTTTACATTAGATACTTATTTCAAATGATCTTACAAGCATAGATCTTGTCAAAAGATACAGACATTATATCACCTTATATCCTGAGTATTTAAACGACTTAGATCTTCTGTATTTCGTTTCACTGGATATTTGCTTCCTTCTTCCAAACATTTTGCAGCCAACCAGATTGTTTCCAAACAATCAATTGAATGAGGGCCATAGTAATTTGTACAATTTGCAGGAAATACTGCAATCAATTCATAAGTATCAAGAATAGAATATACAAAGCAGTACAATATTATCAAATTCAGGGTTTAAAAACCGGGTATGAGTAAAACTTTTGGGTTATATAAATAATTAACGATAAGGTTTAAATTTTTGGAATAAATATTTGAAAGAACAACTTCATCGAGCTGCATTTCATCAAATAGTTGAAATCAAGTACTTCATTTAACATCCATATAGCATATTTTTGTGGTCAAAACCCAACATAACTGAGACTTTAAAATCCTAACTTATTTAAAACTGCCTCATATATATCGGCAACAACAAACTTGGTGTAGTTTAATTTTATTTACGCAAGAAACATGGAGCAATAAGAAATTTTTTTGTTAATACATAAAATCAAAAATGCTGAATAGCAGCAGGCTGTACAACAATTGTAACACTGTTCTACAATTTGTTTTACAATATTTAGATAAGTGAGTGAATAATATCTTTGATCTAATATATACATTTTTGATTGAAATCAATTTTGGATTCGACATGTGGAAGGTGTAAGAAACATCTCTGTAACACTGTTCTATAATTTGTTTTTACAATATTCAGATAAATGAGTGAATAAAATCTTTGAACTAATATATACATTTTTGATTGAAATTATTTGGAAACCACATGCTGGAGGTGTAAGGAACATCTCATTTGAAAAAAGAAGAATAAAAACTGAGCAATCATTACAACATTCACTTACTTGCTATTGTCTCATAATAATAAAGCAACACATTGTTGAGGAACAAGACCTATAATTCGAAGCCAAAGTATTTAAGATATAATTATAATCACCCAATCCAAGACAAAATGTTTGATTATCTGGATCTCCATTGTCAGCAGCAATAAATGTTTCATTGAATTCCTTAATTACTTCTCTGTCAAATAATTTTCAATATTCAAACAAAAGTAATGTTGATTTGTACAAATCACTGACAAGTTTTAATATTCAATGATAAAGTGTTCAAAATCTGTACACAGACATTCACACTATCCAGGTAACTTACGGTAATACCTTATATTTAGTTCATCTAAACGGTTCAACTCAGTTCCCCCTATCTTTTCTGGATATTTGCTTCCTTCTTCTAAACATTTAGCTAATAACCATATCGTTTCCAAACATTCAACTGAGTGAGGACCATAGTAATTCGAACAATTGGTAGGATAAACTGAAACAAAACAAAAAAATATCCGTGATTGAACTGAATATTTTGTTTTTTGTTTATAATAAAAAATGTCTTACCTATACCAAGACAAAAAGTTTGATTTTCTGGATCACCATCATCAGCAGAAATGAATGTATTATTAAATTCCTCAGTAACTTCCCTATACAAATAACAAAATTTCACCAACAAAATTATTTTCCATCAGATAATTAAAAAATCTAATCTTAACGGATGGTGTTTCCCAAAGTAGCTTCTATTCCACTAAAAATACAGTCATGGATATTACCTTATATCCAATGTATCCAAACGATTTAGATCTGCTGTAATTCGTTTTACTGGATATTTGCTTCCTTCCTCTAAACATTTTGCAGATAACCAGATTGTTTCCAAACAATCAATTGAATGAGGGCCGTAGTAATTTGTACAGTTTGCAGGAAATACTGCAATCAATTTATAATTATAAAGAATAGAATATACAAAGCAGTACAATATTATGAAAGTCAAAGTTTGACAACTTGGCTCAAAAATCTCAATTCCTTTTTGCATTCTAAAGTAAAATTTTTAAGTTGTACATGTAATCATAAATATAGCAAAATTTTTAAAAGAAATATTTGAACAAGGATGATATTTTTTTCAATCCTTGCAAAAACAACTTCATTGAGCTGCATTTCCGCAAATTTGTTGTAACCGAGTGCTTCATTCAACATTCATAATCTATATTCTTTTTGTCAAAACTCAAAATGATTGAGACTTTTATCATAACCCATTTAAATAATCTTCATATATATTTGAGACAACAAACTTGGTGTAGTTTTATTGAATTCACGCAAGAAGCGCGAAGATATGAGAAAAAAATGCGTTCATACATAAAATCAAAAATGCTGAAAAGCAACAAATATAAAACAAAAATGTACAAAAATTTGTTTTGCCATATTCAGATAAGTGGGTAAAAATTATCTTTCATGTTATAAACACAGTTTTGATTGAAATTAATTTTCGATTCCATGTGATAAAGGTGTAAAAATAGTGTGTTTCAAACAGACAAAATCTCATTTGAAAAAAAAATGAGCATTCCTCACAACATTAACATCCTTACTATTATCTTGTCTTGTCAACAAGGTGCTCAGTATAAAAACTTATTAGATCACGCCAAAGTATCTAAGATATATATATAGTCACCCAATCCAAGACAAAATGTTTGATTATCTGGATCTCCATTGTCAGCAGCAATAAATGTTTCATTGAATTCCTCAATCACTTCTCTGTCAAATAATTTTTAATATTTCAAACAAATGTAATGTTGATTTATACAAATCACTGACAAGTTTTATAATTCAATGATAAAGTGTTCAGATATATGATTCAATGTTGGTGTTATTTTTAAATATCTGTACACAAACATCCACACTATCCATGTAATTCAATACCTTACCTTATATTTAGTTCATCTAAACGGTCCAAATCAGTTTCCCCTCTTTTTTCTGGATACTTGCTTCCTTCTTCTAAACATTTAGCTAATAACCATATTGTTTCCAAACATTCAACTGAGTGAGGACCATAGTAATTCGAACAATTGGTAGGATAAACTAAAGCAAAAGTAAAAAATATTTGTAATCAAACTTACGGTAATATTTTGTTTATATTAAAAAAAATGTCTTACCGATACCAAGACAAAACGTTTGATTTGCTTGATCGCCATCATCAGCAGAAATGAATGAAGTATTAAATTCTTTGGTGACTTCCCTGTACAAATAATAAAAATTTCATCAACAGAATTATTTTTCATCTCTTAATTAAAGATGCTTATATTAATAGATGATGTTTCCCAAAGCAGCTTCTATTCCATTGGAAAATACAGCCATGGATATTACCTTATATCCAATGAATCCAAACGATTTAGATCCTCTGTATTTCGTTTTACTGGATATTTGCTTCCTTCTTCTAAACATTTTGCAGCCAACCAGATTGTTTCCAAACAATCAATTGAATGGGGGCCATAGTAATTTGTACAATTTGCAGGAAATACTGCAATCAATATATAATTATAAAGAATAGAATATACAAAGCAATACAATATTATCAAATTCAGAGTTTGATAACCTGGTTTGAGTAAAACTTTTAAGTTTATTAATAAATAATAAGGTTTAAATTTTTAGAATGAATATTTGAAAGAACAACTTCATTGAGCTGCTTTTCATCAAATAGTTGAAACCAAGTACTTTATTTAACATCCATATAGCATATTCTCTTTGTCAAAATCCAACATAACTAAGTCTTTAAAATCCTAACTCATTCAAAACTGCCTCATATATATTGGCAACAACAAACTTGGTGTAGTTATTTTATTCACGCAAGAAACATGAAGCAATAAGAAATTTTTTTGTTAATACATAAAATCAAAAATGCTGAATAGCAGCAGGCTGTACAACAATTGTAACACTGTTCTACAATTTGTTTTACAATATTCAGATAAGTGAGAGAATATTATCTTTGATCTAATATATTCATTTTTGATTGAAATCAATTTTGGATACCACATGCTGAAGGTGTAAGAAACATCTCGATCAAAAAAAGAAGAATACAAAATTAGCAATCATCACAACATTCACTTCCTTGCTATTGTCTCATAATAATAAAGCAACACATTGCTGAAGAACAAAACCTATTAATTCAAAGCCAAAGTATTTAAGATATAATTATAGTCACCCAATCCAAGACAAAACGTTTGATTATTTGGATCTCCACTGTCAGCAGCAATAAATGTTTCATTAAATTCTTCAATTACTTCTCTGTCAAATAATTTTCAATATTTCAAACAAATGTAATGTTCATTTATGCAAATCACTGACAAGTTTTAAAATTCAATGATGTAGTGTTCAGATAAATAATTCAGTGTTGGTGTAATTTTAAACATATGTACATGAACATCCAAAAATTTCAGGTAATTCAATACCTTATATTTAGTTCATCTATCCGATTCAAATCAATTTCATCTCTCTTTTCTGGATATTTGCTTCCTTCTTCTAAACATTTAGCTAGTAACCATATCGTTTCTAGACATTCAATCGAGTGAGGACCATAGTAATTTGAACAATTGGTAGGATAAACTGAAGCAAAACAAAACATAATCTGTAATCAATCATAAAGTTTTATCTTTTGTTTTTGTTTAAAAAATGTCTTACCAATACCAAGACAAAAAGTTTGATTTTGTGGATCACCATCATCAGCAGAAATGAATGTATTATTGAATTCCTCAGTTACATCCCTATACAAATAACAAAAATTCAACAAATTTATTGAAGAATCTCATCTTAATAGATGATGTTTTTCCCGAAGTACCGGTAGTTTCTATTCCATTGAAAAATACAGGTATGAATATTACCTTATATCCAATGTATCCAAACGAATTAAATCATCTGTATTTCGTTTTACTGGATATTTGCTTCCTTCTTCTAAACATTTTGCAGCCAACCAGATTGTTTCCAAACAATCAATTGAATGAGGTCCATAGTAATTTGTACAGTTCGCAGGAAACACTGTAACCAGATTTATAAATAATAATTTTAATGAATGCAAGTCATTATCATATTTTTATAACACAGTTTTAAAAATGATTTTCAAGGATATCTTTTATTGGCCACAATAATAAAATGTGACGGGTACATTCTCAATTAATCATTGAAATAATGTCATAAACAGAGTGGCAACATCTTTCATATTGCGGACCCCGAACTAATATATAAATATCAAATCCAGAAAGTAATAAAATAGTAAAAACTAATACTAACCCAATCCAAGGCAAAATGTTTGATTGTCTGGATCTCCATTGTCAGCAGCAATAAATGTATTATTGAATTCCAAGATTATTTCCCTACAATGGAATTACGATTTCAGTAATTTCTCATTCACTAATTTTTTTTATTAAATATAGGAGAAGAATGAAATCCTCCAAAATGTAAACCAGTGTTGGCAGTTGGAGGTTGATGTTTTTCAATAGGCTTGCACGGAATTTACGAATTTAAAGAATTATTTCGAGTTACGGAAGGGAAGTTACGAATTACGTAAAGTCGTAATTATTGGTCCCCTTCTCTCCTTTTGAGCTCCCATAGCGATGGTAAAATTCGTTTCATGTCTTTTTCATGGAGAGAAAGAGAAATACGTCTTTTGGAAAATGCAATCAACAATCACACATTCTTATTTCGAGAGAGCTCATTCCAATCGCTCATTCCTCCATTTTTTTACTTGTTCCAGTTTGCCGTTACATATGTTATATATGTTGCGTTTCTATTTTATTCTATTTTTATAGTTGGCCGTATACAAATAGTGGGAATTCCCCACCAAGAGTTGATCAGCAATGCTTAACCATTCTTCATTGTTAATATCAACACTTGATATATGAACCATGGAATATCATACTGTTTTTGGCTATTTTATTTCGACTTGGGGTATAAACAGGAAAATCTCCATAACCCTTCAATACAACTGCCGATTTTTAGGCGAAAAGAGCGATTGAATACTCGGCGCCAATACGTCGCCGTGATAATTAATGTCGCGCTCATCAAACAGCAATATGACGAAGGAAGAGAAATTGCGTAATGAACTAACGCAACTTTATCTTTTCGGCATCGGTAAAGCGATTGAGACGGCAGAGAAACAACAAAACGACGGGATTTCCCACAAACCGGTATAAATCCTTGGCGGATGTTATGTTTTTCACAATGCCTCGCAATATTTCTGCCAAATATGATAAACTGTCGTTACCAAATGCGGCAACTTATTTTGATTTATCGTCGACTCGAATACCACCAGCACTCGACGAAACTTGTGTCAATCTTGGCCGATAGGATTGTCGACTTGAGTTAGAAAAATAAGTTAATTTTTTCATGAGTGCAAAATAAATGTCACAAAATACATTGTTTTATGGTATAACTTTGTATTTTCGGAGAAGGCAAGTCATATAAATACGGTATTTAAATTATGCGCAAATAATTGATATTTGATCTAAATTTATCGCAAATAATGTTATAACCGCGTTTGTTTAGGCTGCGAAACGATTCAATGTAAAATGAAGCATGGTAATCGGAATATCGTCAATAAGTCGGCATCAATAATTACCGGTAATATAAAATGCTAACTAGGTAGTAAAGTCGGATAATGTAAAAAACGGTGCAATAACAAGTCTTCGTCGCAAGGCAAGCGCAAGTATAATCAATCGAGAGAACACGCTCGTCGTTGTTTGATAAATTAGAATTCCGAAATTTTTATGAAAACCAAACTTCGATGTCCCATTCGGAAAATTCGTTGTCCCAATTCGTTGGTAATTGTTATGATAGGTTTAAATGTGTGAAAAAATATCGCAATTACGGAATTACGTAATCGATTTTGCCGTAATTACGGGATCGATTTTTGTCAATTATGTGCAAGCCTATTTTTCAAACTGATGAAAAAAACTATTCAGGCATCCCAAATATTTCAATACCAGCGGCATAAAAAAAAGAATAACATTCAGGGCTTGAGATATAAATTAGAAAAAAAAATGGATAACTGCGCCATGAATTTCAAATTCAAGGATATATAGAAGTCAGATATGATGTTACTACCCACAAAAAAACGCTATGGTTAGCCAAATGTAATACTAGTATAATACACTGAAATAAGAATAATCTTTGTTCAATCAGAAAATTTTGGAAATTAGAATAGTCATAGTTTAAAATGCTCAATTTTGAAAAGGGAAACTAGTTGCTAAGATATTTTTTGTTGTATGATGCTCCAATGCTCAGAAATGTCATGATCGATATCAACATGCAATACCTTATATTTAATTCATCTAAACGATCTAAATCTGTTTCATCTCTCTTTTCTGGATATTTGCTTCCTTCTTCCAAACATTGAGCAGACAACCAAATTGTTTCCAAACATTCGACTGAATGAGGACCATAGTAATTTGTACAATTGGCGGGATAAACTAAAACAAAATAAAGAGAGATTAATAATAGTGAACAAATCTGAAAGCAAGTTTCCGATTGAAAGTAAAGTAAAAAACACAAGTGACTTACCAATACCAAGGCAAAAAGTTTGATTTTCCGGATCACCATCATCAGCCGAAATAAAAGTATTATTGAATTCCATAGATACTTCTCTGCAAAAGATTGAAATAGTCCACCAGAATTAGTATTGATTTAATAATGAACATAAAAACATTGACTTCCAAATTGTCTGCAAGCATATCATAGTTACTGCTTATCACCTTATAGTCAAAGCATTCAAACGATTCAAATCTTCTGTATTTCGCTTTACTGGATATTTTGTTCCTTCTTCTAAACAGTTGGCAGACAACCACATTGTTTTCAAGCAATCAATTGAATGTGGGCCATAATAATTTGTACAATTCACAGGGAACACTGTAAATAAAGGCAGAAAAACATTTGAAACTAGTTTCATATTGCAATATAATTCAGATGTTCATCTATTCATTTTCATTGTGCAAAAAAAAATGCAATGTAAAGCATGATTAAGCAAGCCTGTTATCGCGACCATTGGTATTTGATAAATCTTTTTCTGATGAAATAAGTTAGTATATAACTACACAAAAATCAGTGCAGATTGAAGTATGTAATCTGTAGATATTAAAGCAAATACACGGAAAACTACAATATAAAGTAGGACACAACAAGAGACAATGACTATTTCCAAATATGAAGTTAAGGTAAGGTGTTCAGGTTTTGAATGATTTTGTGGAAAATCGATTTACATACTAACAAGAATTTTTAGTGAAGGACCTTGCGCCATGTAAGTGTACATTGCTTGGCTTCTAAGAGAGTTGGCAAATGCAGAATGGATTTTTTTGTGAGCATCCATCTCAACACTTCGATTTCATAAACATTTGCCATTTTAATCATTTGCAGGCTATAATAAATAGGACTGAGTTGGGATCGATGTCTCGCAGGAGACACAACATGGAATGCAGTTACGCATAATTTTGAATGCGATGTAATAAAGTTTGATGATGTGAACCCAAGCATTTATGCAATATTGAATATGTGTTTGGAATAAAAAGTAGTAAACCATGCCTAATTTTTGTTTAAATGGACATTTTCAAATTCTGTATCTTTAATTTGGATTACCAAACCACTTTAAGATATGCTTGATATTATTATTATATTATATTTGGTTATATTAACATAGTTTTAGATTTATCATTGTTTATTGGCCCTCATCTGATTTCCCATTTTTATGACTTCTGTGTTCACTTTTAAATGAAGAGCTGATTTGTCGCTATTGATCATCAGCAAACAGTTTAGAAAATAATGCAGAGCAATACACTATATCATTCATTAATAGATACTAATTAGAAATTAGAGTTTGAACTCATGTTCTATCGCTTAAAAAACTAGAAATGAATTTATTTGCATGTCCACTGGTACCATAATGCCTCAACTTATAATACAGAATATCCTGATTTACAGTATCGAATCCCTTCTTTAAATATAAAGAAGTTGCGATGACAAACTCTTTTGTTGGTGGTTTATCATGGATATTTGATATTGTATCTAAAATAGGATTGGATTTGATTGTTCTAGAAACCTAATTGATATTTATTCATTACATCATGTTAGTTAAAGATATCTTTTTCTAAATATTGTTACTTTTTTACAGCTGACAGTTAAATATCAAGATTTGAAAAAAGCAATGTCTTCTATACAACAAAACCTACCCAAACCAAGACAAAATGTTTGATTATCTGGTTTTCCATTTTCAGCAGCAAAAAACGTTTCATTAAATTCCATAATTATTTCTCTGCAAAAAAAATTGAAAAAAATTCAGAATTTTCTGTGTCATAGAATTTCTGAAAATTAAACGTAGATTCAAATTGAAGATTCATATATATATATATTTTTTTTTTCGATAATGCTTGATTAACATAATTTGTGGGCAATATAATATAGCAGAAAAATCTTCTGTGCTAACTATAAATAAATACTTTACTTGAAAAGTTGTTGCACAATTCTAATAATATAATATTATTTCTGTCACTACCAAATACCTTATATTTAGTTCATCCAATCTAGCCAAATCAGTAGTATCTCTCTTATTTGGATACTTGGTTCCTTCTTCCAAACATTTAGCAGACAACCACATTGTTGCTAAACATTCAACTGAATGAGGGCCATAGTAGTTTGTACAATTCTTGGGATAAACTGAAATAACCCGAAAAAATATATAGAGATATACAGAATGCTGTAAAAAACCTTAAGCTATGAAAATTCAAAAACAAAAGGATGACTCACCAATACCAAGACAAAATGACTGATTTTCGGAATTACCATTGTCAGCAGAAATGAAAGTATTGTTAAATTCCAAAGTTACTTCTCTGTAAAAAATAAACAACAACTTATGGATCTTTATTGAGAGAATTAATTTCTCCAGAATTGAAATAAATTTAAAGTCTCTAATGAACAAAATCAAATTAAAAAACAACAACATTTAAACCCATTCTATTTTTTGTCTACACAAACTTCATAAAAAAATAATATGATTATCACCTTATATTTAGAGTATCCAAACGACTCAGTTCTTCTGTATTTCGTTTTTCAGGATATTTGATTCCTTCCACTAAGCATTTAGCAGACAACCACAATGTTTCCAAGCAATCAATTGAATGAGGACCATAGTAATTTGTACAATTCGTAGGAAACACTACAACCAAACATGAATTATTGATAATAATATACTTGAACAATTCTTGCACAAGATCCAAAATCTGATTCACAAAACTTTGACATAGATGATATCTTTTCCGAATTGGTGAATCCAAAATAACAGGCATAACACCAAAAATATTTCAATTTTCGTATATAAGCTAAGCAATAATATTTCATTGTATACAGATTATAAAATGGGATAATTTGATTCAAAAAGTTAAGGCAGTGGTCCCAAATCAATAAAAACACCAATATCCATTATATTCTGAACTTGCCTTAATAGTTAGTGGCGTGTTTTTGTGAATGAGATAGATTTGGGAATCACAAAAAACACATGGATATGTAAAACAAACATGAATCAAATATTTGAAAAACTAAATACCCAGGAATTATTAGATAGCATAAAAATATGAAATGACGGTCATCTTTAACAAAAAATGAAATAGTAAATATAACATAAAATAACACTCACCCAAACCCAAGCAAAATGTCTGATTATCTGAATCCCCATTGTCAGCAGCAATAAATGTATCATTGAATTCTGTGACAACTTCTCTACAACAGAATTATGAGAAAAAGATTTAAAATATTGTCATTTGCAGCATTTGTTTAGAACAACTTCAACTGGTATTCATTATGGGAAAATTTAGATAATCGAACATCCGTCTCAAAGTAATACTGATTGACTTATCTAATGATAATAAAGAAAACTGTATTATCTAAGGTGCTTAAGCTAATTTAACAATTTTGTATGAAATGATTTGAATATACATAGTGTAATTAGAGAAATATAGTAGAATTCCTATTGCTTATCTACCTTATATTCAGTTCATCAAGACGATTTAAATCAGTTTCATCTCTCTTATCTGGATACATAGTTCCTTCTTTAAGGCATTTAGCAGACAACCAAATTGATTCTAAACATTCAATCGAGTGAGGGCCATAGTAGTTTGAGCAATTGGAAGGGTAAACTGCAAATAAAAAAATTTGAAATATAAAATGTAATAGAGTACTTTATATATGTTACAATGATATTAACATATAACAGGGTATTGCAAGTTCCCTCAAAAACATTTCTAATACAATCACTTACCAATACCAAGACAAAAAGTTTGATTATCCGGATCACCATTGTCAGCAGAAAGAAAAGTATTATTGAATTCCAGGGCAACTTCTCTGTAAGTTATAAATAAAATACCAATAAAACAGACATAATGAATCCCAAGTCAATGACTTTAACCTTTTCAAAACCTGAGTTGCAATTATAACGTGGCTTGTGCAATGAAGCATTACCTATATATGACTGACAACGACCCGTCAAAAGGGAAACGACCTCTAATGAGTGAAAGATAAAGCCTTAAGCTTTGCCAATTCAGTGAATGGAAGACTACTCATATAATATAAAATAATAATATTTTTTCACACCTATGCATAATACACACATGTACACAGAGGACTACAGTACTTGTTGCAAATTCTAGCTAGCTAAAATTCTAAATGTGTTACCTTATATCGAAAGTATCTAATCGATTCAAATCTGCTGTATCTCGCTTTTCGGGATATTTGCTACCTTGTGCCAAACATTTAACAGACAACCATATTGTTTCTAAACAATCGATTGGATGAGGCCCATAGTAGTTTGTACAGTTTGCAGGAAAAACTTGATAACAACAAAAAATAATGTCAGGGGAACATAAGTAAAAGGGCTCCAGATACATAGATATGGTGTACGCCTCATCATAAACACAGAACCATTGTAGGTATTATTCATACACCTTACAAATTCAAAACATGCTTCCAACATTTTGGTTAATGTGAAAACTGGTGATCCCAAACTGTATAGCTTTGTTTTGATCAAGTTGAATTAACATCAGCACAATTAACACAATACCTAATTCCAGATTTCATGAAAATTAGCAAACTTGGTGCTTCACAAGACAACCAGCATTTCCATACTTCAAAGTTATATATTTTACGCGTAATTGTGTTTTACATGGAATGTAACTCTTACCCATTCCCATACAGAATGTTTGATTATCTGGATCTCCATTGTCAGCAGCAACAAATGTATTGTTGAATTCTATAATTACATCCCTTAAAACAATTTATCATGAGTTTAACTCGTGGTACTCTAAATCAGGGTTTCCCAAACTGGGGTCTGCTTAACTGCACAGGGGGTTCGCAACGATACGATATGAAAAGAGGGTGATCGATATTCAGTGATTGATTTCAATCAAAAAAGCCATAACATCTTTTTGTTTGAGCGTTGCGGACGAATATCTGCTGTCAGAAAAGGCAATTAAAATTTTATTGACTTTTGCAACGACCTACATGTGTGAGGCAGCATTTTCGGCTCTTACCAATTGATGACAAAATACAGGTCGAGACTTACCGTAGAGTCACACCTACGAGTTTGCTTGAAAGAAATTGCTCCGAGAATTGATAAATTGTGCTGTGAAAAGCAACCTCATCCATCACATTAATGTTGTTTGTGTTGTGAATGAAATGTTATCCTTGCTCGTTGGTTAGGCACATATATAGATACGAAATATGATGGGGGTCCGTCAAAAATAAGATTTACAAACAGAGGCTCGCGGCCTAAAAAATTTGGGGAACCCTGCTCTAAATATATAAAATTATTACAATACCTTATATTCGAGTCGTTTATTCTGTTAAGGTCTATTTCATCCCTTTTCTCTGGATATTTGGTTCCTTCTTGTAAACATTTAACAGACATCCATATTGTTTTTAAGCATTCAATAGCATGGGGTCCATAATAGTTTGAACAACTCTCAGGATAAACTGTCAACGACGCATATTTGTTTACCTTCGTGAAACAGCGAACAATAAAAAGTGCTAAGAAAAATATTCACCAATTCCAATACAGAAGGTTTGACTATCTGTATCTTCATTTTCTGCCGCAATAAATGTGTTATTGAATTCAAGTGTCACCTCCCTAAAAAAATGTTCAATGTAACAATACAGGATTCAAACTTTACAGAATATGCAACAGTTGATACCAATAAAGTTCAACGTTTAAAAAGATTATGATTTCTTGATTTCAATGTTATATACCGAAACATATTTATTACAAATATGAAGTTTGCTCCAACCCTCTGGTCTCAAATTTGTTTCATATATATTAGTGGGTAGAGGTGGAAATTCTTTCAAGAGTCTCTACTTTACTAGTATGATAGGGCAGCAAAATCACTACTAATCATCAATATTGAATATCAGAAGTTTTCAACATACCATCCTATGATTTTATGTCGCATAGCACACATATGCAGCAATCTCACGGCATACTGTTGCTGGATTATGATTTGAGGTTTTATGTTTTACAGGAGATAAAATTGGTCATGGCAAATTTAAACTTTTGGAAGTTCAATAAAGCTATCTAGCTAAAGTTTACCAATAATACTTATGTTTTTGTGAGTTGTTGCATGATTTATCTTTTTATCTCATAAATGTGTTTATTTGATCAATTGACTAAGGAAGAGTTATTTAAACCTTTATTTCAGATTCACGTCAAGTCAAATGAAATAGTGTGAAAAAAATGTGGTTTGACATTTTGAAATATCAAAAAGATTGTATGCTTATTGTCGATTGTTGCAAATAGATAACTAATAAGTTACTGCAATAATTTGCTATCTCTACTGAATTCAATGGTCATTTCATTTAAGAATTTAATAAATTGTATGCCTTATGTTCAGAGTATTCAAACGATCCAAATCCTCAAAGCTTCTCTTTTCAGGATATTTGCTTCCCTCTTCCAAACATTTGACAGACAACCATATCGTTTTCAAACAGTTCATAGGATGAGGACCATAGTAGTTTGTACAGTTTCCAGGAAAAACTAATATGAAACCAAACATAGATCATGGATATTGAGTAGTACAAAATGAGTAATGACACAAAACAACAAAATAAATCTATTGATGCAGGGTATTATTTGGATACTTACCCATACCAAAACAGAAAGTCTGATTGAGAGGATCACCATCATCCGCTGCAATGAATGTATTATTAAATTCTTGAATCACCTCTCTGCAAAAAATAGAAACAAATATTAGTTTCACTTTATTTGTAATTATAATTTGCAACAAATATCAAACCTTATATTTCGTTCATCCAATCGAGAAAGATCAGATAAATCTCGCTTTTCAGGGTATTTGGTTCCATCATTCAGACATTTTGCATTTAGCCATATTGTTTCCAAACATACAACAGGATGAGGTCCGTAGTAGTTTGTACAATTAGCAGGATAAACTGCAAAATTGTGAAATAAAAGATGCATGATAACTATCGCATATGCTCGCGAATAGGCCGAGTTTAAAACTCAAAAAAAAGTTGCCAAACTGAGGGACCGTCTTATTCGCGCATAACTCAGATTGCACCAAAAAATCGGCTCATTCGCACATCAGAATTTGATCACGCAACGAGATGATATTATGCTGACTTGCCGATAATTCTAAAAGCTTCAAACCATACCAAGTTCTCACGATAAAAAGCGCGCACGCACACACACAATCGCTTGTGAAGGTGGATTGTCTTATCATACAGCTATTGGCTTGTACAGTCTGTGATTGGTTGTTTAACACGTGACGCTTGTACAGTCTGTGATTGGTTTGTTTTCGCTCGCTTGTGCAACAGTGTCGATTTACGACCAGTTGATTCGTGGTGAAAACGTTATTATTTGGTGCGCTATCGCCATAGAGGCAATTAACGGCGTGCAACTTTTATTCACCTTTACGATATGTTATTCGTTAAGGGGCAGTGATAAGGACTTATCAAAATTAACCGGGTGTGGACGATCAAAGGAAATTGTTTTATGCTGACTCAGGGACTCTCTTAAACTCCCGACAACAATCCCTTCCATTAATACAAATCACGACGCACTGAAAAGCAATATAGACTTTATTTAACATAAATTAACAAAAAAGAGTTACGAGTAATAATCCACCTACGGCCCTCGCTAACATGCAGAAACTATAAACGTGAGAAATGTTCGCGTTATAGTAATTTTGTTCTCTTTCTACGTTTTTCTTGAGGCGTCCGGCGTGTAACGATTCGTAGGACCGGCTTATGTACGATTTTTTATAAAATCGCCGTTTTAAGGACGTTTTTAGGAAGTCGGCCTATTGGCGAGATAGGCGTAATTACGAGAAAATACTGTATGTTAAATGAAAACAGCTAGACAAAAGATACAAATGTATAATACAGAACAATGAAAAAACATGAAATATGTGAAAAAGATCAAGTTTACATAAAAGAAAGTTAATGGGGAAGAAAGGACTCACCAATACCGAGGCAAGAAATCTGATTATCAGGATCACCGCTGTCAGCAGAACTGAATGAGTTGTTAAATTCCAAAATAACTTTCCTAAACATAGTAATACATATGAATAATAACTGGATTAAAGATGGACTTTGAGAATGCCAAAATACTATAAACTGACAGGATTTTTGCTCTACATTTAAAAACCTATCCACAGTTTTAATAGGTTTTTTAAACAATTTATTCAAGCAGAATGAATATTTTACTGAGGTAATGTAATATGAATATCAAATGAGCACAAATGTCATTGATTGAAAATGAAAATAAACTTTAAATGTTTATAATTTCCATTAGTACAGCATTAAACAATGTAAAAATATGGGATGTCGGAGAGCTGAAAAGTGACCCACGGAAAAATGACCCCCTGTATTTCATGTACTTTTTAGTTTCCTAAAAAGCTCTAATATCATAGGATGCATAACAAAATTGAGATTCAGAGATATTATGTTGAAATATTATGGGCAAAAAATTTATTTCAATGATTTTTCTACAATCTAGAAGTACACAAACTAACCTTATATTTAAAGTATCCAATCTTGCAAGATCTAACGAATCTCTTTTTCCTGGATATTTGGTTCCTGCTGGCAGACATCTTGCAGACAACCATATTGTTTTCAAACAACTGACAGGGTGAGGGCCATAGTAATTGTTGCAGTTGACAGGAAAGACTAAAATGAAAAACAAAAATAAGTTTATATCATGATTTTCATTAGGAATTTAAAATTGAACAGATTTTGATTACATTTTTCCAATGGATATTCAAAAATTATCAACAGAAACCAAATAATGTTAATCAAAATTACATAATTACCAATGCCAAGACAAAATGTCTGATTATCTGAATCTCCATTGTCAGCAGAAATGAATGTCTGATTGAATTCAGCAATAACTTGCCTGTAAAACGATGAAGAATGAAGAAACAGTTAAATGGGATCTGAAATAATTTCAAATCAATACAAAGATATTATTTATATCAAACCTTATATTTAACTCATTTAAACGTTCCAATTCATTTTCATCTCTTTTATCTGGAAATCTGCTTCCTTCTTTCAAACATTTAGCGGACAACCAAATTGTTTCCAGACATTCAACAGAATGAGGGCCATAGTAATTAATACAATCGGTTGGATAAACTGGATAAAAAAAATCAACAAGATAAGAAATGGAATGAACTTGTGAGAATAACAAATACGTTAAAAGTAAAGGCCATACTGCTTACCAATGCCAAGACAAAATGTTTGATTAGACACATCACCATTGTCAGCAGTTGCGAATGTGTAATTGAACTCGAGAATCATTTCCCTACAAAAATAAAAAATGTCAACATTCAAAATAAAAATCAATTTATTGTTTTGCTTTCCTGAAAGTTCATTGCATGTTCAAGTTATATCAAGGTTGATAATGTTGATGTAATTTACCTTATATTCAAAGCATCTAATCTAGCAAGATCTGCAGAATCTCTTTTTTCTGGGTATTTGCTTCCATCTTCCAGGCATTTAGCAGACAACCATATTGTCTTCAAGCAGTCAATAGAATGTGGACCATAGTAATTTGTACAATCGGCAGGATACACTACAAACATAATTATCACAATGAACTATGACTTGAAAAAGATTAAACAATTTCCAATTCCATTTCTTGACTGCAGTTACTCAAAACTAAACCAACAATGAATGAATGTTCAATAATCTTTGATAATTACCGATTCCGAGACAAAACTTCTGGTTATCTGAATCTCCATTATCTGCAGCGATAAATGTTTGATTAAACTCATCAATAACTTGTCTGTAAAAATAGAGAATAATCAATAATTTCATTACAATATATTCAAATATTGCAAAAGATCCAAACCTTAAATCTAATTCATCCAATCGAACCAGTTCAGCTCCATCTCTTTTTACGGGATATTTACTTCCTTCTTCCAAACATTTAGCGGACAACCAAATTGTTTCCAGACATTCAACAGAATGAGGGCCATAGTAATTATTACAATTGGCAGGATAAACTAGAAAATTGAAAGAATAAACAATTTTGTAATCAAATAAACTTGTATGCAAAACCAATATTGCAAAATTGAAAGTTACTGCGTACCAATTCCAAGACAAAATGTTTGATTAGCTACATCACCACTGTCAGAGGCTGCAAATGTATAATTGAACTCAAGAATCACTTCCCTGCAAAAATTAAAAAATACCAACCTTCACAATAAAAATCAATCACATATCTACTCAATTAAATAATATCCACATTCAGAAGAAAATAAAATTTTTACTTTTGTTATATTAAACTCATGTTATGGTTATGTAAAATGCTATATTGCTGATGCTAAATACCTTATATTCAAAGCATCCAATCTCTCAAGATCTGAAGAATATCTTTTTGATGGATATTTGCTTCCTTCTTCCAGGCATTTAGCAGAAAACCATATTGTCTTCAAGCAGTCAATAGAATGTGGACCATAGTAATTTGTACAATTGGCAGGATAAGCTATGAACATAATTATCAAAATGAACTATGACTTGAAAAAAAAATTACTTTAAACTATTTCAAATTCCTTTTCTTTACTACGATGATTTGAAACTAAACCAACAGTGAGTGAATTGTGTACCAATCCTTGATAATTACCAATTCCAAGACAAAAGGTCTGGTTGTCCGAATCTCCATTATCTGCAGCGATAAATGTTTCATTGAATTCATCAATAACTTGTCTGTAAAAATAGAGAGTAATCAATAATTTCAAAAAAAAATATATCATTTTTTGCAAAAAATCCAAACCTTAAATTTAATTCATCCAATCGAACTAGTTCAGTTTCATCTCTTTTTTCTGGATATTTGCTTCCTTCTTCTAAACATTTAGCGGACAACCAAATTGTTTCCAGACATTCAACAGAATGAGGGCCATAGTAATTAATACAATCGGTTGGATAAACTGGATAAAAAAAATCAACAAGATATGAAATTGAATGAACTTGTGAGAATAACAAATACATTAAAAGTAAAGGCCATACTGCTTACCAATGCCAAGACAAAATGTTTGATTAGATATATCACCATTGTCAGCAGTTGCAAATGTGTAATTAAACTCAAGAATCACTTCCCTACAAAAATGAAAAATATTAACATTGAAAATGAATATCAATTTACTGTTTTCTTTCCTCAAATTTCACTGCATGTTCAAGTTATATCTAAGTTGATAATGTTGATGAAGTTTACCTTATATTCAAAGCATCTAATCTGACAAGATCTGAAGAATCTCTTTTTGATGGGTATTTGCTTCCTTCTTCCAGGCATTTAGCAGAAAACCATATTGTCTTCAAGCAGTCAATAGAATGTGGACCATAGTAATTTGTACAATTGGCAGGATAAACTATTAACATAAATATCACAATGAACTATGACTTGAATAGGTTTAACTTAAAACTATTTCCAATTCCTTTTCTTCACTACAGTTACCGGTATTCAAAACTAAACCAACAATGAGTGAATGTTTACTAATCTTTGATAATTACCAATTCCAAAACAAAATGTCTGGTTTAGCAGAAAACCATAATGTCTTCAAGCAGTCAATAGAATGTGGACCATAGTAATTTGTACAATTGGCAGGATAAACTATAAACATAATTATCACAATGAACTATGACTTGAATAGGTTTAACTTAAAACTATTTCCAATTCCTTTTCTTCACTACAGTTACCGGTATTCAAAACTAAACCAACAATGAGTAAATGTTTACTAATCTTTGATAATTACCAATTCCAAGACAAAATGTCTGGTTGTCTAAATCTCCATTATCTGCAGCGATAAATGTTTCATTGAATTCATCAATAACTTGTCTGTAAAAATAGAGAGTACCGTAATCAATAATTTTAAAACAAAAATATATCCTTTTATGCAAACAATACAAACCTTAAATCTAATTCATCCAATCGAACCAGTTCAGCTCCATCTCTTTTTTCGGGATATTTGCTTCCTTCTTCCAAACATTTAGCGGACAACCAAATTGTTTCCAGACATTCAACAGAATGAGGGCCATAGTAATTATTACAATTGGCAGGATAAACTAGAAAATTGAAAGAATATACAATTTTGTAATCAAATAAATTTGTATGCAAAACCAATATTGCAAAATTGAAAGTTACTGCGTACCGATTCCAAGACAAAATGTTTGATTAGCTACATCACCACTGTCAGAGGCTGCAAATGTATAATTGAACTCAAGGATCACTTCTCTGCAAAAATAAAAAATACCATCATTTACAATAAAAATCAATCACATACCTACTCAATTAAATAATACCCACATTCAGAGGAAAATTATAATTTTTACTTTTGTTTCATTATATTCATGTTATGGTTAAGTAAAATGCTATATTGCTGATGCAAATTACCTTATATTCAAAGCATCCAATCTCTCAAGATCTGAAGAATCTCTTTTTGATGGATATTTGCTTCCTTCTTCCAGGCATTTAGCAGACAACCATATTGTTTTCAAGCAGTCAATAGAATGTGGACCATAGTAATTTGTACAATTGGCAGGATAAGCTATAAATATAATTATCACAATGAACTATGACTTGAAAAAAAAAAAATAATTAAAACTATTTCCAATTCCTTTTCTTTACTACAATTATTTAAAACTAAACCAACAGTGAGTGAATTGTGTACCAATGCTTGATAATTACCAATTCCAAGACAAAAGGTCTGGTTGTCCGAATCTCCATTATCTGCAGCAATAAATGTTTCATTGAATTCATCAGCAACTTGTCTGTAAAAAAAGAGAGTAATCAATAATTTCAAAATAAAATATTTCATTTTTTTGCAAACAATCCAAACCTTAAATTTAATTCATCCAATCGAACTAGTTCCGCCCCATCTCTTTTTTCTGGATATTTGCTTCCTTCTTCTAAGCATTTAGCGGACAACCAAATTGTTTCCAAACATTCAACAGAATGAGGGCCATAGTAATTAATACAATCGGTTGGATAAACTGGATAAAAAAAATCAACAAGATAAGAAATTGAATGAACTTGTGAGAATAACAAATACGTTAAAAGTAAAGGCCATACTGCTTACCAATGCCAAGACAAAATGTTTGATTAGATACATCACCACTGTCAGCAGTTGCGAATGTGTAATTGAACTCGAGAATCATTTCCCTACAAAAATAAAAAATGTCAACATTCAAAATAAAAATCAATTTATTGTTTTGCTTTCCTGAAAGTTCATTGCATGTTCAAGTTATATCAAGGTTGATAATGTTGATGTAATTTACCTTATATTCAAAGCATCTAATCTAGCAAGATCTGCAGAATCTCTTTTTTCTGGGTATTTGCTTCCTTCTTCCAGGCATTTAGCAGACAACCATATTGTCTTCAAGCAGTCAATAGAATGTGGACCATAGTAATTTGTACAATCGGCAGGATACACTACAAACATAATTATCACAATGAACTATGACTTGAAAAAGATTAAACAAATTCCCAATTCCATTTCTTGACTGCAGTTACTCAAAACTAAACCAACAATGAATGAATGTTCAATAATCTTTGATAATTACCGATTCCAAGACAAAACGTCTGGTTATCTGAATCTCCATTATCTGCAGCGATAAATGTTTGATTAAACTCATCAATAACTTGTCTGTAAAAATAGGAGATAATCAATAATTTCATACAATATATTCAAATATTGCAAACAATCCAAACCTTAAATTAATTCATCCAATCGAACCAGTTCAGCTCCATCTCTTTTTTCGGGGATATTTACTTCCTTCTTCCAAACATTTAGCCGACAACCAATTGTTTCCAGACATTCAATAGAATGAGGGCCATAGTAATTATTACAATTGGCAGGATAAACTAGAAAATTGAAAGAATATACAATTTTGTAATCAAATAAATTTGTATGCAAAACCAATATTGCAAAATTGAAAGTTACTGCGTACCGATTCCAAGACAAAATGTTTGATTAGCTACATCACCACTGTCAGAGGCTGCAAATGTATAATTGAACTCAAGGATCACTTCTCTGCAAAAATAAAAAATATCATCATTCACAATAAAAATCAATCACACACCTTACTTCATTAAATAATACCCACATTCAGAGGAAAATTAAAATTTCCACTTTTGTTTTATTATATTCATGTTATGGTTAATTAAAATGCTATATTGCTGATGCAAATTACCTTATATTCAAAGCATCCAATCTCTCAAGATCTGAAGAATCTCTTTTTGATGGGTATTTGCTTCCTTCTTCCAGGCATTTAGCAGACAACCATATTGTTTTCAAGCAGTCAATAGAATGTGGACCATAGTAATTTGTACAATTGACAGGATAAGCTATAAATATAATTATCACAATGAACTATGACTTGAAAAAAAAATTACTTAAAACTATTTCCAATTCCTTTTCTTTACTACAATTATTTAAAACTAAACCAACAGTGAGTGAATTGTGTACCAATCTTTGATAATTACCAATTCCAAGACAAAAGGTCTGGTTGTCCGAATCTCCATTATCTGCAGAGATAAATGTTTCATTGAATTCATCAATAACTTGTCTGTAAAAATAGAGAGTAATCAATAATTCCAAAACAAACTACCGTATTTATTCGATTATAACGCGCAAAATTTTGAACTGAATTTTAGGCAAAAATCAATGCTGCGCGTTATACACGAGGTCTGAGAAATGCGGTATTGAAAATGTGGTTTTGAACATCTGAAACGTGCGTGCGCTCGCGCATGCACATTCCAATGCAGGACGATTTCGTGCAAGCACACGCACATGCGACAGCTCAGCGTGCGTTTGACATTCGTGCAAGCGTTCGATTTCGTGCAAGCACACGCACATGCGACAGCTCAGCATGCGATTGACATTCCCGCTGCGTTGAGAATATTTATTTGCCATTATCGTACTGTACTGTAGATACCCATTATATATTACCCATTATCATTATGGCAAGACAAAAACGTTCTGCATATAGGGCTGCATTCAAACTGGAGGTTGTTGATTATGCGGAAACTCATGGAAATAGAAAAGCTTCTAGAGAATTCAATGTACCAGAGACAAATGTCAGAGATTGGAGAAAGCAGAAAGTTGTTCTAAAAGATATGAACAAAACAAAGAAAGCGCGGCGAGGGAGACAAGCCCGGTACCCAGAGTTGGAGAAGGAGCTTTATGATTGGATAGTTGATCAAAGATCTAGTGGGTACATCGTCACTTCGCTCCATATTAGACTCCGTGCACAAAAGATTTGCAAAGATTCAACCTTTAAAGCATCTAATGGTTGGGCACAAAAGTTTATGAGAAGGCATGGACTTGCACTACGCCAGAAAACAAAAATTGCACAAAAGTTGCCTCAAGATTTAGAAGAAAAGATCCATTTATTTCATACATTTATAATCAGTATGCGTAAGCAGCACAACTTTGAACTCTCACAGATAGGCAACATGGATGAAACTCCCATGACTTTCGACTTTCCAGCCAGCAGAACAATTGACACCAAAGGAAAACGCACAATTCAAATCAGGACCACAGGTCATGAAAAGACTCACCAGGTGTTGTGATTCACTGTCATCCTAAAGGATGGATGGATGAGGAGGGGATCATTTTATGGCTCAACAAAGTTTGGGATGCTAGGCCAGGTGCCCTATTGAAGAAAAAGTCCATGCTCGTATGGGACCAGTTCCGATCACATTTGACAGACACTGTTAAGGCGAAGGTTAAAACTCTAAACACCTTTCAATCTGTGATTCCAGGTGGACTAACCTCTATTCTTCAGCCATTGGATGTCGTGTTAAATAAACCGTTCAAAGACAGAATTCGGGAGAAATGGATTGCCTGGATGAAAACCGACGACAAAGAGTTGACTGCTGGAGGAAATCTTAAGAAGCCTGGTTTATGTCTTGTTACATCCTGGGTTAAGGCGTCATGGAGGATATCCAAAAGAAATGGTCATCAAAAGTTTTTTAAAGACGGGCATTAGCAATAGTATGGATGGTACAGAAGACGACTTGTTGTGGGATTCAAAATCAGGGTCAGAAGAAGAGGTTGAAAGTGATGTTCCCGCCGATTGGGACACTGATTTAAACATAACCCAAACAGAAATCGAACAGTTGTTTGGTGAATCAGAGACTGAATCCGATTTTGAAGAGTTTTGAATTACTGTGTGCTTTTAATAAATTTTTGTTCATGCTGTGAGTTGTTACCTTATGTGCTTACCAGTAGTTAGTAGAGAAAAAATAGAAAAAAGAATTTTATACCAATTTGCATTCAAAATTTAAAGGTGCGCGTTATACACGAGTGCGCGTTATAATTGAATAAATACGGTATTTATTTTTTTTTATAAACAATCCAAACCTTAAATTTAATTCATCCAATCGAACTAGTCCAGCTTCATCTCTTTTTTCTGGATATTTGCTTCCTTCTTCCAAACATTTAGCGGACAACCAAATTGTTTCCAGACATTCCACAGAATGAGGGCCATAGTAATTATTACAATCGGTTGGATAAACTGGGTAAAAAAAATCAACAAGATATGAAATTGAATGAACTTGTGAGAATAACAAATACGTTAAAAGTAAAGGCCATACTGCTTACCAATGCCAAGACAAAATGTTTGATTAGACACATCACCACTGTCAGCAGTTGCAAATGTGTAATTGAACTCGAGAATTATTTCCCTACAAAAATAAAAATTGTTAACATTCAAAATAAAAATAAAATTATTGTTTTGCTTTCCTAAAATTTCATTGCATGTTCAAGTTATATCAAGGTTGATAATGTTGATGTAATTTACCTTATATTCAAATCATCTAATCTAGCAAGATCTGCAGAATCTCTTTTTTCTGGGTATTTGATTCCTTCTTCCAGGCATTTAGCAGACAACCATATTGTCTTCAAGCAGTCAATAGAATGTGGACCATAGTAATTTGTACAATTGGCAGGATACACTACAAACATAAATATCACAATGAACTATGACTTGAAAAAGTTTAAACTATTTCCAATTCTATTTCTTGACTGCAGTTACTCAAAACTAAACCAACAATGAGTGAATGTTCAATGATCTTTGATAATTACCAATTCCGAGACAAAACGTCTGGTTATCTGAATCTCCATTATCCGCAGCGATAAATGTTTGATTAAACTCATCAATAACTTGTCTGTAAAAATAGAGAATAATCAATAATTTCATTACAATATATTCAAATATTGCAAACAATCCAAACCTTAAATCTAATTCATCCAATCGAACTAGTTCAGCTTCATCTCTTTTTTCTGGATATTTACTTCCTTCTTCTAAACATTTAGCGGACAACCAAATTGTTTCCAGACATTCAACAGAATGAGGGCCATAGTAATTAATACAATTGGTTGGATAAACTGGATAAAAAAAATCAGCAAGATATGAAATTGAATGAACTTGTGAGAATAACAAATATGTTGAAAGTAAAGGCCATACTGCTTACCAATGCCAAGACAAAATGTTTGATTAGATACATCACCATTGTCAGCAGTTGCAAATGTGTAATTGAACTCAAGAACCACTTCCCTACAAAAATGAAAAATATCAACATTCAAAATAAATATCAATTTACCGTTTTCTTTCTTCAATTTCACTGCATGTTCCAGTTATATCTAAGTTGATAATGTTGATGAAGTTTAACCTTATATTCAAAGCATCTAATCTGACAAGATCTGAAGGATCTCTTTTTGATGGGTATTTGCTTCTTCTTCCAGGCATTTAGCAGAAAACCATATTGTCTTCAAGCAGTCAATAGAATGTGGACCATAGTAATTTGGTACAATTGGCAGGATAAACTATAAACATAATTATCACAAATAAACTATGACTTGAATAAGTTTAACTTAAAACTATTTCCAATTCCTTTTTCCTCCTACAGTTACCGTATTCAAAACTAAACCAACAATGAGTAAATGTTTACTAAATCTTTGATAATTACCAATTCCAAGACAAAATGTCTGGTTGTCTAAATCTCCATTATCTGCAGCGATAAATGTTTCATTGAATTCATCAATAACTTGTCTGTAAAAATAGAGAGTACCAATCAATAATTTCAAAAACAAAATATTCCTTTTATGCAAACAATCCAAACCTTAAATCTAATTCATCCAATCGAACTAGTTCAGCTCATCTCTTTTTTCGGGATATTTTCTTCCTTCTTCCAAACCATTTAGCGGACAACCAAATTGTTTCCAGACATTCAACAGAATGAGGGCCATAGTAATTATTACAATTGGGCAGGATAACTAGAAAATTGAAAGAATATACAATTTTGTAATCCAAATAAACTTGTATGCAAAACCAATATTGCAAAATTGAAAGTTACTGCGTACCATTCCAAACAAATGTTTGATTAGCTACATCACCACTGTCAGAGGCTGCAAATGTATAATTGAACTCAAGGATCACTTCTCTGCAAAAATAAAAAATATCATCATTCACAATAAAAATCAATCACATACTTTACTCCATTAAATAATACCAATATTCAAAATAAAAATCAATCACATACCTACTCAATTAAATAATACCCACATTCAGAGAAAATTAAAATTTCCAACTTTAGTTTTATTATATTCATGTTATGGTTAAGTAAAATGCTATATTGCTGATGCAAATTACCTTATATTCAAAGCATCCAATCTCTCAAGATCTGAAGAATCTCTTTTTGATGGGTATTTGCTTCCTTCTTCCAGGCATTTAGCAGACAACCATATTGTTTTCAAGCAGTCAATAGAATGTGGACCATAGTAATTTGTACAATTGCAGGATAACTATAATATAATTATCACAATGAACAATGACTTGAAAAAAATACTTAAACTATTTCCAATTCCTTTCTTTACTGCAGTTATTAAAACTAAACCAACAGTGAGTGAATGTGTAACCAATCTTTGGATAATTACCATTCCAGACAAAAGTCTGGTTGTCTCGAATCTCCATTATCTGCAGAGATAAATGTTCCATTGAACTTCATCATAACTTGTCTGTAAAAATAGAGAATAATCAATAATTTCATTACAATATATTCAAATATTGCAAAAGATCCAAACCTTAAATCTAATTCATCCAATCGAACCAGTTCAGCTCCATCTCTTTTTTCGGGATATTTACTTCCTTCTTCCAAACATTTAGCGGACAACCAAATTGTTCCCAGACATTCAACAGAATGAGGGCCATAGTAATTATTACAATTGGCAGGATAAACTAGAAAATTGAAAGAATAAACAATTTTGTAATCAAATAAACTTGTATGCAAAACCAATATTGCAAAATAGAAAGTTACTGCGTACCAATTCCAAGACAAAATGTTTGATTAGCTACATCACCACTGTCAGAGGCTGCAAATGTATAATTGAACTCAAGAATCACTTCCCTGCAAAATTTAAAAAATACCAACCTTCACAATAAAAATCAATCACATATCTACTCAATTAAATAATATCCACATTCAGAAGAAAATTAAATTTTTACTTTTGTTATATTAAATTCATGTTATGGTTATGTAAAATGCTGAATTAAAGTTTACCTTATATTCAAAGCATCTAATCTGACAAGATCTGAAGAATCTCTTTTTGATGGGTATTTGCTTCCTTCCTTCCAGGCATTTAGCAGAAACACCATATTGTCTTCAAGCAGTGAATAGTATGTTGGACCATAGTAATTGTACAATTGGCAGGAATAAACTATAAACAAAATTTACACCAATAAACTAAGACTTGAATTAAGTTTAAACTTAAAAACTATTTCCAATTCCTTTTTCTTACTACAGTTACGGTATTCAAAACTAAACCAACAATGAGTAAATGTTTACTAATCTTTGATAATTACCAATTCCAAGACAAAATGTCTGGTTGTCTGCATCTCCATTATCTGCAGCGACAAATGTTTCATTGAATTCATCAATAACTTGTCTGTAAAAATAGAGAGTACCATAATCAATAATTTCAAAACAAAATATATCCTTTTATGCAAACAATACAAACCTTAAATCTAATTCATCCAATCGAACCAGTTCAGCTCCATCTCTTTTTTCAGGATATTTGCTTCCTTCTTCCAAACATTTAGCGGACAACCAAATTGTTTCCAGACATTCAACAGAATGAGGGCCATAGTAATTATTACAATTGGCAGGATAAACTAGAAAATTGAAAGAATATACAATTTTGTAATCAAATAAAGTTGTATGCAAAACCAATATTGCAAAATTGAAAGTTACTGCGTACCTATTCCAAGACAAAATGTTTGATTAGCTACATCACCACTGTCAGAGGCTGCAAATGTATAATTGAACTCAAGGATCACTTCTCTGCAAAAATAAAAAATATCATAATTCACAATAAAAATCAATCACATACCTCACTCCATTAAATAATACCCACATTCAGAGGAAAATTAAAATTTCCACTCTTGTTTTATTATATTCATGTTATGGTTAAGTAAAATGCTATATTGCTGATGCAAATTACCTTATATTCAAAGCATCCAATCTCTCAAGATCTGAAGAGTCTCTTTTTGATGGGTATTTGCTTCCTTCTTCCAGGCATTTAGCAGACAACCATATTGTTTTCAAGCAGTCAATAGAATGTGGACCATAGTAATTTGTACAATTGACAGGATAAGCTATAAATATAATTATCACAATGAACAATGACTTGAAAAAAAAATTACTTAAAACTATTTCCAATTCCTTTCTTTACTACAATTATTTAAAACTAAACCAACAGTGAGTGAATTGTGTACCAATCTTTGATAATTACCAACTCCAAGACAAAAGGTCTGGTTGTCCGAATCTCCATTATCTGCAGAGATAAATGTTTCATTGAATTCATCAATAACTTGTCTGTAAAAATAGAGAGTAATCAATAATTCCAAAACAAACTATTTCATTTTTTTTTATAAACAATCCAAACCTTAAATTTAATTCATCCAATCGAACTAGTCCAGCTTCATCTCTTTTTTCTGGATATTTGCTTCCTTCTTCTAAACATTTAGCGGACAACCAAATTGTTTCCAGACATTCCACAGAATGAGGGCCATAGTAATTAATACAATCGGTTGGATAAACTGGATAAAAAAATAAACAAAATATGAAATTGAATGAACTTGTGAGAATAACAAATACGTTAAAAGTAAAGGCCATACTGCTTACCAATGCCAAGACAAAATGTTTGATTAGATACATCACCACTGTCAGCAGTTGCGAATGTGTAATTGAACTCGAGAATCATTTCCCTACAAAAATAAAAATTGTTAACATTCAAAATAAAAATCAAATTATTGTTTTGCTTTCCTAAAATTTCATTGCATGTTCAAGTTATATCAAGGTTGATAATGTTGATGTAATTTACCTTATATTCAAATCATCTAATCTAGCAAGATCTGCAGAATCTCTTTTTTCTGGGTATTTGATTCCTTCTTCCAGGCATTTAGCAGACAACCATATTGTCTTCAAGCAGTCAATAGAATGTGGACCATAGTAATTTGTACAATTGCAGGATACACTACAAACATAAATATCACAATGAACTATGACTTGAAAAAGTTTAAACTATTTCCAATTCTATTTCTTGACCGCAGTTACTCAAAACTAAACCAACAATGAGTGAATGTTCAATGATCTTTGATAATTACCAATTCCGAGACAAAACGTCTGGTTATCTGAATCTCCATTATCTGCAGCGATAAATGTTTGATTAAACTCATCAATAACTTGTCTGTAAAAATAGAGAATAATCAATAATTTCATTACAATATATTCAAATATTACAAACAATCCAAACCTTAAATCTAATTCATCCAATCGAACTAGTTCAGCTTCATCTCTTTTCTCTGGATATTTGATTCCTTCTTCCAAACATTTAGCGGACAACCAAATTGTTTCCAGACATTCAACAGAATGAGGGCCATAGTAATTAAAACAATTGGTTGGATAAACTGGATAAAAAAAATCAGCAAGATATGAAATTGAATGAACTTGTGAGAATAACAAATACGTTGAAAGTAAAGGCCATACTGCTTACCAATGCCAAGACAAAATGTTTGATTGGATACATCACCATTGTCAGCAGTTGCAAATGTGTAATTGAACTCAAGAACCACTTCCCTACAAAAATGGAAAATATCAACATTCAAAATAAATATTAATTTACCGTTTTCTTTCTTCAATTTCACTGCATGTTCAAGTTATATCTAAGTTGATAATGTTGATGAAGTTTACCTTATATTCAAAGCATCTAATCTGACAAGATCTGAAGAATCTCTTTTCGATGGGTATTTGCTTCCTTCTTCCAGGCATTTAGCAGAAAACCATATTGTCTTCAAGCAGTGAATAGTATGTGGACCATAGTAATTTGTACAATTGGCAGGATAAACTATAAACATAATTATCACAATAAACTATGACTTGAATAAGTTTAACTTAAAACTATTTCCAATTCCTTTTCCTCACTACAGTTACCGGTATTCAAAACTAAACCAACAATGAGTAAATGTTTACTAATCTTTTATAATTACCAATTCCAAGACAAAATGTCTGGTTGTCTGAATCTCCATTATCTGCAGCGACAAATGTTTCATTGAATTCATCAATAACTTGTCTGTAAAAAATAGAGAGTACCATAATCAATAATTTCAAAACAAAATAAATTTTTATGCAAACAATACAAACCTTAAATCTAATTCATCCAATCGAACCAGTTCAGCTCCATCTCTTTTTTCGGGATATTTGCTTCCTTCTTCCAAACATTTAGCGGACAACCAAATTGTTTCCAGACATTCAACAGAATGAGGGCCATAGTAATTATTACAATTGGCAGGATAAACTAGAAAATTGAAAGAATAAACAATTTTGTAATCAAATAAACTTGTATGCAAAACCAATATTGCAAAATTGAAAGTTACTGCGTACCAATTCCAAGACAAAATGTTTGATTAGCTACATCACCACTGTCAGAGGCTGCAAATGTATAATTGAACTCAAGGATCACTTCTCTGCAAAAACAAAAAATACCATCATTCACAATAAAAATCAATCACATACCTACTCAATTAAATAATACCCACATTCAGAGGAAAATTAAAATTTCCACTTTAGTTTTATTATATTCATGTTATGGTTAAGTAAAATGCTATATTGCTGATGCAAAATACCTTATATTCAAAGCATCCAATCTCTCAAGATCTGAAGAATCTCTTTTTGATGGGTATTTGCTTCCTTCTTCCAGGCATTTAGCAGACAACCATATTGTTTTCAAGCAGTCAATAGAATGTGAACCATAGTAATTTGTACAATTGGCAGGATAAGCTATAAATATAATTATCACAATGAACAATGACTTGAAAAAAAAATTACCTAAAACTATTTCCAATTCCTTTTCTTTACCACAATTATTTAAAACTAAACCAACAGTGAGTGAATTGTGTACCAATCTTTGATAATTACCAATTCCAAGACAAAAGGTCTGGTTGTCCAAATCTCCATTATCTGCAGAGATAAATGTTTCATTGAATTCATCAATAACTTGTCTGTAAAAATAGAGAGTAATCAATAATTCCAAAACAAACTATTTCATTTTTTTGCAAACAATCCAAACCTTAAATTTAATTCATCCAATCGAACTAGTTCAGCTTCATCTCTTTTTTCGGGATATTTGCTTCCTTCTTCTAAACATTTAGCGGACAACCAAATTGTTTCCAGACATTCAACAGAATGAGGGCCATAGTAATTAATACAATCGGTTGGATAAACTGGATAAAAAAAATCAACAAGATATGAAATTGAATGAACTTGTGAGAATAACAAATACGTTAAAAGTAAAGGCCATACTGCTTACCAATGCCAAGACAAAATGTTTGATTAGATACATCACCACTGTCAGCAGTTGCGAATGTGTAATTGAACTCAAGAATCATTTCCCTACAAAAATAAAAAATGTTAACATTCAAAATAAAAATCAAATTATTGTTTTGCTTTCCTCAAATTTCATTGCATGTTCAAGTTATATCAAGGTTGATAATGTTGATGTAATTTACCTTATATTCAAATCATCTAATCTAGCAAGATCTGCAGAATCTCTTTTTTCTGGGTATTTGATTCCTTCTTCCAGGCATTTAGCAGACAACCATATTGTCTTCAAGCAGTCAATAGAATGTGGACCATAGTAATTTGTACAATTGGCAGGATACACTACAAACATAATTATCACAATGAACTATGATTTGAAAAAGTTTAAACTATTTCCAATTCTATTTCTTGACTGCAGTTACTCAAAACTAAACCAACAATGAGTGAATGTTCAATAATCTTTGATAATTACCAATTCCGAGACAAAACGTCTGGTTATCTGAATCTCCATTATCTGCAGCAATAAATGTTTGATTAAACTCATCAATAACTTGTCTGTAAAAATAGAGAATAATCAATAATTTCATTACAATATATTCAAATATTGCAAACAATCCAAACCTTAAATCTAATTCATCCAATCGAACCAGTTCAGCTCCATCTCTTTTTTCGGGATATTTGCTTCCTTCTTCCAAACATTTAGCGGACAACCAAATTGTTTCCAGACATTCAACAGAATGAGGGCCATAGTAATTATTACAATTGGCAGGATAAACTAGAAAATAGAAAGAATAAACAATTTTGTAATCAAATAAACTTGTATGCAAAACCAATATTGCAAAATTGAAAGTTACTGCGTACCAATTCCAAGACAAAATGTTTGATTAGCTACATCACCACTGTCAGAGGCTGCAAATGTATAATTGAACTCAAGAATCACTTCCCTGCAAAAATTAAAAAATACCAACCTTCACAATAAAAATCAATCACATATCTACTCAATTGAATAATATCCACAGCCAGAAGAAAAATCAATCACATACCTACTCAATTAAATAATACCCACATTCAGAGGAAAATTAAAAATTCCACTCTTGTTTTATTATATTCATGTTATGGTTAAGTAAAATGCTATATTGCTGATGCAAATTACCTTATATTCAAAGCATCCAATCTCTCAAGATCTGAAGAATCTCTTTTTGATGGATATTTGCTTCCTTCTTCCAGGCATTCAGCAGAAAACCATATTGTCTTCAAGCAGTCAATAGAATGTGGACCATAGTAATTTGTACAATTGGCAGGATAAACTATAAACATAATTATCACAATGAACTATCTACAATAACTATGAACCAACAATGAGTAAATGTTTGCTAATCTTTGATAATTACCAATTCCAAGACAAAATGTCTGGTTGTCTGAATCTCCATTATCTGCAGCGATAAATGTTTCATTGAATTCATCAATAACTTGTCTGTAAAAATAGAGAGTACCGTAATCAATAATTTCAAAACAAAATATATCCTTTTATGCAAACAATACAAACCTTAAATCTAATTCATCCAATCGAACCAGTTCAGCTCCATCTCTTTTTTCGGGATATTTGCTTCCTTCTTCCAAACATTTAGCGGACAACCAAATTGTTTCCAGACATTCAACAGAATGAGGGCCATAGTAATTAATACAATCGGTTGGATAAACTGGATAAAAAAAATCAACCAGATATGAAATTGAATGAACTTGTGAGAATAACAAATACGTTAAAAGTAAAGGCCATACTGCTTACCAATGCCAAGACAAAATGTTTGATTAGATACATCACCATTGTCAGCAGTTGCAAATGTGTAATTGAACTCAAGAATCACTTCCCTACAAAAATGAAAAATATCAACATTCAAAATAAATATCAATTAACTGTTTTCTTTCCTCAAATTTCACTGCATGTTCAAGTTATATCTAAGTTGATAATGTTGATGAAGTTTACCTTATATTCAAAGCATCCAATCTCTCAAGATCTGAAGATTCTCTTTTTGATGGGTAGTTGCTTCCTTCTTCCAGGCATTTAGCAGACAACCATATTGTCTTCAAGCAGTCAATAGAATGTGGACCATAGTAATTTGTACAATTGGCAGGATAAACTACAAACATAATTATCACGATGAACTATGAATTGAAAAAGTTCAACTTAAAACTATTTCTAATTCCTATTCTTTACTACAGTTATTCAAAACTGAACCAACAATGAGTGAATGTTTAAAATCTTTGATAATTATCGATTCCCCAGGGCTCCGCGAGAGAAACCTATGGGCTCCGTGAGCTATTCGATTACTTTTCAAAATACTGACTTGGCTAATTTTGTAACTGTCCAAATAAGCAATAACAGCTCTAACAAAATTTGACAACAGTATAGCCTCGAAATATGGCAAAGAGGCGGAATTCAAAAATAACATTATTTATAAGCAGGAGCGCATCCAGAATTCTTAAGAGGGAGGTGGGTTTAAAATTGAAATCGGAAATTTCCGCGCAACATTCTTTGTGATTAAAAAAAACTTTTTCAGCGAATAACGAGATTTCTGCTGCGTACAATATTCAATCCATGACCTATGCGAGCATTTACCGGTGCCAGTAGTTTGATAAGTTATTTGTGCCCGTCCCGATTAAATCATAACCATGACTGATTGTGTGACAGATTACAACGATTTAGCAAATTCGACAAATTTGAGCCGTTCTTGCAACACTAACTTTGCCCCATCGCAGGTCTGCCACTCAGATTTTATGCAAGATATCACCGTTCAAAAAACCATAAGGTCTGGGCAGAATACGAATGAAATTTATTTTATTGCATGCGGCTCTGTCGGTAGTTTCAGAATGGAGAAAAGGTACATCGCGCACACAATTGGCTGTGTTTCAATTTCAAGAAGAAAACCTAACATAACACCAATTTTTATGATTTACAATGTATAAAAAAGCGTTTTTAATCTATCCTGAGTCTACTTAAACAAAACTTATAGTGTTATCTTTCGTTTTAAATTTAGGTTTTAATATTATATAATGCCGCTTTTCAATCAAGAAATTTGAGTTGCGGATTTACCTCTTTATTGATAATTTTTAGCATCTCGTCGCCGATGACTATAATATGGTAAAATGATTTTCACATTGAACTCATAATTCTCCCCGAGAACAAAAAAGCAATTATCGTCGACATTCTGGAACAATACATGTATATGCCAAAGGAAATTTTCGATTTAGGGAGAATAAACACCGACGTAGGGATGTCACACCTGGTTTGAACTTATTCCGGCAAAATTGTTTGAGGGATGTTAGAGATCAACTTATTTGACATGGTAAAAATGTGTAAAATGACAATCTTGAACCTGAATTCTTATATGTCTACAGAATGCTTGAGGCGATAATTATTACCAATTACCTTTAGATATAATGTTTTTCAAACAATATAATACTACAGTATAATCATTATAATAGTTAACATCGCTACCGAAAATTTCAACAATCCATTCAAACTGCAACGAATGTAGTTAATTATGTTATTAACAGTCGCTATTGACAATTTCAGTACTGGAATTTGACACCTTAGGGGACGGACGCTCATATGAGACCACCGGCAGAAATTAGGTTAAACGTTTCCCGTTTATTTTACGATATGTAGTTGTATGTAGCGCCAATTATCTGTAGCCTCTATAAACAAAATACTATTGCCAAAACAGGTGGTACTTTTGTCTGTGTTGAACGGATATATTCAAGTGATGACTTGATTTGTATTAGTTAATTCACCTACGCTTGATGTATCCAAGTGACCTAAACCTGATGACATCACTTCTTCTCCGATAAAATGAAAAAAGAAATACGCGAAAGAATAAATAGTAGATAAGCTTTCTAGTTTTCATCATGGCGTTCAATGGTAATTATTGAATAAATGACCGTGGCATGTAAAGTGTTATAACTATTTCCATTTTCTTCTCTTTAGTACAATTATTTAAAACTAAACCAACAGTAACTGAATAGTTGATCAATTGTTGATAATTACCAATTCCAAGACAAAATGTCTGGTTATCTGAATCTCCACTATCTGCAGCGATAAATGTTTCATTGAACTCATCAATTACTTGTCTGTAAAAATAGAGAGTAATCAATACTTTCAAAACAACTTTATCTTTTTTGCAAACAATCCAAACCTTAAATCTAAATCATCCAATCGAACTAGTTCAGCTTCATCTCTTTTTTCTGGATACTTGCTTCCTTCTTCCAAACATTTAGCAGACAACCATATTGTTTCCAGACATTCAACAGAATGAGGACCATAATAATTATTACAATTAGTAGGATAAACTGGATGATAGAGAAAATTAAGAAGTTATAAAATTCAATAAACTTGGGAGCAAAAATCAATATTGCGAAAGTAAAAATCACTGCTTACCAATGCCTAGACAAAATGTCTGATGAGCTACATCACCACTGTCAGCTGCTGCAAATGTGTTGTTGAACTCGAGGATAACTTCCCTACAGGAATAAAGAAAATATCAACATTTACAATAAAAATCAATTCATTTTTAATTTTATACAAAAGGTGATGTTGTTGATGTGATTTACCTTATATTCAAATCATCTAATCTCGCAAGATCTGAAGATTCTCTCTTTGATGGATATTTGCTTCCATCTGCCAAGCACTTAGCAGACAACCATATTGTTTTCAAGCAGTCAATAGAATGAGGGCCGTAGTAATTTGTACAATTGAAAGGATAAACTACAAACATAGGTAATTGTTAGAATGAATAATAAGTACGGACAAAAAAAGTTCAATTTAAAAGATTTTATTTCATTTCTTCGTTCAATTTTCAAAACAAAAATCTATATTAGTTAGGTTTCTATAAATTTAATACTAACCAATGCCAAAACAAAAAGCCTGATTGTATGAATCCCCATTGTCTGCAGCCACAAAAGTTTCATTGAACTCGGCAATAACTTGTCTGCAATGACAATTGAGAAGAATATTAATTCCATAGCAATAACCACATGCAGTTCATAGAAGCATGCATCTAATAAAACCTTATATTTAAATCATCCAATCGGTCCAATTCAACTTCATCTCTTTTTACAGGAAATTTATTTCCTTCTTCCAAGCATTTTGAAGATAACCAAATTGTTTCAAGACATTCAACAGAGTGTGGACCATAGTAATTGTTACAATTAGCAGGATAAACTGAAAATTGGAAAGATTTCACAAAATGTTAATGCCATGCAAGCTGCACAGATTAATGAATACAATGAATAATGAAAGCAAAATAGCAATAGATCTCACCAATGCCAAGACAATGCGTTTGATTTTCTTCATCCCCATTGTCAGCAGTAGTAAATGTGAAGTTGAATTCCAGAATGACCTCTCTACATAAATATTAATAAAAAATTGATATATCCTTTTTTCATCACATTTGATTCAGCAAATCAAATCAGTAATAAATAATATATTCTAATTTTTGCATTTATTCAATTCATATGTATTTTGTTTGAAGAATATCAATCTTTCTGACAGTTCACCTGATATTCAAATTATCCATTCGCGATAGATCTGACGAATTTCTTTTCTCTGGATATTTAGTACCATCTGACAAGCATTTTGCAGATATCCATACTGTTTCCAAACAGGCGATTGAATGAGGTCCATAATAGTTGGTACAATTCTTGGGATATACTGAAACATTTACATAAAAATTATAGATGATACATAATGAAGTCCAAAGTCCATTTTTACTACAATTGTTTGTTCAATTTCCAATTCTGGAACTTGAAGATGGTTGAAGCTGCTAGAATGGTAATAAAATTATCTTTTACATTCAAATCTTGTAAAGGATTCCTATGAAACTCAAAATTTAGCTGGTATACATTATTTTGTGAAATAACATAAGCATGATGTGTGAAATCATCTTTTTATAACATTTAACCGTCCTGTCTATATACAAAGACATCGCTCTCTCGTGAAGAGTTTGTTGAATTGAAAAATAATTCATAAACAATTTTATGCAATATTCAAAAAATATCAATACACTAAAAAGCTATGTGATATAATATGAAATTAAACCTGTTGTTACCGAATAGATCAGCTCAATATTTATATTAAACATCACAATGTCATAAATTCAAAAGCATGAATATAAAATATACATGTTCATACTTCAACGCGAAAATCAAAGTCAATACTTACTGGTACGTAAAATAATAATCATCACAGTCTAAAATTAATATAGAACATATACCGGTAAAAAACGCTGAAAAAACAATAAAAAATTTGACTCACTCATTCCAAAACAATAAGTTTGATTATTTGGTTCACCATTGTCAGCAGCAAGGAAAGTGTTGTCAAATTCAAATATCACTTCTCTAAAATACATAAAAGATTTCAATCAAACAATGTGAAAATTTCATTTTAATTACATAAACAGCAAATATAAAGAATGGAACCATACCTTATATTTAATGTATCTAAACGAGCTAAATCAGTTTCATCCCTTTTTTCTGGATATTTGCTTCCATCATTCAAACACCTGGCAGACAACCACACTGTTTCCAAACATTTGATAGAATGAGGACCATAATAGTTTTCACAATTTTCAGGATATGCTGATAATGAAGTAAAAATTGTGCAATCATTAATAGATTCAGAAAAAATAATTGAATATAAAAGAACATACCAAATCCAATGCAATACATTTGGTTCTCTGGATCACCAGCATCTGCAGTTATATATGTATTGTTGAATTCCATTATTACATCCCTTGAAAAATATGTAAGATGAGCATTTAAAAGCAATTTTAACTAGACCCAAATTTATATGCATAATTAATACCTAATAGTCAAAGTGTCCAAACGATTTAATTCATCTTCATTCCTCTTTTCAGGATATTTAGATCCTTCTACCAAACATTGCACAGAAAACCATATTGTTTTTAGGCATTCAACAGAATGGGAGCCATAATAGTTGGTACAGTTCTCAGGATAAACTGAAAATAAAACAGAACAGTGAATTTGAGCCATACGATGATGTAGTATGATGGGACTCCCATTTTTATTGCAATGGTAATGATGATGGCAATGATCTGATGGCTTAATCCTATTTTAATTCATATGGCATTGAGCAACTTTCTTGATATAATATTAGAACAAAAAGTTATTTTAGCATCATAGTTGCAAGAAAGATGATAGTTATAGAATCAAAGATGAGCAATTATGCTAACTATCCTCCACATTGTATGTTCTACACTTAAATTGAAGCACTCATGTCTTCTTGCTGTCAGACAAACCAAAATGTGTGTGTCACATCGCATTGGTAAAGTGTGAAACATCGCAAAGTGTGCAGTGATCAATTTTGTTTAAACATGAAGTTTCGTTCATTTAGCTCAGGGATGGCAAACCTTTTTTAATGAATGGGTCAAAAATTATATACCAATCATGGTACAGAAGGGTGTGTGTCACATATATTTAATCAATGTTTGTATCTATAAGAAAGTCGCTGCTGCATCTTATCTTGCAAAACCTATAAGCTTTATTTGGTGTTGGGAAGTTTTGGGCTTTAGTTATGCAGCACTTCTATCAGGGACTACTAGACTCTTAATGGCAATCAATTTTATGAAATTTGTGTACAAAAACATGCAGATGAATAACACAAAAACGTTTAGGAATGCTGCAAATTATTTTACGCTGCCCAAGGAGTTTGGAGGGAATTGCGCTCTGATAGAGTTATATTTTGTGTTCGGTTTTCAACCACATTATTAAAGCACTTTAGCACTGCCCAATTGTTATTTCAGATTTCTAGGTTTTTTTTATGTCTAAAAGATTTTGTTTTCTCGACGGCATTGTAGGCGAGAAACTAATAAAATGCAAAGTAGAATGCACATGTGCGTCCAAGATTAGGAGTTTTAAAAATTATCATATCAACCCGGAAATTGAAAACTTCGCAGCCCTGGTTGCACAACTGACAGTACTTTAAAATAGGTTACTTGTTGCTGAATTGAATAAGAGCTAATTTCATCAATTTTGATAACTTATATGTTAATATTATTCCATTTAATTCGTGCCTTGGCGGGTCACAGAAAAGCAAAAACGTTGTGGGTCGATGGTTCAGCATCCCTGATTTAGCTAATAATACCGTAAATCTGGCAAGGCAAAATTTGAAGCCAATTTTTAGGTCATGAAAACATGATTACTTCTTCAGTCTTTCTATTACCCATTCATCAAATATAATTTATATTTATACCTACCAAAATGAAAATTAAAGACAAAACTTGAATAGATTGTCAACCATGATAGTCATGTCCCAATTCCACCAAGGTCAACACAAATCAACTATGCTGGAAACAGACCAGTCTAGAAAACTGGCCTCAAGCCCAGTGATTAACGAACAGTTTTTACAATATTTGGCATAATGACAGTGTGATTGAACAATCATACAAACATCTTTTACAGATGAAATACTAGTACAGGCACTGAGCAACAGAAATCTTGAGAAAGTAAAGATCTTTTAATACTTACCAATACCAAGACAAAACGTCTGATTCTCTGAATCTCCATTGTCAGCAGCAAGAAATATCTCATTGAACTCAGCAATAACTTGTCTGTAAAAGCAATGAAGAATTCTAATCTTACAATATGTGTTCTAATAATTTCAATTGGATACTAAACATCATTTATTTGAAACCTTATATCCAACTCATCTAAGCGATGTAATTCAACTTCATCTCTTTTTTCAGGATATTTGCTTCCTTCTTCCAAACATTTAGCAGACAACCAAATTGTTTCCAGACATTTAACAGAATGAGGACCATAATAATTATTACAATTGGCTGGATAAACTAGATAATAAAGAAAATGAACAAGTTATAAAATTCAACAAACTTGGATATAAAATCAGTATGTATTGCGAAAGCAAAAGCCGCTGCTTACCAATGCCAAGACAAAATGTCTGATTAGCAACATCACCACTGTCAGCAGCTGCAAATGTGTTGTTGAACTCGAGGATTACTTCCCTTCAAAAATAAAAAAAATACCAACATTTACGATAAAAATCAATTTATTCTTTACTTTTTTTGTATAGATTGCATGTTCGAGTTACATAAAAGGTGATATTATTGATGTGGTTCACCTTATATTCAAAGCATCCAATCTCGTAAGATCTGAAGATTCTCTCTTTGATGGATATTTGCTTCCATCTCCCAAGCATTTAGCAGACAACCATATTGTTTTCAAGCAGTCAATAGAATGTGGACCATAGTAATTTGTACAATTTGCAGGATAAACTATGAACATAATGGTTAGCTTGAATTATAAGTCAAGTCAAAAAAAGTTTTCATTTCATTTCTGTGTTAAGTTTTTCAAACCTAATCCTATACTAATTAAGTTTCCACTGATTTTAAAACTAACCAATGCCAAGACAGAAAGTCTGACTCTCTGAATCTCCATTGTCTGCAGCAACAAAAGTTTGATTGAACTCGGCAATAACTTGTCTGCAATGACAATTGAGAAGAATGAATAATTTCAGAACAATATGCACATGCCGTAAATATAAGCATGCATCTAATAAAACCTTATATTTAATTCATCCAATCGTCCCAATTCAACTTCATCTCTTTTTACAGGAAATTTATTTCCTTCTTCCAAGCATTTTGAAGATAACCAAATTGTTTCAAGACATTCAACAGAGTGTGGACCATAGTAATTGTTACAATTAGCAGGATAAACTGAAAATTGGAAAGATTTCACAAAATGTTAATGCCATGCAAGCTGCACAGATTAATGAATACAATGAATAATGAAAGCAAAATAGCAATAGATCTCACCAATGCCAAGACAATGCGTTTGATTTTCTTCATCCCCATTGTCAGCAGTAGTAAATGTGAAGTTGAATTCCAGAATGACCTCTCTACATAAATATTAATAAAAAATTGATATATCCTTTTTTCATCACATTTGATTCAGCAAATCAAATCAGTAATAAATAATATATTCTAATTTTTGCATTTATTCAATTCATATGTATTTTGTTTGAAGAATATCAATCTTTCTGACAGTTCACCTGATATTCAAATTATCCATTCGCGATAGATCTGACGAATTTCTTTTCTCTGGATATTTAGTACCATCTGACAAGCATTTTGCAGATATCCATACTGTTTCCAAACAGGCGATTGAATGAGGTCCATAATAGTTGGTACAATTCTTGGGATATACTGAAACATTTACATAAAAATTATAGATGATACATAATGAAGTCCAAAGTCCATTTTTACTACAATTGTTTGTTCAATTTCCAATTCTGGAACTTGAAGATGGTTGAAGCTGCTAGAATGGTAATAAAATTATCTTTTACATTCAAATCTTGTAAAGGATTCCTATGAAACTCAAAATTTAGCTGGTATACATTATTTTGTGAAATAACATAAGCATGATGTGTGAAATCATCTTTTTATAACATTTAACCGTCCTGTCTATATACAAAGACATCGCTCTCTCGTGAAGAGTTTGTTGAATTGAAAAATAATTCATAAACAATTTTATGCAATATTCAAAAAATATCAATACACTAAAAAGCTATGTGATATAATATGAAATTAAACCTGTTGTTACCGAATAGATCAGCTCAATATTTATATTAAACATCACAATGTCATAAATTCAAAAGCATGAATATAAAATATACATGTTCATACTTCAACGCGAAAATCAAAGTCAATACTTACCGGTACGTAAAATAATAATCATCACAGTCTAAAATTAATATAGAACATATATCAGTAAAAAACGCTGAAAAAACAATAAAAAATTTGACTCACTCATTCCAAAACAATAAGTTTGATTATTTGGTTCACCATTGTCAGCAGCAAGGAAAGTGTTGTCAAATTCAAATATCACTTCTCTAAAATACATAAAAGATTTCAATCAAACAATGTGAAAATTTCATTTTTATTACATAAACAGCAAATATAAAGAATGGAACCATACCTTATATTTAATGTATCTAAACGAGCTAAATCAGTTTCATCCCTTTTTTCTGGATATTTGCTTCCATCATTCAAACACCTGGCAGACAACCACACTGTTTCCAAACATTTGATAGAATGAGGACCATAATAGTTTTCACAATTTTCAGGATATGCTGATAATGAAGTAAAAATTGTGCAATCATTAATAGATTCAGAAAAAATAATTGAATATAAAAGAACATACCAAATCCAATGCAATACATTTGGTTCTCTGGATCACCAGCATCTGCAGTTATATATGTATTGTTGAATTCCATTATTACATCCCTTGAAAAATATGTAAGATGAGCATTTAAAAGCAATTTTAACTAGACCCAAATTTATATGCATAATTAATACCTAATAGTCAAAGTGTCCAAACGATTTAATTCATCTTCATTCCTCTTTTCAGGATATTTAGATCCTTCTACCAAACATTGCACAGAAAACCATATTGTTTTTAGGCATTCAACAGAATGGGAGCCATAATAGTTGGTACAGTTCTCAGGATAAACTGAAAATAAAACAGAACAGTGAATTTGAGCCATACGATGATGTAGTATGATGGGACTCCCATTTTTAGTGCAATGGTAATGATGATGGCAATGATCTGATGGCTTAATCCTATTTTAATTCATATGGCATTAAGCAACTTTCTTGATATAATATTAGAACAAAAAGTTATTTTAGCATCATAGTTGCAAGAAAGATGATAGTTATAGAATCAAAGATGAGCAATTATGCTAACTATCCTCCACATTGTATGTTCTACACTTAAATTGAAGCACTCATGTCTTCTTGCTGTCAGACAAACCAAAATGTGTGTGTCACATCGCATTGGTAAAGTGTGAAACATCGCAAAGTGTGCAGTGATCAATTTTGTTTAAACATGAAGTTTCGTTCATTTAGCTCAGGGATTGCAAACCTTTTTTAATGAATGGGTCAAAAATTATATACCAATCATGGTACAGAAGGGTGTGTGTCACATATATTTAATCAATGTTTGTATCTATAAGAAAGTCGCTGCTGCATCTTATCTTGCAAAACTTATAAGCTTTATTTGGTGTTGAGAAGTTTTGGGCTTTAGTTATGCAGCACTTCTATCAGGGACTACTAGACTCTTAATGGCAATCAATTTTATGAAATTTGTGTACAAAAACATGCAGATGAATAACACAAAAACGTTTAGGAATGCTGCAAATTATTTTACGCTGCCAAAGAGTTTGGAGGGAATTGCGCTCTGATAGAGTTATATTTTGTGTTCGGTTTTCAACCACATTATTAAAGCACTTTAGCACTGCCCCATTGTTATTTCAGATTTCTAGGTTTTTTTTTATGTCTAAAAGATTTTGTTTTCTCGACGGCATTGTAGGCGAGAAACTAATAAAATGCAAAGTAGAATGCACATGTGCGTCCAAGATTAGGAGTTTTAAAAATTATCATATCAACCCGGAAATTGAAAACTTCGCAGCCCTGGTTGCACAACTGACAGTACTTTAAAATAGGTTACTTGTTGCTGAATTGAATAAGAGCTAATTTCATCAATTTTGATAACTTATATGTTAATATTATTCCATTTAATTCGTGCCTTGGCGGGTCACAGAAAAGCAAAAACGTTGTGGGTCGATGGTTCAGCATCCCTGAATTAGCTAATAATACCGTAAATCTGGCAAGGCAAAATTTAAAGCCAATTTTTAGGTCATGAAAACATGATTACTTCTTCAGTCTTTCTATTACCCATTCATCAAATATAATTTATATTTATACCTACCAAAATGAAAATTAAAGACAAAACTTGAATAGATTGTCAACCATGATAGTCATGTCCCAATTCCACCAAGGTCAACACAAATCAACTATGCTGGAAACAGACCAGTCTAGAAAACTGGCCTCAAGCCCAGTGATTAACGAACAGTTTTTACAATATTTGGCATAATGACAGTGTGATTGAACAATCATACAAACATCTTTTACAGATGAAATACTAGTACAGGCACTGAGCAACAGAAATCTTGAGAAAGTAAAGATCTTTTAATACTTACCAATACCAAGACAAAACGTCTGATTCTCTGAATCTCCATTGTCAGCAGCAAGAAATATCTCATTGAACTCCGCAATAACTTGTCTGTAAAAGCAATGAAGAATTCTAATCTTACAATATGTGTTCTAATAATTTCAATTGGATACTAAACATCATTTATTTGAAACCTTATATCCAACTCATCTAAGCGATGTAATTCAACTTCATCTCTTTTTTCAGGATATTTGCTTCCTTCTTCCAAACATTTAGCAGACAACCAAATTGTTTCCAGACATTTAACAGAATGAGGACCATAATAATTATTACAATTGGCAGGATAAACTGGATAATAAAGAAAATGAACAAGTTATAAAATTCAACAAACTTGGATATAAAATCAGTATGTATTGCGAAAGCAAAAGCCGCTGCTTACCAATGCCAAGACAAAATGTCTGATTAGCAACATCACCACTGTCAGCAGCTGCAAATGTGTTGTTGAACTCGAGGATTACTTCCCTTCAAAAATAAAAAAATACCAACATTTACGATAAAAATCAATTTATTCTTTACTTTTTTTGTATAGATTGCATGTTCGAGTTACATAAAAGTTGATATTATTGATGTGGTTCACCTTATATTCAAAGCATCCAATCTCGCAAGATCTGAAGATTCTCTCTTTGATGGATATTTGCTTCCATCTCCCAAGCATTTAGCAGACAACCATATTGTTTTCAAGCAGTCAATAGAATGTGGACCATAGTAATTTGTACAATTTGCAGGATAAACTATGAACATAATGGTTAGCTTGAATTATAAGTCAAGTCAAAAAAAGTTTTCATTTCATTTCTGTGTTAAGTTTTTCAAACCTAATCCTATACTAATTAAGTTTCCACCGATTTTAAAACTAACCAATGCCAAGACAGAAAGTCTGACTCTCTGAATCTCCATTGTCTGCAGCAACAAAAGTTTGATTGAACTCGGCAATAACTTGTCTGCAATGACAATTGAGAAGAATGAATAATTTCAGAACAATATGCACATGCCGTAAATATAAGCATGCATCTAATAAAACCTTATATTTAATTCATCCAATCGTCCCAATTCAACTTCATCTCTTTTTACAGGAAATTTATTTCCTTCTTCCAAGCATTGTGCAGATAACCAAATTGTTTCAAGACATTCAACAGAGTGAGGACCATAGTAATTGTTACAATTAGCAGGATAAACTGAAAATTGGGAAGATTTTACAAATTGTTAATGCCATGCAAGCTGCACAGATTAATGAATACGATGAACAACAAAATCAAAATAGCAATAGATCTCACCAATGCCTAGACAAAGCGTTTGATTTTCTACATCACCATTGTCAGCAGTAGTAAATGTGAAGTTGAATTCTATAATGACCTCTCTATAAAAATAATATTAGAAAATTAATTTCCTATTCTTTCACTGCATTTAATTCAACAAATCAACTCAGCAATAATACAATCTCATTTCTGTATTTATTCATTTCATATGTATTTTGTTTGAAGACTATCAATATTTCTGACAGTTTACCTTATATTCAAATTATCCAATCGCGATAAATCTGAAGGATTTCTTTTCTCTGGATATTTAGTTCCTTCCGACAAACATTTTGCAGATATCCATATTGTTTCCAAACAGGCTATTGAATGAGGTCCATAATAGTTTGTACAATTCTTGGGAAATACTGAAATATTCACATAAAAAGTCTACACGGTGAACAACGAAGTCCAAAGTACATTTTTACTACAATTGAAGTGAAGTCATATTTTTGTAACATTTCCCCTTCATTTCCATATACATAGGCATCATTCTCTTGTGATTTAACTAGTGATGAGTTAATTCATGAATAATTTTGTGCAATAATTAAAAAAAATCAATATAATAAAAAGCTGTCCAATATATTATGAAACAAAACCTGTTGTTACCGAACAGATCAGTTCAATATTTATCTTAAACTCCACAATGTCATAAATTTAAAAGCATGAATACAAAATACACATGTTCGTACTTAAATGAGAAAATCGAAGTCAATACTTACAGTAAATAATAAATATCACAATCTAAAAATAATATGGAACATATACCGGTAAATAATACTAAAAAAGCAAGAAAAACTTTGGCTCACTCATTCCAAAACAATAAGTTTGATTATTTGGTTCACCATTGTCAGCAGCAATGAAAGTTTTGTCGAACTCAAATATCACTTCTCTAAAATACATAAAAAATTTAATCAAACAATGTGAAAATTTCATTTTTATAACATAAACAGCAAATATTAAAATTGGAACCACATACCTTATATTTAATGTATCCAAACGAGCTAAATCAATTTTATCCCTTTTTTCGGGGTATTTGCTTCCTTCATCCAAACATCTGGCAGACAACCACACTGTTTCCAAACATTTGATAGAATGAGGACCATAATAGTTTTCACAATTTTCAGGATATGCTGGATAATGAAGTAAAAATTGCACAATCATTAATGAATTCAAAAAAATATTTGAATACAAAAGAACATACCAAATCCAATGCAATACATTTGGTTCTCTGGATCACCAGCATCAGCAGTTATATAAGTATTGTTGAATTCCACTATTACACCCCTTATAAAATATATAGGATGAGCATTTAAAAGCAATTTTAACTAGATCATGATTTACATGCATAATCAATACCTAATAGTCAAAGTATCCAAATGATTTAATTCATCTTCATTCCTCTTTTCAGGATATTTAGATCCTTCTACCAAACATTGCACGAAAAACCATATTGTTTTTAGGCATTCAACAGAGTGGGGGCCATAATAGTTGGTACAGTTCTCAGGATAAACTGAAAATAAAACAAAACAGTGAATTTTTGTCATACGATGATGTATCATGAGGAAACTCCATCTTTATTGCAATGTTAAGGAAAGATGATCTGATGGCTTAATTAAATCGTGATTTACATGGTATTAGGTAACTATCTTAATAAAGTAATATTAGAAAGAGGAGTTGTTTTTAGAATCATGGTTGCATGAAAATTGTAAGTCATGGAATGAAAGATGAGAAATTATGCTAACTATCCTTCAAACTGTATCTTCTACACTTGTTAAATAGAAGCACTCATGTCTTAATATCAAAATGTGTGTGTGTCACATAACACTGGTATGGTTTGAAACCTTTACTTAAACATAAAGTTTCATTCATGTACCTTAAGCTTTATATCTAGAGAAAAATAAATTTGAGCTAATTGGTACGATATGAAAACATAATCACTCGCTTATTCAGTCTCCCTAAGAATGGAACATCAAATATATTTTATATCTATACCTTCTCAATGGAAAACAAATGACATAACTTGAATACATGGTCAGTCATGTCCTTATTAGAGATGTACCGATACTACTTTTGTCACTGATACCAATCAGATACCAACAAAAAAACGCTGATGTTGTTGATATTCCAATACCGATATTTCGATACTATGTAATTACAGGGTAGACGGGTTACAACAATAGCCTTCTCAGCTCGAAAAAAATATATTCTAGGGTTTGGCTACGGTAGATGGTAAAGTAAATAAATTTTTACTTAACCTAGGAAACTGATACCTTGAGTTGCCTGTGCAGGATTTTGTGCAAATATAACATCGTATTTTGTATTTTACATATTAGAAAATATTCAATTGGTATATTTCTTTATAATCACCATGTCCTATTAGAAAGTCAATAATAACAAATGATGATAATAATAATATAATAAAATTTGGCATCGAAAATAGCCAAATTAGCTGATTATTAGCTGAAAACAGAGCAGAATCTTGTTACCGTTTCTATTCGCGGGGAGGTGTGAACGGGCATGGAGTTAACGAGGCAAACGCCACTAACATGATCTCTCCAGGCAAAAAATAATTTCCACATTTGTATTCTAAATTAATTTTTAAATAATTCTTGGCCAGATTAAAAAGCTAAATATATCGGGAATATCGGTCTACATTCAACCGATACATTACTGATACCGAAAAAATGGCCGATATTGCTGATACCCAGGGATGGTCATAACCAATTACTTGACTATTTCAAATACATTCAAAAAATATATTTTCGGCTCTCGAATTGCGAAAACAGTCTAAAATCCACCACATAAATTTATTTTACTTTTTCAAAATCCAGGGACATAGAATCTAAGCTTAATAATATTATCATTGTGAAGCAGCTATGAATACAAATGACATGTGTGATAATATTGAAATTAATGTCTTCTCGCTTCTAAGAAGAGAGACTTAACAAACATTACGGTATTCATTCCTATGAATTGTGATGTATCTTGGAAAGCACAGAAGAAAGAGCAACTATGCGCCCAGTGGAATGTTTTAAATTATACAGGAAAATCAAAGTCCTTATCAGCACACACACTTTTTGATACAGCTAAGTTTTGATATAAATTCTGACTGTTTATCGCCACAATTACCGGTATCCCTCTACACAAGAATTAATTGTTCTGCTTCTACAGACTTTGATTTTTATTTTACTCACGAAACCATTCGTTAATTCTGAAAATATAAATATTAATACGCGATCATCGCCATAATCAAATAAGTGAACCCGATTCCCAAATTTCCATTAGCCACTGACAAAGAAATAATAAGACCGAAAATCGTAATTTATTTTTCGAGTCGGCAAGGATTTATATATTTCATGACAGCGGTTATGCTTTGATTTTGGATTATAAATTAATACAGCCAACTTCAACTGAACGATATTGTCATCAACAACACCATGCTCTTGAAAAAATCCGTGATAAATACTAAATAATATCTAAGAGCTATTTTATAAGCTATCAATTTGCATGAAATGCAAAAATTTCCCTTTATGTTCGGTCACTTTCGAAACCAAAGATGAGAACAAATAATTACGACACAATTTGCTTCTAGATTTATTGCCGCTGCTGCACAAACTATTTTGGACTACCGTAAGTTGCAGTGTTATGAGCACTTCAAGTTGACGCTAATTGAAATCCTTTTATGTTGGCTGTAATTTATTGTCACATGTCTTTCTTCGATTAAGATAAAAAGTAAATGAAATAATTGTGAAATATTTTTAATCAAAACGTAGTAGGTGGTAGGATGTGTGTGCGATATTCAGCACTCTTATGAACAAAACAAAAAACGATATTTGAATATATTTGAATATTAAATTCAAATTGGCCATCCATGCTGATACCGATAACCGATACCCAATACATTGGTACATCTCTAGTCCTAGTTCCATAAATCAGCTGTGCTGATAAGAGATCAGTTTAGCAAATTGGCCCCACTCCCAGTGATTATCTATATTTTACAATACCTAGCATAGTATGAATGTGACTGATCAATTTATACAAACATATTTCGTAGATAAAAAACTAGTACAATATTAGGACAAGCACTGAGCAACAGAAAACCTGAGAAAATGAAGATTTCTTCATGTGCTCAAAAATATTTAAATTGTTACCGTTGATCTGATGGCGTACAAAATACACACAAAATTTATATGAAGTTGCAACAGTTAACCTGTAAATATTACCTACAAGTATAACCATCATAAAAATAGCATTTATCATGGTACATGTTAACAGTTAACCGCTTACCAATTCCGAGGCAAAAAGTCTGATTATCCACATCCCCATTGTCAGCGGATACAAATGTATTGTTGAATTCCAAAATCACTTCCCTGCAAAGGATTACTTTGGGAATAATTGAGAAAACTAATAAATCTAACAAATATTCCTACGATTACAAACAGAAAAATAACATATTGGATACAAATAAAATACAACCTCATATAAAATTATACTACAAATGAAGAGTTAAATGAGAATTTCGTTTAAATGAAGTTCCTAACCACTTCAGATAAGTTACATTGCAAGAAAATGGGACTACTACCCTCTAAGTTCGCCACATAACAATTGTAGAAAATTTGAAAAAAGAACAAATGACAACAACAACCTTATATTCAAGTCATCCAAACGTAGCAATTCAGCAGAGTCTCTCTTTTCTGGAAACATAGTACCTCCCTCCAAACATCTAGCAGCTAGCCATATAGTTTCCAAACATTCAATTGGATGAGGACCATAATAGTTCACACAATGAGAAGGATAAACTGCATGAAAAATAGTTTTAAATATAACAAAAAATCTTCATTGATATTAAAAAAATTTTCACTTACCAATTCCAAGGCAATAAGTCTGACCATCTGTATCACCATTATCAGCAGAAAGAAATGTATTATTGAATTCCAAGATCACTTCTCTAAAATAGGTAATCAGAATAAACTTTAAACAGTATGATTCTCTATCAATAATAGTTTGAAAACAATCCAATATACCTTATGTTAAGAATATCCAACCGTGCAATATCAGAAGATTCTCTCTTGTCAGGGTACTTAATTCCTTCTTGCAAACATTTAGCCGATAGCCATATTGTTTTCAAGCATTCAATTGGATGATGACCATAATAATTGGTGCAGCCATTGGGATAAACTAAAACATAGTAGAAAAAGGTTTAATCATGCTGAAAACAAAAACATGCAAATAAAAATTATTTTTTAGTAACTTGTGGAACAACATGAGCAAGAATAAGATGATGTAACATTCACTGATTGAAAAATACTTTATGATTTGTGTATGCAAACAAATCAAGTACAAATTACACTTAGATGGATGTGATATTCGCTAAGTGAAACCAAGTAGGTGTTCCTAAAAGGAATGGCAAATAATCTTGATATGTTGCTTCTCCAATTTCCTAAAAATATCAGGTGGCACTAACGGTATGACAAAATTTATTAAATTATTTGAATGTATAAAATTCCTGTTATTGTTAATAATTTGAAAAAGTATCATCACGAGTAATTGAAATCAGACAAAAGATGAAATCAGACAATAATGTGCTTTACCTGTAATAATTAAAACAATACCGTTGTCAAATTTTTGCGTTAATTTGTAATGTACATATTTATACAAAATTTTGAAAATTTCTCAAACTAGAATCTATTCAATAATGAGATTCAAGTCATTATTGTATATTAGTATATTATAAAAACAAGTGATAAATAATAATAGATAACAATTATCATTGGACAATTAAATTTGATTCAAACCCTTCAATAAATTAATAACTTAAAAATTAGACACAAACTAAAATTTTTAAGTAATAGCATAAAGTTGATCAATTTAAAAAAAAACTTCTACCAGAGAGTAGATCAATTAAGACAACATCCTAAATATTGTTGTGTTTTATCACATACCAATGCCAAGACAAAAAGTTTGATTATCTGTATCTCCATTGTCAGCAGAAATGAACGTATCGTTAAATTCCACAATAACATCTCTAAAATAAAAGTTATGAATTCTTATTTGAAGCATAATAGAATAAACAGGAACATATCAGATGTTAATAAAATGACAGACCTTATATTTAACTTGTCTATTCGAGCCACTTCAGCTGTACTTATTTTTTCTGGATATTTAGTTCCATCTTCCAAGCATTTTACAGACAACCATATTGTTTTCAGACATTCAATGGAATGAGGACCATAATAGTTCACACAATTAGTAGGATAACCTAATAAATAATATTATTTTGAAAATAAATTAAAAACAATGATTAATATTATTATTTATATAGTGCAACATTTTCAACATATTTTCAAGGAACATTTTCAGCATTTAGTTTTGCATTTGTCGCCTCATAGAAGAGTAAAAATATGCCTCACCATCACAATTATGCTTTAAGTACTATTATTTTAAATTTTAAAAATGATATTCAATTGAAAACTGTATTTATCATTATCAATTAGGAAAATATCACAAAATTGCTTACTAATCCCGAGACAAAAAGACTGATTTTCTGGATCACCATTGTCAGCAGCAATGAATGTGATATTAAATTCAACAACAATGTTCCTGTAAAAATTGGAGAGAGTTATTTGAGCTACTTCCAAGTATTCCAAAATTTACGATTATCATAATTAATAAACTAATTACCTACCTAATATTCAAAGTATCTAAACGACGCAATTCTGTCTCATCTCTTTTAGCTGGGTATTTACTACCTTTCTCCAAACATTTAGCAGACAACCACATTGTTTCCAGACACTCAACAGGGTGAGGACCGTACAAATTCACACAATTTTCCGGATAACCTGAACATTATTTGAAATCATGGGAATCTCTGACTTTCCGGCAAAAAAGTCTAAAAATTTATTTGTGCAAAATAAAAACTTGCTTGTCGGTTAGCACTGACTCACCAAAACCAATACAAAAAGTTTGATTTTCCAAATTACCACTCTCTGCAGCAATGAAAGTATTGTTAAATTCTGATACTACTTCTCTGTAAAAAAGACAATTCAAATATAGAAGGTATCCTAATTTATATGAAAACTAGTATATTAATGCATTGAACTTGTATGTGTGCACAATATGCGCAGGATTTGCCAACAAAAATATAATCAATATAGTTATTCAAGCAAACCTTATATTTAAATCATCTAAGCGTAGTAGTTCTACTTCATCCCTTTTTTCAGGAAACTTTAGTCCTTCTTCCAAACATCTAGCAGAATACCATATTGTTGTTAGACATGGAATAGAATGAGGGCCATAGTAGTTTTCACAGTGAAGAGGGTAATCTATTGAACATCAAAACAAACAAAAATCCCATAAATCTGATGAAAATAATAATAAAAAGTAAAATGAGAATAGGAAAAAATCAATTCATGTAACACAGTGGTTCTCAACCTGTGGTTCGCGTACCATTAGTGGTACGCGGAAGTATCAAGTGATACGTGAGCAGCTTTGAATTATTGCAACAATTAACTTTTGAGTTGGCCAAAATAATGTGCCCACAACGCTTTATCTTCCATACTGTATGTATTCACTGAACGGCCTTTATGAATGTTTTCCAGGGCATCAATTTCCATTTCATTGTTTATTTCCGTAACCAGCAACAATCAGTAAACATTGCCTCTTTTTGTAGTTTTGCGTGTTATTTGGCCGTTTTCAGTTGCGTTTCAAAAAAATAGTTGTGAATTAAATACCCTAATTGTTATTATGTCTTTAAAGGAGCATTAATTTAGTTGCTGTAATCAAAAATGAATCTCGCAAATGCTGCGATAGACTAATCTGAACTAAGCTGTCAGTGCCTGTAAGCGCCACACAGTTGAATAATTCTAATAAAAATGAGGGTGTTCAAACATGTGAACCAGCTTACAAATGCCAACACATCAAAACACTCTCAAAATAAGTATAAAAAATTAGTATAGGAAAGTATAGGAAGAATTTTTCTGGGGTCAAGGGTCGGAGAAACGTCTTATGGGCCAGTCCAGTCTTTAGAGATCGCCCTCGCCTGCTATTGTCCACGAACGAATCGAGATGGACATGTTTTTGTCCGTCTTGCGAATTAGGTCACTGAGGATGTAGTGCCACATTATAAAATACCCCCATAGCGCATGTCTTGTGCCATTGTTCCTCGCGCCAAAAAGAGACTTTTTTATTGTTACGCGGCCAGAGTAAAAATAACAGCAAAGTGGTACGCGGTAAAAGGTTGATAACCACTGATGTAACAGGACTCAAATTTCAATACTATTAGATCTAAACAGGATTAATATTCACAATCCTACACTAAGTCTGCATGTTGTTAGATGCAAACCAAGGTGAAATTTTCCATAACATTCTAAACATGCTATCTTTTATTCATGAGTGCGAAAAACATACCAATTCCAAGACAATATGCCTGCTTCACTTTATCTCCATCATCAGCAGCAGTGAATGTCTCATTGAATTCTAAAATTACTTCTCTGTTAAAATAGTATAAAACAAACTTTTGGCAAACTAACAATTCGAAGCAAACAGAAAATATACAAAACAAATTGCATGGCATGTCAGTATGTCAATATGTTTTACATTCATACTACACTTGAAATACAAATGAATGATAGCTGTGATAAGAGGTAAAAGTATCAGTAAATATTTGAAATTTTACCTATGTAAATTGATATTTTCAATTTAATATAAAAGGCAACAATTATATCTTTTGACTAGCAGAAAAATTTATTGAACTTTCTAAATATCAATGTTGGCAATGTTTTCTAACTACGGTATGTTTGCCGGCAGCATGCAACAGGTAAAAATAGTTACAATAATATCAATCCGGTTATAAATAAAACTAAATTAATTTATTAGTCTTAATCGCCCTTCTCTTAAATTTGGTACCTTATATTTAAAGTATCCAAACGAGCCAAATCTGAAAAATCTCTTTTCTCTGGAAAGTTTGTTCCCTCTTCTAAGCATTTTGCTGATAACCATATTGTTTCCAAACATTCAACTGTGTGTGGACCATAATAATTCGAACAGTGAAAAGGATAAACTGTAAAATAATTTAACAACAATTTATAGTAAAAGAATAAAGTACATGATTTAATTATATCATATGATCAAGACTCACGAAGTCCAAGACAAAATTCTTGATTATTTGAATCCCCATTATCAGCATCATTAAATGTGTCATTAAATTCTGAAATCACTTCCCTGAAAACAATTACCGGTATCCATGATCATAATTTTGTTGCTTAATCGTTTAGCTGCTTTGTGATTTTATCAGAAAACTACCGTACCTTAAATTTAGTTCATCCAAGCGTGCCAATTCAGAAGAATCTCTTTTTTCTGGATACTTCGTTCCTTCCTCCAAGCATTTCACAGATAACCATATCGTTTTCAAGCATTCCATTTGGTGTGGACCATAGTAGTTTTGACAATTTTCAGGATATGCTAAAATGACAGACGAAAATAAAAAACAATTTTCTACCAATCTTAGGTATATAGTCAATTTCACTGCAGTTACTCACAAATTCCAAGGCAATATTCTTGATTATCGGCATCACCATTATCAGCAGCATTGAATGTTGCATTGAATTCAAGAATCACCTCCCTGAAAATGAAACATTTGTTATTTTGAATATTAATATTTTATAACGAATATACAAACACACAAAACCAGCAGAGCCTAGAAGTTGTCAATGGCACGTTACAAATAAAACCTCAATAATAAATTGTGTATTCCAAAATACCTGATATTTAGACCATCTAATTGAGTCAAATCTGCAGATGGTAGCTTTGTAGGATATTTGGTCCCCTCTTCTAAACATCGAGCTGATAACCACATTGTTTCCAAACATTCAACAGGATGTGGTCCATAATAGTTGATACAATTTGTTGGATAAACTAAATATACATTATAACTCGTACTATGTGTATTTTTTTTAAACAGAAGAACAAATCATGATAAAATTTAATACCCTTGTTCCGTCTACCATGAAGTCACCATGAAAGTGACAACAAGATAAATATGTAGACTCACCAATTCCAAGACAGAGATTCTGACTATCTTGATCTCCATTGTCTGCAGCTATGAAAGTATTATTGAACTCTGTAACAACTTCTCTGAATTATGGAAAAAGGATAACTATATAGTGTATTTACAAAAAAAATTTCAATAAAAAATTATGCTAAATACCTGATATTTAGGCCATCCAATCGAGTTAAATCTGAAGATTCTCGCTTTTCCGGGTATTTGCTTCCTTCTTCCAAACATTTAACAGACAGCCAAATTGTATTCAAGCACTCGACAGAATGAGGGCCATAGTAATTTTCACAATTCACAGGGTAAGCTAAATTTTACATTATATGATTTGTTTCATATATAGAGTAAAAATATAAATATACAAATCTGCATTACACCTAAATGCCATTAAATGAATCACTTTTGACAGTAAAATAGAAATTCAAAAAAAAAAATCTTACATTTTCCAAGACAAAATTCCTGATATTTGGCATCGCCTCCATCAGCAGCAGCAAATGTGTCATTGAACTCCAATACCACTTCTCTAAATAGAAAAATATTGCATAAAGAATATATTTTTACTTTCATGTGTGCATATATCCTAAGGTTCCATTACATTTGAACCCACGTACATTTGAACCCATGGCAATTGCACCTGCCTACTATTGCACCTATGGAATTTTTTTTTGTTTTATGGATATTTGAACCCATACTAACCCTAACCCATGGGTTTAACACCCGCATATAGATTGAACCCGCGGATATACACATGGGTTCAAATGTACGTGGGTTCAAATGTACGGTCACCATATCCTAATATTTACCTTATATTTAAACCATTTAGTCGATCAAGTTCTGTCACATCTAGTTTACTTGGATATTTGCTGCCTTCTTCCAAGCAACTTACAGACAACCATATTGTTTCGAGACATTCAACAGTGTGAGGGCCATAGTATTTCTCGCAGTTTGAAGGATAGACTGGAAAAATAGGGAAAATAATAATTCCCTTCTGGCTATTTTAGTATTCACTTGGAATTTGTGAAATAAATGATGAAGTTTATCGCAAGGATTGAAACTACTTTATAAAAAAAACTTACGAATTCCAAAGCAGAAAGTTTGTTCATTTGAATCTCCATTATCAGCAGCAAGATATGTATAGTTAAATTCAGAGACCACTTCTCTATAAAAACAAAGTCAAACATGTAAACTTATCCCAAACTGAGCTAAGAATTATCCAGCGAACTGGAGCTAGTCCTAAACACCAAACATTGTTGAACCATGCTAGAAAAAAATTACCTAATATTTAAGCCATCCAGACGTGATAAATCATTAGAATCTCTTTTAGCTGGAAATTTAGATCCTTCCCTCAAACATCTTGCCGACAACCACATCGTTTCAAGACATTCTAGAGAGTGGGGGCCAAAGTATTTTTGACAATTTTCAGGATATGCTGGAAAAATAGTAAAATATTTAACAATAAATTTGCTGGATGAACTTCATGGAAGATGGAAGAATTGTAAACCACTATCACACATAAATACACAATACTTACAAATTCCATGACAATGCTCTTGGCTATTGACATCACCATTTTCAGCAGTATTAAAGGTGTTGTTGAACTCCAAAATTAATTCTCTGATGCATAAATATATGATAAGTTCAAAAATTCAGTACTCAAACATTAACTGTCTGCTGGAATTGTCTGCTAGCTTTACCCAGGTAATATAAAGCATCGACTGAAAATTTCAATTCGATTTCTTTCCAGTACAGGCACAGAAATGAGTATAAGACAGAATGAAATTTTTTCAAATTAAATACATTAAATTAGAAATTTATGGACATTGTATGTAATACAGGGTTGTGAAAAGATTAAAAAATATTTGTTCCCATTGGCTAATAAAATATGAAAAGGTATAACATAAATCAAATATCACAATCCACACTAGGACAAACATACTGAACTTAAACTTCATTCCAGATTGAATTACTATCATCAATGATTAGCCCATACCTGATATCCAAATCTCCTAAACGAGCTATCTCAGAAGCATCTCTTTTCTCTGGAAACCAGGTTCCTTCTACCAAACATTTCACAGAGAACCAAATTGTTTTCAAACAGTCAACAGGATGCGGACCATAATAATTTGTGCATTCATCAGGATAAACTGAAAAAAAAATGGATCAGCGAACCAGAGGCAAAAAAGAAACTAAAAAAAAGATATTCATTAACAAACCTAATCCCAGACAGTAGTTCTGATTATCTGGGTCATTATTTTCAGCAGAAATAAAAGTATTGTTGAATTCTATTATGACTTCTCTGAAAACATAATACCACCATTGAATTAAAAGATGACAATCACAATTGGTATGCAAAAAGGTTACCTCAAATTTAATCCATTTAAACGAGACAAATCAGTTTCATATCTTTTCTCTGGATATTTGCTCCCTTCCAACAAACACTTTGCAGTTAACCACATTGTATTTAGACAATTAAGCGCGTGAGGCCCATAGTAATTAACACAGCTTTCGGGATAGGCTAAAATAAAATAATACATTGGCAAATTTTTTAAGATAATCAGTGGCAATGGAAAATAATATCGAGTATGATCATCAATACTAAATCTTCTCAATGTAGATTTTGTATTATATTAAATATCCTCCTCGATACAATTATGCTATAGAGCAGGGTTTCCCAAACTTTTACAATATGCTGCACACTAACTACGAGATAAAAAAAAGTCACGGCACACCTATTGCTAATGAAAGTTTTATTTCATCCCTTTTCCGCAAACATTATGCGTTTCATCTGTAAAAAAAATTGAAACAAGATTTCCTTGTCTTTATCGTTTTTAGCTCTTAATTTTTGTAAGCTCATAAAACTAATATTCGCAGAATCATGAAAAAATTAAAAAATTACTTTGGTGTACTGTATATTGTATGTGTTGTACCAATATATATTTCTAATGACAATCGTTGAACACTCGCTCTCTGAAATTGATGACAAAAAATATAAATAGTGTCGAAGTTAATTAACAGAATTTGTGGCAAAATTAAAAATTCTGTATATATATATATATATATTGTTACGAAATACATCACCTATCAGCGGACAATAAATAAGACCTTGGCGGCACACAGTTTGGGAAACCCTGCTACAGAGTTATAAAACTGAAAAAAATAATACTTTAAACATAAAATAACAATGGTGAAACTTGAGTTTGTGTCCATCAATTTTTTAATAACAATATTACCGTACATCTTTTAATAAATAATTAGCAAAAGACTAAAATATACATAACTTCAAATTATTTCTCATACAAAAACACAATTGATCCACAAAATATAGGATAACACAAACAAATGCATACTTTAACAGCATGTTTTTTGCACTTCTAATATTCACACTTACAAATTCCAAGACAATAGCCTTGACTATCTACATCACCGCTTTCCGCAGCATCAAATATATTGGTGAACTCCAGAGACACTTCCCTAAAAGTGCAAGGAAAAAGAATTACAATTATAACAGACTGGTCAAAATACATATGGTACTTTTGTTTATAATGTTTAACCTTAGATTCAGTTCATTCAATCTGTTCAATTCTGTCTCATCAAGTTTATTAGGATATTTGCTTCCTTCTTCTAAACATTTTGCAGACAACCATATAGTTTCAAGGCATTCGAGTGAGTGTGAGCCATAGTATTTTGCACAGTTAATGGGATATGCTGAAAAAATAATATACTCGAGCATTCCCCAAGTATATGAAGAAAAAATAAAATAAGCTAAAAAATATGATATGGATATTTAGTAAAAATTAAACTAATATATGATGCTATGTTCATTGGTCATGTACATGTGTATAAAATGAAACAAAAATATAGATAAGCATATTAGTGTGGTTTTGTAACTACTCCCTTGACAAAATCAGGAAAAAAAATTTTGTATATTAATTAACATCCTTTAGCTTATATTTTTTCATTTTGTTTTGTTAACTACCATAAATTAATGTATAAATTAGTTAACAGATATTGTTAAGAAAACATGTGCGATTATTCGTATCATACCCATCCCAAAACAAAAATCTTGATTGGCTGAATCACCACTTTCTGCAGCATTATACGTCTCATTGAACTCCAATAACACTTCCCTGAATCCAAAAGCAACATAAATTAAAAAATAAATATTTTGTTTTAATATATTACTTTTAATTTTTATAAAATTCCAATACCTTAAATTCAAGCCATTCAAACGTGCCAAGTCAGCTGTGTCTCTAATTTCAGGATATTTGCTTCCTTGTTGTGTACACTTTGCAGATAACCACATTGTCTTCAAGCAATCGACAGAATGAGGTCCATAATAATTTTCACAGTTTTCAGGATAAACTAAATCATCATTACACATTAGTTCAATATAACTGAAACAGTTTTTATTGTTCAAATATAAAAAGATTGTAAATGTCATTATTGCCATTACCTATTCCAAAGCATTTGAGTTGATTTTCTTCACTACCATCATTTGCTGATTGCGCTAATGCATTAAATAAAGTTGCTAGTTCTCTGTTTGAAAAGTAGATGCAAGAACATTTAATTAAACTATGGCAAAGGCATTACCGCAAAACATACAAATAAATTTGTTCAAATGGAAACAATAAAAATGTTATCAAGATTGCATGTATGAGCTTTTGCTAACACATATATTTTATTGGTGGAAAACAGTAATTCCGTTCTACTATAAAATCTTGTATCCAACATGGTCAAGCATCCAAACAACCCAGGTCACATACAGAAATATAGAGAATAAAATGAATGATTTATATCAAAAAAGCAATATAATGAAAATGAACATGCTTGGAAAACCTGTGGTTTGATTATTACACTTCAAACAAGCTGTTCTTCTTAGAATATGATGCAAAATTATTTTAATATTCTAATAGATAATATTCCCTCCAGTTGTATGATATAAATACTAAATAAAACTAAAATGAAGTATAGTAGGTCTGAAACTTACTTCAAGTTTTTATTATTCAAATTTTCATGTTGTGGAGTACTGAGTTTCTCTGGATATTCGGAACCCTCAGGTGTACATGTTGCACTATTCCAAACTGTTTTTAAGCAATCAATGCTATGAGCACCATAATAATTTATACAACTTGTGGGGTACACTAGAAATATATTTCGATCATGATTAAAACAACATTTGTTGAGAAAAAGCCTGAAAAATAGCATATTATATAGGTGGCAATATATCATACCCATTCCAAAACAGGACATCTGCTTGTCTTCATCTCCACCATCAGCCAATGCAAAAGTGTTGTTAAATTCATTGATAATATCTCTGAAAAAAATCTCACTTTAAAATTTTTTGATTCAGATAAATTAATTGACATTATATTTATTTACATTTGATACATCAAGGGAAGTATTCAAGTGAATGTCATTTACCAATACTTTTCAATAAGAATTGAGATAATGTAGGTTTTAATGTTTGACAACAATACCACATAATTCAAACTCAAATATCCCATGCACCTCAAATTCAAACCATTTAATCGAGTAAATTCTATTTCATCTCTCTTTTCTGGAGAGTCATTTCCTTCTTCTAAACATTTTGCAGACAGCCATATGGTTTCAAGGCATTCAATAGAGTGTGGACCGTTGTAATTCATACAATGGGTAGGAAAGACTAAAAAAAAAAAATTTCAATTGAATCAACAACATGCAAAGTTGAGGAAGTATTTTTCCCCATACATTTATCGGAGAGCCATGAAAAACCAAGATAAAATTTAGCATGGGTGTGCAGTTATTTTTTCTCATGGAGCATTTGGAATTCAAGAAGAGGCTACATATTGAATGCTAATAATAGCATGATCTACGCATGACACTAAATCAGATAAATGATGTGATGCAATTATTATATTTGAACATGATTCGAGAGAGTACAACCTTGACAAATTCTTGGAGCCTCATTAATTGCAGTTAAATATATCAATCTGCCACCTACCATTATATAATACAATACGTTTAACACAAACATCAGTGAGCAAATATAATATGTCCGCTATCAATATACGGTATTAACACAATAATGTATACCAGTGTTAGTTTAGTATTTTCTATTTCAAGATACCTCATGATCTCACAAAAATGCTTCAAACTACAGCATACCCAATCCATAACATTGGAGTTGCTTTAAATCAATTCCACTGGCTGCATCTTCGTAGGTTTTATTAAAATCATCAATTACATTCCTGTGGTATAACATTCAAAATACATTAGTATCTAACTATCTATTGAAAAATGCACTTGAGAAGTTTTATTCGATGATACCTTAAACTCATTGAATTCAATTCCTCACGTTGAGCACTTGCGAGGCTCTGGGGATGTCTGGTACCCTCTTGCGAACAGCCCGCAATCAGCCAAAGTGATATCAGACATGCATCAGTATGGGGTCCATCAAGATTGGTACAAGTCTTCGGATAGGCTGTAAATGCAAAAATATAGCTGCAATATCTGGGTGTATGCTTTTCAAGATATTTATTCATTTTTCTAATTCAGGGGTCACCAAACTTTTTTGACCGCAGGCCGGGTATGACTCAAACTGTGTTGAAACGGGCCGGACAAATATTTTTGTCAATGCAATACAATAAATTCACAAAAGTTTGGAAATCCATTCAGTTTATTCAACAATAAATATATTCTACATTTCTGAGGATTTGAATATTAAATTCTATCTCTATCGCAGAATATATGAGTATAACAAGTACATTTTGATTTTCCCGCAAAAAATCATACACAAAACATAAACAATGAACACACAGAAGATTGGGAAAACTGGCAAAACCTTTATAAAGGTTTAATAGGTCGAGAACATCCTAGGGAAACAAATATACAAGATTTCTATATCTATTCAACTATCCTGAGTTTAGCTGTTAGCAAAACGTTGCTGCCATGAATTAGACATGTTAAAAAATCCACTTTTTCGCGCCAAAAAATATGTACGCATCACTTCTGCTATGTACCTTTACGCCGCGTTGGAATACCGCTCATATAAACGACTACGCACTGCCTGCGGTACCTTGGAATTCCATGAAATTTCGACATAGTTTAGATAACATAAACAACTATTATCTGGTATTTGATTTTTTTCATTAGCGCATAAATTTCAAGTTATACGTAGTGCAAATTTTGATATTGTCTATGGACACCAATTAAATTTATGTGAACATGTGTATTTCCTTGATACTTACCAATTTTTATGAAGTTTGTTCTATCAGAACATCTTTAATTATTACCCACAATGAACCAATGTCAAACTAACATGCACAACTCCAGCGCTTATTTGTGACGAACTTTCGGCGGTGTCAATGACCGTTGCCAGAATAAAATCCTGAAATAGTCTCAATATTCCATAGATGTGACGCAGATTGAAAGATTAGAAATTGATATGTGTTCTTTTTTCATATTTATTACAGTTATTATCCAAAAAGTAATACAATCCTTATGGAAAAAATTGGCCTGTCGGGCGGTACTAAAATCCCGATATCTTTGTTACTTCTAGACCGTTTTTTATAAACTTGATATTGTCTTCTTATTTTCACTCAGATCTATCCACTGGTGCAGTTTTTATTTAAATCGGATGAACTTAAATTTGTTTGTAACATACCCACATGAATATCCGCATTTAGGCAGTACAAAAGTTAGTGTGACTTGTGAAATTGCAGCAGTACGCGAGGGATCACAGTACTGTTAGCGCAACATGCACATTCGACGTTCATTTCAGCGCAAAAAAAGTAAACAGTTTCGAGTGCATCTTTCGCGGAAAACTTTTCGCACCGATAGATAATTTTAGTCTAATTTGTCAGAGCTATTTCTAAACTAATTTTTCATAACTACTATTAAAACTAAAACTCTTAAGGAGGCAAATAATGATTGACTTATTTGATTCAAATTTTCCAAACACAACCAAAAACTAACGAATAGCATTCAAAATCGCAAAAACGAAGTAATGTTTACAACCAAGACTGAATCTATCAAGGTGACAAAAGTGTCTGAGCGGATGCGAAAAGGCCTATTATTAAGTCACTTTTTTTGCATCTTGCTGATTGGCCCTTATTATCAAATAAACAAGGAAGACAATGCTCGGAAAAATTTCCATTGAAAAAAAAATTTCGCAATTTTTGTGTGTTATTACGGGCCGGAAAATTACGCTGCGGGCCGTAGTTTGGTGACCCCTGTTCTAATTTGTCTCCTATTTCATTTACTATTTCAAATTAACAGTTTACAATAACAATATTAAGATTAGAACTTGTACTTACTTATCTTTCAAAGAAGTACTTCAATGAAGCAGTCCAAAAAATGCGATGTAAAAATACTTTATATTATCCTAAACTCACCAAATCCTACGCATTTCCTTTGCGATATTGAATCCCCATTAACTGCACTTGATTTCAAACCTTCAAATTGCTGCAGCATGTCACTGGCAAAACAGACAGCAGTATAATGGACAGCATAAGATAAATTGAATGATAGACGCAACATAAATAGATACAATAGCCTAGGCCTGTAAATAATTATAATCAAACCTTAATGGTATGTTTTCCAATTCTGATATCCTACTAGCAGAAAGCTTTGGTGGAGCATCAATACCGTCATTATTGCAACCACCATCAATCCAAATAGCATTAATACATTCAACTGAATGTCCACTCAAATGGCTGGTGCACTCAATAGGTAAGTCTAAATTATATAAGTGAAATAAAAGATAAAACATAAAGCATATTTCTGAAACCTATGATTGATACATTGAAAAATTTGAAGTATTCAACTTGTGCTTTTGACATAAATGAATGAATACAAAATCCACGTACGGTGATACATCGGTAAAGCTAAGGACTGGAAACTCGAACAATTTGGGAGCCGACCAAAAAATTCAAGACGAAAATGCTGCAGTACTCGGACAAAATTTGAAGCTTGAACATCCATGCCGACCCGAGCACACAACCGCATGCTGAAAACAGTGAGGACTACTATCGAGTTGAAAAAAGAAATCATTGTGAAATATTTAAGGTGTTTCGAGTGTCTGATTTTGTCTTACAGTACATAGCGAAGTCTATCATTTCAACGCCTTTGAAAAATAAGGATATGATAAAGAAAGCTAATGTTGCGCAGGCAGCGACAGCAATTATTGTTGTTTAAGTACACGTTTTATTAATATTTTAGGTCTTTGGGAATACGTAGCAATGTATTGAAATATGTATGATAGTTTCCCATATCCCAAAAAATTTGGTACTTGAACAAATCGTTAGTCGAACACCAATCCTGAACGAATTATGTTCAACTACAGAGGTATCACTGTACTACCATAGCATATCATCACTTTAATCCAATTCTACTTACAGACACAACTTTCAACAGGAGGATCCCAAGCTGCAATACGATCACTGTCAATATCCTTACAAAAAAATGAAGTTGAAGATACAGGTAATCGGGTACCCTCTTGGCACTGAAAGACACATTCAGAGCCAATGACAGCTTCATTAGAACAACTAAATGAAGTCTCACTTGTAAACTGAGATTGTTCCAGAGGTTCACATTCAATCACTAAAAAACACAAATATATGAAAAATAATACTATAAATATGACAAAAACAGTTAAGTTTTAGGTGGGCATATGCCATTGCCTGCTTTCAAGGATCAAGATTTCGGAACTGCAAAGTCTGTTTCTACGTATTTCCAAACTCCGATGAGCATCTTGGCATAATGGAATCAATACTTACAAATGTGTGCAAAGATAGCCAGTGGAGAATCACAGCAAATCAAAAGACCATTTACTGGAATCTATATAAATGATCTGTGCTATGTAAAGCAATATACCAACTCAATAGCAGGTTTTAAAAAATTTCAATTTATTTCAAAGAATATATATATATATTGGTATGTTATAACTTATGTAAAAACTTGCATAGCATTAAAATATTTGAGAAACTAAAATTTGTGTGTCTTTCCAGTTGTTATCATGTTTGTAATTATCCAATATTTAGTTATGCTTTGAATTAAACTAGTATCAAACCAAAATAGTATTATTCTTGGATGAACTGACCATGTCATACTGAAACATCTTAAACTACAACTTGGCCAACAACTATAACTAATCTTACAAGTGCAAAGTGAAAACTCTCGACTCCATTCTGCAATTGAATCTCCATCTTCATCCAAGCATGCCACTTCATCTGGTGCACCTTTCAGTGACATTTGTTCAGGGCAGGTTATGGTGCACACAGAGTCTAAATTATTTGATGACGTGCAACTTACATAGGTGTCATCAGGAATGGAAAGCTCATCCAGTTCTTGACAAGTTATACCTAAAATATATCAATAAAGAGAATGCATTGTCAAGTATAAATAAAAAAGTATTTGTTATTACAAATAGAAGGATCAATTCTTGTAGTTATGAACACATACAAGAAGCAATATAACAAAATATTATTAAAAGATATCAACATCATTTTAACACAAGATATAGATCAGGGGTGGGCAATTACTTTCCTGAGTGGGCCAGATGTGGATAATAGACTGGATTACTGGGCCGGATGATCAAAACTCAATATGATCAAAAACGGTTTATTTGCAAATTCGCAACTCGCAAGTCTATCAGTCTTTTTACTTCGTCAAAAATGCCAGATGACTTGCGGTTACTATATTTTCAGTACATTTACAGGGGAAACGAGTCGTCGCGCTTACGACATTCATTAAAATTGCCGACTTTGTCACCGATGATGATTTTCTGTTGCGTAAAATATTCAGTTCATGGCCGATACGAGCATTAAAATTGTCTCGCGTTATTAATTCAATTATTTTCAACGTGAATCGCCGTAGCGCCGAGTTACAATATATGAAAATTTCACTATTCTGAAATACTACAATCTGAATTTTGGTTTAGGATAATTTTAGGATATCACCATTTGCAAAATCCCAATGTCTGAGTACAATTTAATACGATAAAGTAAAAGCATTATAACTCCAATGCAGTAAACTGGCGCCGCACAAACAAAATGTTTGGGAACCGCTGGACTGAGCAATAGTTTCCGATTGAAAATTTCGAGATAATTTAGTTTACCGACATAATTTCGATGTTCTCGGCTTAAATACCCACGTCAGGAAAACAATTGGTGTTTTTAACTTAATTTTACTCGCCGAGAATGCGCAATTGCCCCCTGTCGACCCGTTTCCTATTTTTTTTGCCCCCACTTTGGGAATCGTTGTGCTAGACAAGACAAAAGGAAAGAACATATGTTGGGGCATTCACAAACAAACGAAAAAATTTTCAGGCCCAAATGCTGATATATCAGGAGCTTGAGTTTTTTTAATGACCTAAATAATTCGGATGGATGATTTTTGCACATCATATTCAGGTGCTTATAATACGCGATGAATCACGGTATTTACTTTAGCCGACGATCAGTTTCAATTTATATCATCAATATTTTCAACGAATATCTATATTCCTAAAAACTATGGTCATAATTTCAGCGGGCACAAGTGGGCCGGATGAAACACTCCGGTGGGCCGGATCTGGCCCGCGGGCCGTAATTTGCCCACCCCTGATATACATGAGAGTATATAAATACCAATGATAATCCATCCCACAATGGACAAATAAAAATTTTTCTACATACCAGTTCCACCCACTTGATTGTAAATACATGGAATAAAAATATTTTGAGGTAATTAGTCAAATGCATTCAAGAAAAATCAAAATTTTCCTCTAAACAATCCAAGATATGTGCCATCCCGAGTCTATTCTTGATTTTAGTATAACCCAAATTAGGAACAAATTAAACTTGGAATAAACAGAAATTATACTCAATATACCTTTACATGCAGGCACATATAAATCCCAACTTCCCCTTCTGTCATCATCAGGATCGATACAAGTAATTGTGTTTTGCTCAGAAGTCAGAATATATCCAGAATCACAAGTGAAAGTGCATGAAGATCCAAGATTATTAGAATTTGTGCAGTCTAGTTGCAAACCCGACGACAGCGCAATTTCAGGGCATGTGACACCTTTAATTGTAAACAATTTTTAAAGAAAATTGAATATTCATGAAAATTGCTAAATACAAAGTTAAAATGGCACAATAAAAACACAAACCAGTACAGTCAGGAAAATCTAGATTCCATTCTCCATTTCCATCATCATCTGAATCTACACAAGTAACTTCAGTGTGTTCAGTCATAATTAAACCAGTTTTGCATGCAAAATTACAGCGAGAGTCATAATAAATGGTGTTTGTACATGTTACTTCAACATCAATATTATCTACTTGAATTTCCTCACATACAATATCTGTAATTAAAGATTTTAACATTTTTATAACTGTGCAACAAACATGTCCCTACCGATGTCTATATTTCAATTTCTTTTTCGTAACTGTATGATACAGATGTTGAGTTTGAGATGTAAATTGGCATGCGCGAGACTATTTGTTACAAGCATTTTCTGTAAATTTGGACTTGAACCAAATTAGAATAACATGGTAAAAAATTAAGCTTTTCGTGCATGGAAGTAATCAGTTTAATTCAAGAATATGTTGTTGTTGTTTACTTACCAATGCATGGATAATACTCCACTCTCACTATGCCATCAAAAGCTGGAATGTAACTTTCCAGATAATCATTTTCACAAACAACTTTGATTTTTTCACCTTTAGGAACGGTGTATGTACCGAGTGGGCAATGATACTCACATTCAGTTCCAACCAAATATATGTTACTTGTGCATGAATACAAATCCCCTCCAGGGAAATGAGACATATCATGGCATACTCTGTCTTGAAACATAAAAAGGATGGCTTACTGAACTTAATTAAACATTCAAGTATCAAAATTTAGATAATTTGACTGAATAATTATCAGTAGCTGATGGGACCAGCCTGAAAACAATAGCTATTGAAAAGAGGTCTGAAATAAATTGGTGTCCAAGTTTTGGGTAATGTATCACAAGAATTTAAAAATATTTCGTGTATGTATCTAACAAGAGTATAAAATAGATCTGGTTTATTTAAGAACTCAGATTTACTTACTTCTGCTTCATATCTTAAAATTATTTTTGTTTTCTATTTGTGTGAAATAATTTCTGAAAGTTTACAGCAATTAAATATTATTCACTGATTGATAATGATTGACACACACATTTTTACTTACTCAATCTACTTAAGGTATTATTTGCTCTTTTGATTATATATTTATTTTCTTCATATTTGTCTTTATCAATTATTTTATCATCTGTTATGCTGATTTTAGACTCAAAATAAACTTATACAGTAATCCTACAAAGATACCTTTATAATATGCCTTTATTATTGAATGTGTTATGATCTCAGGGCCCTATTCCTATATTCTATTTTCGATCCAGGCAATGGTTTATTTAATCAATTAATTATTGGAACAAAAACTCCATCTACTGTTGTTACGATTAGTTAAGAGACTCTTTGAATATGCCCTTTTCAAACACATAGGGCCTTGCTATTTTTGAATGACCAAATTAATGATTTTTAACCATAATGCTACAGCATTATACTAATCGATCAATATCTGATACTATAGATTGGCGTTATAAAAGTGGGTGACATGCTCTTTTTTCGAATGAATATCAAACAAAATTTAATTTCAAAATATGTCATCACCAAGGTTTTGATCATTCGAAAAGTTAGATACATTTAAAGATTAGATTCGAAAGAACAAAAATGTGCAATAGTAATATGTTTATACCAACGCAATTTGGCATCATTCCATCTTTAAATCCTTCACTTGTCCATACACCGTTAAGTCCATATTCATCAAAGTCACCAGTTTGTTTACAGGTCAGTAATCGAGGGCCAAAAACAGCACGCCCTTCAAGACAGGAAAGTCTGCATGCCAATTCGTTGTCATGTAAACAATGAAATGTCTCTTCAATTGGATTTTTTAGATCATAAAGGGGAGCGCATAAAACAGGCTTCCCTGAAATTTAAAAAGGTTAATTTTCTAATTAAAAAAAAAATGGTATTCACTTGATGTAATTTGAAAAGTACCTGAGATCACTATAAGAGTTTTATCAGTATTGAAATGAATATAAATTGATAAAACCACAAATAAATATGTTCTGTATTTTAATGAAGTTTTGCATCAACTTTTTCTGAAATAGGTATGTTCATATCGAAGTGCCATACCATTGTAAGATGAGAGAAGATGTTTTAGGAATTTTTATACAATATACAACTGTAGGGTCATTTCCTGTCACTGTAGATAGGCCTAATGTATTAACATCAATGAAGCACTCAACTTGGCATGGGTAATATCAGAAATTTAAAGGATCCTAAAAATCATTTTTGAAGCGGATTGAGAAATGAAATGAGAGAGGATGCATTACATTTGATACTGTTTGGAAAGTTAAGTGTTTGTATTAGCGGTATATTAATATGGGAAATCGGCTTGAAATCATATTTCATAAAACTGCTAATGACATATTTTAAATGTTCTCTCTTGTTTATTAAAGCATTCCCTACTCAAAACCAACAATATATTTATAATGAATGACACCTTTTACCTTTCATGTGCAAGAATTTTACACTCAGCTATACGAATTGACTCAAAACGCCAACCACTATATTCAAATACAACTGTGTACTTACTGTATATTGCAGTATTACTGTATATTGCTCTTAGAATATTGGAGAATATAGTCAGAAATAGACACGGATATTAAATGCATGAACATTAATATATTAGCATTGCTCAACAGCAAAAAATTCACAAGTCTAATAAATATAATATCCATTATAACTATCTGTGATAAATTCAAATACTTATTTGGTAAATATTGTGATTTCCAAAAATACTTGCGAGTGCATGTATCATGTACTAAATAAATTGAAAGTATCAATTTAAAGCCTCTGGTAATATTTTTTGATATGTTTGTTTGAATCCTCCATTAATTAAAAAATATTTAATCAAAGTTGTTTGAATAACAAATGAACATTTTTTTCCAATAATTCGTTTCATTTGTAAAAAATTAAATATGGCAAATATGGTTCTATCAAACATCTGACGGTCATGTTTAACCCTATTACATAGAATAGTCCAACCTTTAATTTACTATTCGACCGTCTTATTAAACCAGTATAGTGAGTCATGTAACAAAGAATGTTGTACAACAGTGAATACTTACTGACACAACTGGGTGGTTCAGGCCACCATTCAGACAATAAACCCATGTCATACTGGCGGTTAATACAGCTTATTGGCTTTCTATGTGTCACATTATATGAATAATCATCACATGTCACTTTGCAGGTAGTGTTAAATCTGTAAACATTGTTGGCTTCATCAATCTCCTTGTCACAGCTTTCAAGAAATGTGCCAGGCATAAGATTTGGTGCAGTACAATCGTAAGCTAAAAAAAATATTTCTGAAATAGGAATCAACAATTTCTAGCATTCTTGATATAACAGAAAAACTCACGTTTACATTGAGCTACCCAAGTCTTCCATATTCCATGATTTATTCTCCCTGGTGTATTTGGATCTCTTTTAACACAAACAACAGTATTTAGTCCACCTGTTGCACATCGAAAATCACAAAGTGCATTAAGAATATATCCATACTCCTCATTCCTTAGTGGATGACAATATTCTGGCTCACGCACACCATAGAGCAATGGAGAGTTTCCACAAAAAACGTCTGTGAAGCAAAAGTAAATATGGAGACGATACATATTAATAATTTTAGACTGTATTATATTTTCTATTTACATAGAAACTTTTTTGAGGAAGCATAATAGTGAAGAAAATTTAAATGTTTGGAATATAATACTTGAAATAGAAGCGTCAAGAAATAAATTAAAGACTAATCCATGATTTGAAAAAATTATGAGTTAAAGCAAAGATCTGTGACTACCAATTTGATAAGACAAATCCTGAAAATTCTTTATTTAGTTAGAGGCTGTGTGTCATTATACCAAGTTTGTAAAGACATAGAGAAATACCATATTCAGGGGTTATGAGCGTAGGGTGGGTGTGAAGATGCATTAAAATATTGTTGAATTTATAATCATTGCAGAATGACTGACATTTTCAAATCACATTTATGACCCAAGATGAACTTAAAAGTAGATCTGGGCAAATATGAAATTTGAATTCGATACTTTCTTGGAATGATCAATTAATGATATTGTATTTTGGTAGTATCAATTATCGATCCTTAACTTTTATATGTACATTGAACAATGATAATATAAAATATAATATACTTATAAATACAATGGATGGTGAACACGTAATAAAAGTGTAAGTGCTAACATAATAAAACAGGCAAAAATTATTATCTATCTCATAATTACCTCATTCCTCCATTAAACAGTGAATAAATTTTGAATTTAGGTTGCCTTTCCATATTCATGAAAAAGATGGTAAAAGTTTATTTAAAAAAAATTACCAAGTATAGTAACTTTTAATATGAAATAACTTGGCATGTTCTGCTTTCTTCTGACCAGCAACTTGAGATAAATATAAAAACATATGTATATACACATTATATATAATAATACTCACTACTACATGCCCCTAGTCCTCCTCGCCAAGCAGTGGTCACGATTGAATTCTTGGTATCCCATATCATCCAACACTGCATATGGCGATAAGGCCGAATTCCAGGTATCATAGTTTTGTCGTTGCAGTGATATCTGCATACCGTTCCATATCCGACCTCGCCATTTTTATTTTCACATGTCATGACCCAATTCCCTGGTTGATTAACGAATACTGCAAATGCGGAGTAATGGGGGATGCAGTGTTTATTCGGTGTTTTACCTCCAACTAAAAACAGATATAACATGAATGTGAAAATATGTTTGTCAAATATACCGCATCAGTCTTCATAGGCTACCATGGATATGTAATTTGGTCTGAAATATGCATTTCCAAACACGCAATGTCGGTACAACAGCGACCTACGTAGTTTATCAGCAGATTGGTACAAACCAATGAGAAAAGGTTTATAATTAACGAGAAATTCATGTCTATTGCATAACCAAAAAACACTGAAAATTTCGTTTCATTTATTCATTGCAAATTAACAATACATTAACTGATAAAAATCTTTTATCAGGTAAATAAAATTTTCTAACGATAGCAACCTGTTATATAACGACCCCTAACCTGTATTATTTACAGAGCATTACCGTCTGTTGTAGCGCAGTAGTCCTCGGGACATAAAGATTGTGAAACCGGCCCTATTTTTGGACATGAAGTGGAGCTATGGATCGTTTCGTTATTATTGGACACGTTTAGTGGCCATAACGATCGTTTCAAAATTTTGTTGTTGAACACGTTTAGTGGCCATAACGATTGTTTCAAAATTTTGTTGTTATTTTTATTTGTCTCCGTCTCCATTTTTAAAAAATCGCCTTTCTCTTCGAATACTGGACCAATTGCTTTGATATTTTCAGTGGTTAAAGATAAAATTTTTCTCCAGAAGGTTATTACTTTTTTTTTCGCTATGACGTCATCAAAATTATTGCCACTGGGTGGCGCTACGTGTCTATATATTTAAGCATAGCTCTCTTGTTATTATTATGTTGTTGTTGTTGTTAGAATTCTCCTTCTCGTTGTTACCGTATGAAAAAAATCGCATTTTTAATTAACTACGGGAACAACTGCTTTGAAATTTTCAGTTGAATATTGTAAAATTCCTAACTTTTCTATGAATCCTATGAGATCTGATATTTCGTTGTATAATTTTTTATTCAAGGGAACACGATTCTTAATCCGCGAAGCGCTTCGATTTTGCAAAATCTTGCGACGCAAAAGTGGCAAGTTTTTCGATACCGGTGACGCACTGCAGATGGGTGCGGTAACTTACTGTAGAAGGAAAAGTACTTCAAAGTAATTAATACTACAGTTGTGAGTCGAATCAATTAGCATTTCAATTCACATTGGCACAAGATGCATGAATCATCATTGTCACAGGACCTGTGAAAGCTAGGGCAGGCAGTCCAGGTGATCAAGGCCAATTAAATATCGCTCTGAATAATCCCCGCAGTTTGATAGCTCTGACAAAGAATTCGTTGATCTGAGTAAATTCACACATCAAAAAACATTGCGAAGGTTACGATCCCGCTAAACCATGGGTTCTCGACGAGAGAAGAAAGGGCCACTGCTGGGCCACAGAAACATTTCCAGGTGCAACAAAATCTTAAAAATTACTAGAGTTATTGATAAATTTAGTTCATTTGTGTCACCATAGTTGAATTTTGATTGTAGCAGCAATGAATTATGATGCTGTCTTTTTGCTACTGAGTTGCGATTTTAATTCTAAATATTTTCATTCTAATTATAATTAAAGTGAAAGTGTTTTTTATGAGAGTTAAGTTTCTTGTCATTTTTCACTGTGATGAAAATGTTAAAGTGCCACCAAATTTTTTATGCAACGAAAATGGGCCGCGAAAGAACCCAGGTTGAGAACCACTGTGGTAATTTCGAAAAACTATCCAAGTTTCCCGTGTTGGAAACGAAAGGTCGGCCAAAAGTATGAAGCATCTATCTAAAAATGTGTTTAACATTGTGCTGTATAAAATCTTAACATTGGATTGAATCGCAAATATTCAATTCCTACGTTTGTGACCTAATAACCACTGTTACCGACGGTTAAGCTGCCATCACGTGACCACGTGTGTTTTTACTATAATGGGAGAATTTCGCGGAAATGTTGGTAGTGCTCAACTGTTCGTCAAGTATAATATACTGTATTAGAAAATATCGGAAATAATATCCCACGAGCGCTAAAAATGTACGATATATACAAACTGTAAGCCGTGTATGCAAGATTTCAGTTTAAATCTATGATAAATTTCAATTGCTCCTATTGCTCACGGCCATACATCTGGAATGTTTAAGCAGGATACATATTCTTATTCATCCCGGGGGTTGGGAGCCGACAGCACGGCTTAATCATATGACGTACCACGGGCTCTCGTTCGGTTACCTGTCCATGTCGGGTATAGCATTAGTCCGACAGTTTTTTTTTTTCAGGTGCATGGACTTGATGGTAGAAGAGGCAGTAACCGACCAGAGGTCAAGTGAGCGACGTTACGACGGTGAAGAGTCCAGCAATCCTCTCGCTGTTTCGCACGTAATATTCGCCGTAACAAAGCATATATACGGCTCATATATATACCACCCACTGAGCCGTACTCAGTTCGCAGTGTAATTAACGTTAGGTTCTCATTTCGACAGTTACAATCTTATCCTAATTAATTGGAAAGTCTATTTTAGGTAATGGTGTTTTGTTTGGTATGATCCGGTAAAGCCATGTTATAAAAAGTCAAACCAATAGTTTCACAGGGGGTTCTTAACCGAAATATCCAACTTGTCCTGAATTGCTAGGAGTTGACTGATTGCAGTAGGGTTGATATTACAACCAAAACACTCACCTGCGTCTGAAGGTGTGATGATGCAGATCAAGACACTGCTCACCCAGTGAAGAGTATTTATTACAGAAATACATGTATGAACCTTAAGGTTCATCATGCTCGCTTCCCTAAATCACAGACACCCAAACCCCATGATAACAGACAACCGATAAATATAAACTCGAAGCGCCAGCGGCCTGCCATTAGAACATCTATGTGACATCATCATTGTCTTACTATTGTTACGCCATAGTTAGTTCGATAGTGAACCATCGGAGAGGGATGTGCTAATTGATTGAAGTGTTCCCCTATGTTTAGGGTTACCATATTTTTGTGACTTCAAAGCGGGACGCCTCCAAAGACAACGAACGACCCCTTAGCTGTGACTTTGTAACTTTACATTTTCCAATTTTACTACATAGGCCTACATTTAAAGCTATCCCATCTGTCTCCATTGACCATATTGTCATCGAGAGTTCATTCGCATATTCTCTGTCCAAATACAGTATCGGGTTCAGTTCGAAAAAGAGAAAGGAATTTACGTTAACGATATGGTACAAATAATTCGAATCAGTGAAAACGCGAAAAGTTCTAATGTTATAATAAAACTTGAAAATACTTGAAATTCGTATTTCTAATTGAATAATATCAGAAGTCAATGAAAAGTGTCAGCCAACGATCAATGCCGTTTGTTCCGTCAGTTAGCGCAATTGACGGTCACGTCATAATTCAACATGAATAAACTTAAATTGATACGGTACTGGACTAACTGCACCTCATATTTGCTCTGCTGTTGTACTGGAGTGAACATTTATAAATATTCGTACAATGAGAGCGAGTGTTTAACATCGTTGAAAAAAATTTGAGCAATAGAACCGGAATTATTGGCGCTTATTTCCATGTACAAATTGAAATGGCCGGCCTGTAGACTATATAGTTGGCTGTATTCCTAAATTCCTTCGTCGATCAGTGGCGTATCCAGATTGTTGTCACATTCACAAAAGCTGCAGTGCGCAAATCACTGGCCCTTCGTTTCGTTTGACGTCGTTAAATTCTTTCTCATAATCATCACGGCAAATTTTTTACGTTCACTCATTTTATCTTTTATGAAGTTCTAGATCTGAACTAAATTCAAAGTTTAATAGAGTAATCTCACCATTGCACGATTCATTACCACTGTCTAATTTGGAAATCTTAATTTGACTTATTTATACATTCCGGCACACATATCAAATTTTGAATATAGTTTAGCACAGTAATCTTGAATTTCTTGCAGTATTTCACTTCAGTATGTTATTATTTTATTCATTCTATCTTGATATTCAAAATTTTCCAGGTAACAAAAAAACGTGAAAGCTTATTCACCATCTTCGACTGATTTTAACCGGCTTCTTATTAAATGGCCCTGGTTGATCTTCGATTGGATGTTTTTATATTTTTCTTGATCCTCAATAATTCGTTTAAATGTATTCTCAATTGACGCGAGCTTAGGATTCTTGTAATTGTTTCAACAGCTCCTTTATATCATTTATTGCCTTTTTTCAATTGAATTAAATTTGAATATGCAATGGTTTCTCCTCTTATCATTGTTCAAACTTTAAAGTTATCCCAAAATATAATTGGGTATACGTATTAACGAGAGTGATCATGAATTGCATTCCATTCTGTATTAGTTGCTTCATTTGGGTAACAAATTGTTGATTTCGTAGTAATACACCATTAAACATCCAATAACCCTGCCCTCTTAGTAGTGGGTTTAAATCAGTCTGAAGACTACACACTGAATTATCAGTTCTAACACTATATATGATATCGTCGTCATTTATTTTAGAAATAAGTTGGTGAGAAACAAAGAGAAAATCTATTCTAGACATGGTATTAGCCGCTTCGTCAAAATGTGTATAAATTTGTTTAATTGGATGAAACTTCCCGAAGGCATCGTATACATGAACTCACTCATAACATTCAATAGAGTAGTTATCGCATTAATATTAGGATGAACAGGTTAGGTATTAAGTACAAGATTGAAGCGTTTTCCAACAATATACTTATCAGAGTTGTCGCTGTCGTCGGTGAATCCTCTTAACGACAGAGTTAGTCTTCTTCCCCGAGGTAAATTCAACAGTGAATAATCGACTAAATTTTCTGTCTAATGCCGAAATATATATAGCAGGTTCTGGCGCCACGATTCAAATGATTTGACGGTTTCGAACATGCTAAGTTTCCATTGTTTCGGAGCTTTCGGTGAAGTCATTTCAGCCTCCTTGAAGATTCCTTTGAAGTACTAACGTGAAATTTGTTTTCAAAGTATGCCATCACGACATTATATAACTAAACTCTTTTGCCTAGTGTCGTATAAGCGAGAACAGAAAACACAATTGCCGACATTTGCGGTACTCCAACAGAAGCCACGAATCGAATGTATTAATGAACAAATTCACACAACCACAGATCACGAAATCAAGCACGCGCGCATGTAACGACAGAGGAACGCATGTTGATGATAACATTAACAATCTGGCGCTCCAGCTGCTTGATCAATTTGGGAGATTTTTTGATTTTGAAAATATAAACCAGTCTGCATGCGACAACTCGCTAAAATACTTTCAAAATGAGCGTGTAAAATTTCGCAATGGTGAAGTATAGAGAGAATTTTTGAGGGGCCCAGGGTCGGAGAAACCATCCACAGTTCACATATTGTTAGATTTATTTAAAGCTCTTTATCACTGAAATGTTGGTCCCAAAGTCTTCCAAGTCTAATTGTTGCTTCACATTTTTTTGATTGGCATATTTTATGGTAACAAATATATTCATACAGTCAAATAGACATATATATAATCAATAGACGCTTCTCCGCTTTTTGACCCCAGATAATTTCTTTTTATACTTACCGTACCATTGCAAAATATTTGATGTATAATCTGAGAATCTTTCTGCGGGTCGGATCTTACAACGTGGTTAACATATTTTATAACCGCCATTACGATTCATAACATTCAACCACCTGTCATTTAAATTACTGACAGCAAATTTCAGCCTAGTTTTTCGTGACTTTGTTGAAACGAAATTTTGATTACTGTAACTGAACTAAACTCATTGGAGGACAAAATGATCACCGAGTTATTTGATTTATACCTAAATTTCTCAAACACGACAAAAGCTGAAGAATTGCCAACAAAACAACGAAATCGATATAATGTTTAAAATCACGTCTAAAATCCCGTCTGAGTGAAAAGAGTGTCAAAGTGGCTTCCAAAATTTCAAATTTGATTGATATATTGCCGATATTACGGAAATAAACAAGGCTATGCTCGGGGAAACGTGGGGATAATGTTTCATTGGAGTTCCGTTCCACCAATGGGGTTAAAAACCACGGGTTTAGAGCCTTATGTTCAAACCGCTGGTGGTAGAAGCAATATCGATGACTAGTGTTGCAACATTTTGAGATGTATAATTATGACCAGAAGGTTATTGTGACAACCGAGTTAGTAAAAACGCCCGTTTTCGTTATGTAGATTATAAGCATGTCTTCTCTACAAAGTTCAATAAGTTACTGTAAACGGGAATTTTTTTGATTGATAGTTGGCTTGAGTGTGAGAATGCAACACGCTCTGTCTATCGAAGGATGAACCAGCCGGTCTATCGTAAATATTGACGGAGCGGTGTGCTAATTGATCAAAATTACCATCAACTCGTGATGTGGCGCGGTAAATAACACGAAAGCAATATATTCTTTGCTTGGGGAATAAGAACTATAAATGTTCGTAGCTGACCTCAGTGTATGTGATATTTCATATGGTAATTTTCCACTGACAACTTTACACTGAAAAGTCTTTCTAGCCACAAGAACCTCAAATCAATATTTTTTTAAATAAACTTAATATATTTTTAAACTTTTGTGGTTGCTTTCTGTATCTAATATAATAATATTATCTATAAAAGCAGACTTCAGTAACTATAATAGTTATCTGATATAAAAGCCTAGACCACTCGCTCTCAACCAGTGGGCCATGGCTAACTCCTGGGCCACAGACATAATAATTGCTAGTTTCATTTGTGTCACTATTGTTAATTTTGAATATAGTAACAATGATTGATGATGCTGTTTTTTGCTACTGAGTGGTAATTTTCATCCTAATTATCAAAGTGAAAGTGTTCATTTTTGCAGAAAGATTTTGTTTTTGTCAGCCGGTTCTATCACAAAATTCATATTTTTAGCCGGTTCTGTTACAAATAGAACATTGACAGTAACCGGTAATGCTAACCGGTTCGCTTATGTCATAAAATTCCGTGAGACGGTTTTATAGAATGGGTGCGAACCGGCTGAATTCCATCACTGGTTGAAAGTCATTGGCGGGTCGCACATATTTTTAGAAAGTTGAAAACCGAACGGATGATACTTTTTATAATAAAAATCAAGGAGTGATACATCTCACGAATAGAATAGAGATTTATTTCCTTATTGCATTGCATCTCGAAAAATTCCATTTGAATATTTTCGGCGCCACTGAACCTTTTTCACTTAGCATCCACTTTTCTTCCTTTTGTTGCCACTTGTCTAATTATAATTAAATTATAGGCTCATTAAACGAGTAATTGTGAATTAAATATACTTGTTAGAATATAATATAATTTAGTCTACACGTGTCTCACAATGAATTCCCTTACGTAAAGAATATAATTGTCAAAACAGCTTTTTTGTTACTATAGTTCAGTGAAGCGTAGCGGGCCGGATTATATTCCTCGGCGGGCCGTAGGTTGGCGACCCCTGGGCTACATGTTCATAGATCCTTCCATTTAACCCACAGACTACCATCAGCAACAACCTATTTTTGGCCATTTTGTTGGGGATGATTGGTTTTGGCTCGAAGCAACGGTTATAAATTTCCGCTTGGTAGTTTACTATTAGCCCTTTCGCTAGTTTTGTTGTTCCTCAACAACAAATACAGTTGTTGTGATTGGTTGGCCCACATACCCACTAACCTACAAACTGCGCGTTCGCTGACTACAACATGTAACACGCACGTTTTGTGACTCTCAATAGTTTAAGATTGTCTTGGCAAGTTTAAAAACAAGTAGGTTGAAAATATTTTAATGCAGATTGAAATTTGAGCATGTTTAGAAACAAAATTTCGTACGATAACCCAATTTT